TCAAACAGTGTAAGCAAAAAGTCAAAATCCCTTATATTATGGGATAAAAGGAGTACTATTTTTCTTTGTTTCTTTCTTTTATTAGGAATAGTAGTAAAAAAATGTTTATATAAACTCAGTTACAGCAGGTGCAGGCCTAGAGGTGCTTAGCTTTGCTTAGGTGGTCCTCTCCTCTTTACTAGGCATGTATGCATGCGTACTTGTGCTTGCTCTCACCTCTCACATCCATAGCCTACACAGACTACAGAGAGAGCACCCAAGCAAATTTTAAAGAGGCAGTACATGTACAAAATTAAAGAGGCAGTACATGTACTGCCACTGCTCGCACAAGATGAGAGATGAGCTGGAGAAGCGAAATGTCAAAGTGTGTACGTGATGTACTCCCTCCGTAAAAAAACGAATCTATACCGGATGTGATGTATTATATTACGACGAATTTTAATAGAATATATCATATCTAATAGAAGAAGAGCAGCTAGTTGATTGATGGATTCTAATCACTTAGATGTGCGGCTACCATTTTATTGCGTGTCAACTAAGGCTGCATTCCGCGCAGGAGAAAGAGAGAAAGATAGTTTTGTTTTCCGCGCGCACGCTTCACGAACTACTAAATGGTGTGTTTTTTGTAAAAAATTTCTATAGGAAAATTGCTTTAAAAAAATCATATTAATCTATTTTTGAAGTTTAAAATAATTAATAATCAATTAATCATGTGCTAATGGCTCACATCGTTTTGCGTATCTTCCCAATCTCCTCAATTCCCTACTTCTCAAACACATCCTAAATAGTTATTGAATTTTTTTTAAAAAAATAACAAGATATATCAATATCTACTATATCACTATACAAACATGTGAATTTGATAAAAAAAACTGCAAATATACATATAGTAATTTGAGTTTTGTTTTTTACTTTTTTTATAATTTATAGAAGTTCAATTTTAACTTGTATGTTTGTACAGTGATATATGAGTATTATATATATTAATCTATGTTGTCAATTTTTTTAAAAAAATTATAAATATTTAGATGTCATGAAATAAACGTGTGAACGTCCAGTCCACTCCGCATTACTACCTCGTCCTAAAATAAGTGCAGCCATGGTTTTCAGCGTCCAACTTTAACCATTCGTCTTATTTGAAAATTTTTTGAAAAAAAAATTAAAAACATAAGCCACGAGTAAAGTATTATTCATGTTTTATCATCTTATAACAACAAAAATGCTAATTATAAAAAAAAATTCAAATAAAATGGACGATCAAAGTTGGGCGCGGAAACTCATGGCTGTACTTATTTTGGGATGGAGGTAGTAAAAAGTTTCCCCAGCTAGCTGAACAAGTGACAAGAATTTCTTTTTTTTTTTCCTTTGCTTGAACTGAACAAGTGAAGTGACAAGAATTGAAGAGCTGAACAAGTGACAAAGATCTGAAGATCTTTGTGCATGCATGCATGCATTGTCGCCACTACTATTTGGTGTGTACTCGGACAGGACCCAAGCATGCATCCATGCAAGATGATGATACAGGTTTCGGACTACCGGTGCAAAGGGTGCTCTACCTATCTCTCTTCTACTGTTTTTGTTCACAGGAGAGGAGACTCCTATAGGTGAGGTGAGAGTGCATGCGTTGTACTATTACAACAAATGCAACAATTTGTGGCCTGCATCCAATTCTCTACACTGTACAGTACGTACCTTCTTCTTTTTCAGCTGAATTCTCCACACTGTACTTGTAAAAGCTTTTAATCTGTACAGACCCAGGGGCGTACGCTTGGAGATTTCTTTTGCGTGTCTATACTGTACTTTTCCCTCTTTTATAGCTGATTCTAATGATAGCTAGTAGCTTGTTCAAGGCGCATATGAACGTTTAATTAATTGAGCGAGAGCAAATTAAACGATTGATCATCAGTTAGTACTAAGGTCCAAAAGACCAAAACCAGTTTGGGTGGTTGTTGCAGTTTGCAGGCGCGCATCTGCAAGCGTCACGCGTAGGCCGCGATGGATCGATGGATGGATCGGGCGGGTTTGGTCTCACGGCGGTGGCGTCGGCGTGGTCCTGTGCCTAGCTACGGTTTGCAAGGCTGCCCTGCGGCGACCATCAAGGAGCTGTACTGTACTGTACAGGCAGCCTGTGCTGGCGCGGCGCGCAGATACGAGCCCCATCAATGCGTTTATGCATATCAGCAGTAGTAGTAGTGGTAGGAATCAGCTACCCAAGCGAAGCTAGCCACAATCGCATCAGCTGGAGCTAGTACGGAGTACCGATTAGTACAAATTGGGTTGAAGTTTGAGAAAAATTGGTAGTTTAAAAAAAAGTTAGGAATTTATGTGTGTAGGAAAGTTTTGGATGTGATGTGATGAAAAGTTGGAAGTTGGCGAAAAGTTTGATGTGAACTAAACAGGTCCAACTCGTCGTTGTTTTTCAGTTCATCGAGCAATCAATCATCGATCTTTCACCACAAACACTCCTCCTACTCGTATTCTTAACCTGTTTAATTGAACCTAGGCAGTGCAGGGTGCAGGTGTAGGGAGGCAGGCATGAATGAATCGGCGAGCATGTTGTTGCTGCAGAGGAGCTAGCTGAGGGAGAAAAAAAGTCAGAAAACGCGGCGCCCCCCATGCCGATGCTAGCCGCGGCTGCCGGCCACTTCTCCCCGCCCGAGTCCCGACAACCATGCCGGAGCGTTTGCGTTCGCCCGGCCGCCCGCTCATCCCTTTGCTCGCGTTGCGCCACTCCTGTCCTGTGCACGACGCTCACGCGAGCAGGCCTGGGCCAGAGCGCATCATGCACTTGCATGAGTGTTATAGCCATATGGCCCGAGGTCCAACGGCCTGGCCCAGAGACTGGTGATTTGGCCCGTCCCAACAGCTGTGCCGTGCCTGAGCTGCTACCTCGGCATGCTAGGCCGGCACGGCCTAACACGAAGTTCAGGAATGCGAAACAGACTTATTTTTAATCATATGTAAGGCACGACACAAAGAATAGGGAGGAAAAATAGACGTATTTTATGGCACGACCCAAAGAGTAGGGACGTAAAATAAACTTATTTTAGCTATATTTATGTCACAACCCAACGAGGAGGAAAAGAAAATAGACTTATTTCAAAGAAGGCACGATGGGCCGCCCATGTCTTCGAGCCGGACAGCACGCCTGACTGCTGGTGCAGCCGTGGGCAGGTACGGCACGGCCCGAAGTGCCAACTGTGCTATGCCGGCCCGAGTGCCTCAGGTCGTGCCTAGCCCGTGTCTGGGCCAGGCCATGCCGGGCGGGCCTTATGGCCATCTATATTATAGCCCATGGAAGCTCTGGGTTTAGAGAACCGACGTTCCCGTCCCCCGAGGGAAAAGGTATACCTGAGGTCCCTCATATCATGTTGCCAAGTTACAAAATCATTTTTGAACCAAAAATATCAAATATATATATCATATCTCAACTTACAAAACCAAATCACTCTAGGTCCTTAGACGGTTTTACCCTACGTGATAACTGAGTCAGCACGTAACCCACGTGAGCCCCATATGTCGACGACTACTTCCCTCCTCTCTCCACCTCTCTTCCTCCCAAATCCCTCTCCCCTCCAGTAGCCAGCCATGGCCACAGTCACGCGCGGGGTACTCCTCAAGTTAGTTCAGGCGATGCACACCGACAACCGTGTTGCCAAGGACCACCGCTCCCCATCATCATCGCCCTCGCCGCCTCCATCACCCACTCCCTCTGGCCCTCTAACGACTAACTCCTCCAGCTCTTCGACGGCCTCCACTCCACCTATGTCCAGCTCTCCGTTGTTGACGCCCTTATCTCCGTGCGTTCGCACCTTGTTGGCCACCTTGTCCACCTCGAACGCCTCCAGTTCGCCTGCTCGGTGCTCCACGCCGTTGGGATCCGCCCTGTCCCATCCTTATCGGCAACCCGAATGCCAGCTTCCCCGTCTCCATGACCGATCAAGCTCGGTGACGACGTCGTCGCCATGCTCTTCTCTGCTGGCCACTACTCTTCTCCTTGCCCATCGTTGCCAGCAAGGGCCACCGTCGGCCGCTGGCCATACGCGTCACGCCGGCCCTTCTCCCCGTTGGCCACAGTGGTGCCAGAGGAGCAGCGCCAGCGAGCCACCGCGATTTGGAGGAAAAGGGAGGGGGATTTGGGAGGAAGAGAGGCGGAGAGAGGAGGGAAGTAGTTGTTGACATGTGGGGCCACGTGGGTTCACACTGTATCAGCTGCCACGTTGGACAAAGCCGAAGACAAAACTGCCTAAAGATATTTAGAGTGCCTAAAGATATTTAGAGTGACTTGGTTTCGTACGTTGAGATATGATATATATCTGGATTTTTTTTATGCAGGGATGATTTTGTAACTCCACGACAAGTATACTATTTCCTCCCCCGAAAGGTTCAGGCCTGCATATCATGTTGTAGGCCTATACATTAAGCCCAGTTGTCCTACGAAGGCTAACACAAATTTCTACTTTGTTCGTTCCGGTAGTTTTGAGTGAGCTGATCAGAACGCATTTTGTGTAGAAGTTTTTTATGCGGAATTTTTAAAAAATAATAAAAAAGATAATATTAAATTAATCACATGTTAATTTTTTTTACCGGTTAAAAACTCTGTCAATCTGCTGATTTGAAATCAGCTTAAGTGTAACTGTGTAAGTGGTTAAGAATTAGACTGATCTCTCAAGTAAAATATGGCGACATATCTGTACAAAAAAGATTTGTTAGCTTATTTGGTCATAACTAAATTTTAATTTTTAAAACCTAGTTTGAGAATTGATTTGGTGGGTTTTATAGAATTAGTCTAATACAGATGTAAAAATTTACCCATATTTTTTTTGTTTCATTCAACTTCTACAGCTTCTCAAGGTTCATGCAATCACAATGATAAACTGTATTAGTAAGACTGGAGAATTACTGTTCAGGTTATCGACATCATGACAGGTACCCCATAACGAAAATGCCATGGTCTGATTTATGGCACGGAGCATCATTCAAGCAGAAGGGAAGATCACTTCACATACAGAAGTAACAGAACACACATCGTTAGAGATGATTCATTCTAGCCACAGTTATAGATATGCTGATTGTTCAGAAAATATTGTAGTAAGCAAAAACATCTATTTACACATCTGTAAGGCATTGCGTTTTATTGGAAATTCAAGACCCACACGCTCTCATTCTTCAGTAATGGTGGACAGGACAGAAATTTCAGACAGCAGCACAGCACAAGGCTGACCATCCAGATGAACATTTCAGATGGCAAATGCCCACTTGTAACCGTGGACAACCCGGAAGCCTAGTGCTCTCCATGTAATTGCAGCAAAGGTTTCTAGGTCATCATACCATATGCTTCTGACGATTTATACGGTTTTAGTATTGCGAGGACCAATCCGCAGCGCTGCCAACTCTAGGAATGCTGCTATCCTTCTTCGCCTTCGCGTCGACCGTGTACGTTGTGCCGCATACCTCCCCCTTGCTGTCGAGCCTCGGCACTGGTTTCACCTCATTCATAGGGTGTTCGTAGCTCTGCAGTCCTCCGGATGTGGTGAAGAAGAAACCTGATGAAGCCATTACACGTCAGGTGTTGATAAAAGAGGCATAGTTCCAGGCCTTGAGAATTGATGTGATATTGTTGATTGGTTGATTAAGCTTATCATTCATTACCTTTAGGGAATGGTGCAGAGGATTTTCCACAAGCCTTATTCACAATTTCGTCATCATCAGAAACCACAAGACGGCTGTCAGGATCAACTCCCCAATAAAATGGAACGCTACCATCAGCATCCTGCAAGAAGATCGACTTAGCTATCAATTCATCTGTCAACAACTCAATGCTACGAATCACAACAGACGACGACCGGAACAAATGAAAGAACATATAGTACATTGGTGCAATATGCTGACATAGTGACATCTGATAAGTTATATGCGTATCACGAAAATTCCTTCTAGCAAAAACAGACGGAATGTGATTTCGTGATGCATCAACTTGCATCTTGTTGAGATGTCAGCCGACAATCTTCAGGATTTGAAATCTCAACACTTATAAAGTGGTTCTGCCCTGCAGCTAACCAGGAACAGGGCAGTCTAGTATTTGTCAAAGATGCATCAACTTGCATCTTGTTGAGATGTCAGCCGACAATCTTCAGGATTTGAAATCTCAACACTTATAAAGTGGTTCTGCCCTGCAGCTAACCAGGAACAGGGCAGTCTAGTATTTGTCAAGCAAGAAATTATATATATATGTATGTATATATATATGGGTAAATTAACTAGTGCTACATGGAGTATGGGCTCCAAGATTCAAATTGAGTATATACCCAATTTGAATGAGTATGAACTTTTTTTAAATGTTTAGATAGATATGAACATTAACTTCTTTACTAACAAGTTCAAACAAGTTTGAACTGAGTTTGAACTTTTTTTTTTGTTAGATTTTGGTTCTAGGTATATAACATCCAAACATATAATTCGTTAGGTATGTAATAATGAATTGTGAAATAAAGTTGAGTTTGAGTTGTTTTGCTGTTAGGTATTTGTATGAATCAAATTCATATACCTAGATATATACTCACAATTTGAAAATTTTTAAAAATTTGAGAGAATTTGTGTGTTTTATACCTTGGAGCCCGGGCACCATGGAGTCCCATATGGGTATACATATAATGAATTGTGAAATAAAGTTGAGTTTGAGTTGTTTTGCTGTTAGGTATTTGTATGAATCGAATTCATATACCTAGATATATACTCACAATTTGAAAATTTTTAAAAATTTGAGAGAATTTGTGTGTTTTATACCTTGGAGCCCGGGCACCATGGAGTATATATCTAGGTATATGAATTCGATTCATACAAATACCTAACAGCAAAACAACTCAAACTCAACTTTATTTCACAATTCATTATTACATACCTAACGAATTATATGTTTGGATGTTATATACCTAGAACCAAAATCTAACAAAAAAAAAAGTTCAAACTCAGTTCAAACTTGTTTGAACTTGTTAGTAAAGAAGTTAATGTTCATATCTAAACATTTAAAAAAATTTCATACTCATTCAAATTGGGTATATACTCAATTTGAATCTTGGAGCCCATACTCCATGTAGAACCAATTAATTTACCTATGTGTGTGTGTGTGTGTGTGTGTGTTCTGAATATAGATTTAGGATGGAACCAACAGGTATAGTACGTTGAAACTGTTGAATGATCATCCATTTATGTGATTTATCCAAAGAAGGCATTATCTGAACATTTATGACGATCTAATCCAAAGAAATGTTATCTGAAATGTGCAATTATATGTATTGCCACCTTGAGGAAGCTGATGTACTGCGCATAATTCCAATACCAATCCAAATGCATCTCAAAAGGAGATTCACAAGATCTATTAAACGCCTAATAAAGCCTATAAATTGGATTAGAACAGTCGATTAGGATACTGGTAATGCAACAATAAAAATCTAGCTTGTCCACCCATAAACAGAGAAATGGAAACATATATAACATGATTGAATTAATCGCTGAGACTGAAATTCACTTACGGTGGCCATGAAGACGGAGTTGTTGGAGCAATCGTAGAGCACGAACGCGAACTTGCCGTTGATGTCTCTGACGACTTGATCCGCAGGGTAAGGTCCCCTGTCTCTCAATGTCCTGTAAGCCTCGATGATGATGTTGATCTCGGTGGAGCCCTTGTTGTGCAACCCGTACTGCTGCTTCAGCACCGCGATGTTCTCGATCGTGCCTTGGAACAGGCAGAATATCTCGTCCGTCGCCGCGAACAACCTAATCAACCACAAATCAGGAGACGAAACGCGCCACGGATTTGGAAACGAGAACGCACGAGGTGGGGGGGGGGGGGGGATCGAGCGAGCGGGTCACCTGGGGAGGAGGGGGCTCTGGCCGTGGGAGGAGTAGGCGAGGGAGTTGGCGCCGCCGGGGCCGAGGGCGACGGTGACGGCGCCGGGGCGCGCGTCGCGGAACCTCTCGGCGAGCCCCGCCGCGCCGTCCCCCGCCGCCCCGGGATGCCGGAGCCCCTCAGGGCTCGGCGCCACCGCCCGATCGAACACCGCCAGCATCCCTTCTCTCCCTCACAACGCAGCCCGCCTCGCGTCGCGTCCTCTCCCGATCCGATCGTCCGCCACCCCCCGCGCGCAGTGCACGACAGGTGTTCGTCCGCGGGAGAGCTATATACGGAAGGCGTGTGGCGGTAAGGACGGTGGCGACGCGAAGGATCGAGACGGATCCACACGTCGCTACAAAGCGCCTGTGGCTGTGGGCTGTGACGACCACCGCACTCGTAGCCGTAGGGCGCGAAAATGGATAGGCACACGACGAGGAACGAGGTGACTGACTGACGGTGAAGACCTTGAGAAAAGTGCAGGTGTCATCCGGCTAGCTCTATAAGGTGGTGGAGATGATCTAGCTTCGAAGCCTCACCTCTTATAATTATTTTATACTAGGGGATTAGGTTTTTTTTCTAGTATTCGCATCTGACGGTGAATACCAGGGTTCACACAATCACACTTCACAGTCCCTTGCGGACCAAAATCCGTCGCCAGCGTATCATAGGATTTCGTGGAATTCATTGATTACCCAACAAAAGTTGATGTAATTCAAATAAATTTTATAAAAAAGTTAAAAAAATAATTTGAGTTTTTTAATTTGATGAAAAATATGTGTTTTCAACCCGATCTGAAAAGTATAATAAATACGAGAACAAACCTCTTATTCCTAACAGGTGGGCCTCAAATGAAAAAAGAAAAGGAAAAGATGAAGAGGGGGAGGCATGAGGGGCCCTTCAGAAATGGCCGAACCGTGGTGTGCAAGAGCAATATGGGCTTGTTTCGTTTTCCAACCATCGTAAATTTTTCCGATCAAAGAGAAAAAAAAAACTCCATCCGTCTTAAAATATAAAAGAAGTTTTAGAGTTGGACACAGTTATTAAGAAAGTATGTAGAAGTGAATTATAGGGGTTATAATTGAATGAGTAGTGAAGGTAGGTGAGAAAAGTGAATTGTGCAAGATTGTGATTGGTTGGGAAAACAATGTTGATGGAGAAGTTGTTATATTTTGGAACAAATCCTGAGAGCTAAAAGTTGTTATATTTTGAGACGAAGGGAGTAACTTTGTAAATTTTGACATTAGTAAAATGTCTCTCTGAGCTGTATGACAACCTTAGCCTTAGGCATGTTGTTAATGTTGGCCATGGCCAATACGTTGGATGAGTACTTGAGTAGCGTACGTGGAGTAGCAATCTGGCATCCTAGATAATGCTAGATATCTCGTGATAATCCTTTATAAGTTGGGAAGAATGACTCATCATATATCAGACCGTTCTTCAGGAAGAGATTTAGCTGAATCACGAGAACACAAGGTGTTTGCAGAACTAACAAAGAAAAACAAAAATTAAAAACTGAAAATGGTTTAACATCATGTTTGAAAAAAATTGTAGGTCAGACTATTATTGCGGATTATTTACTCGAATAGAGTGACAAATTTAACAAATTTAGACAGACTCAACAAAATATATAGCATGAAATAAGTGGTCTAAAAATACAGTGAAAAGTGTTTTTTTAGAAAACATATGTTTAGAGATGTAGATCAAATAATTAATCTAGCAAAGTAATCGAAAATAACTAAGTTTGGCCTACTTTGATTCAGATTATTGAGCGAAAAAATATCTACTCGATTATAATGATATATTAAATATTTTAAAAAATATACTTAAGAAATGTTCTTTTTATCTGCTACATCTAACTATTATCCTGATTATTTCTTCCCGCATTAAAAAAATACATTTCTTAGATCCTTGTTGTAAGCTATTACCTCTATCCTAAAATATAACTACATCCGTTCAAAAAAATAGCAATTTTTAGCTATAAATCTAAACAGACAACTGTTTCATATTCATAATTAGAAATACTTATATTGTGGGATCGAAGGAATATTTGTTAGTTTTATTTATCAAAATGTTTATTTTATATAGCTGTAGTTTATATATATAATCTAATATGATAATTCGATCAATATATGTTTTATAAACTGTGTGACGGTATGTCACCAGATCTCAATTGAAGGCCAAGTAAACCCTATCGGTACTGAATACCGAGGACTATTTTAGAACATAAGATTATAAACGAATTGAAATTTCTAGTCGATGTGTTTACTTCTATTGTATACTTTCAATTGTCGGTTGAAATTTCAATGCTCCCATTCGAAATTTCAGAAAAAAACGATCGGTACTTGACACAAGATAGACCGAAACAGGGAATTTGAATTAAGTTTTGGTCTACAAAATTTGTTCGAAATTTGTCGGTTTTCGATCGGATTTCATGAAAAGTATACAACCCCAACGTCCGGCATGGAAGGTGCATGGTATTAGAATTGTGAAACTTTGAATCCAACCCTACAAAACTCTTCCAAATAGTACTAGTATCTTCTTGGAATCTTGGTAGGTTTAAAAATCCTGTACTTGAGTTTGGGGAAAAATACCAAATCCCTTGCCCGGTTCGGATTGGTGGTCCACAACCCCAGATCGGAATCGGATCCCTCCCCTCGACAAGTCGACGCATCTATATAAATCGATCGCAAATTCCCCACCACGAATCATCACTGAATTTTAGAAATTAGAGCAGAGCAAGAGCAATACTACTCCACTTGGGGGGTTGTTCTCCGATGGCTAGGACTAGGAGCAACAAGGATCGGCGGCGACGGCGAGCCTGCGGCGAGGACCGCCTCAGCGCTCTCCCGGACGACCTGCTCCACCTCATCCTGCGCCGCCTCGACACCCGCGACGCGCTCGCCACCGCCGCGCTGTCAAGGCGCTGGGCGGCCGTCCCGCGCGAGCTCCCCGCCCTCGATTTCCGAGTCACCGACCTGCTGCCGCCGCGCTACCGCCGGTGCCTTGCCATCCGCGGCAAGGCCAGGAGGTCGGTCACCGCGCGCGAGGAGAATGCGCGAGGCTAGACGCCGCCACCGGGCGGTACGAGCGCCGCGCCATGCGCGCCATGGCCGGCTCCGTCAGGGCCCTCTTGGCGGCTCGCCGGCGTGCGACCAGGCTGTCGCTGGAGGTGTTCGACTTCGACGCCTCCCCCTGCATCAACCAGCTGGTCGTCACCGCCGTCGATTCCTGGGGCGTCACGGACCTCGAGGTGTCCGCCGTGCCGACGGGGCCGATCATGCACCCGCCGCCGGTCTACAGCTTCCCCCTTCGCCGCATCAGCCGCGACCCCGGCGCGTCGCGGCTGCGGAGGCTCAAGCTTCGCAACTGCCTGCCCCCTCCGCTGCAGGGGTTTGGCTCGCTCGCCACTCTCGTCCTGCAAGGATTGCCGTGCTCGACGCGGCCCGCCGTGTACCGCGTGGTCGCCGCGTGCCCGCAGCTGCAATCCCTGCATCTCAGCTCCTGCAGGTCCCGGAAATTCGGGTGCCCGCTCACCTTGGACGCGCCGATGTCGCGGATCAGGGAGCTCGTCGTCGACGGCGGCTACATGGCGGTCGAGATCAGGTCGCTCCCCATGCTGGAGAGCCTCGCCAGCAATGGAGACGCCGTGTTTCTGACGCACCCCGACGCCGCGCCGTACCTCCAGCGCGTGAGCCTCGAGCACGCCATTGGCTCCCTGCAAGGGGACGAGCTGTTCCCGGCCATAGAGCGCAGGAGGCTGCGCTTCTTGATCCCCAGCATCAGGGAGTTCCTCCAGAACGCCAATGGCATCACCGATCTCGTCCTGCGCTTCACCGGGCCGTACATGTGGATCTTGTTCTTGCCGACGAGCCCTTTCGCCCCGATGCCCAAGCTGCGGCGGCTCCTCGTCGCCGACGTGCCTCCATCCTGGGACGCATCGTGGCCACGCCTCCTCGTCGAGGCGACGCCATTGCTGGAGACCCTCCATGTCCACCATCACAGCGAAGAGGAGGTGGTGCAGCCGGGCCATGGCCGAACTCGGCTTCGCGGCACCGCCATTTGAAGGAGCTGGTGGTGATGGGCTTCCGGAGCGCGGAGAGGCGGCATGTCCAGCTCGTGAGGTTCGCCATGGAGGCGTCGACGTCGGCGCTGCGCCGCGTCGCGCTGTACAAGCGTGGGCACGTCGAGCACAAGGGCCCCGGCGCCTGGGAGGCCGCGGCGGCGAGAGACGACGCGTGGAGCGACGAGGAGAGGCGCGGCGTCCTGGAGCAGATCACGGAGGGGATGTGCTGCTCGACAGGCCAAGTACAAGTCATCCTCGGATGAGCTCATCACGCGATGTTGCAAGCGCACAAACCCTAAAATCCTCTCCGATTGGACATCACCTAAAATCCTAAATTAGCGCTACTTCGCTAGTGTGGGGGGGGGGGGGGGGGGGGGGGGGGGGGGGGGGGGGGGGCATCGCCGACTCACCTTCTTCTCGGGATCGTCATCTCCGATCGCCGGCTACGCCGCTCCGGTAGATGCGGCGAGGCCTCGCTTCACCTCAACCACCTCCGCCCTCCCACCGTTTTGCCTTAATTTTATATATATTTCTCGTGCTATTGCAACCAGCAAGGGATTGAGATCCTCTATACAATGAAGCGTGAATTTGCCACTAACATATGAACCCAGTAATCATCGGATCCACGTGTCAGTAATAAATACACGACGATACAGACGTATAGTTGACTGAAGAAGATCCTAATCCACAACTGGACCGGAGGGGGGAGTGTTACGTCCTCTTAATTTCTTGCTAGTCTAAGACAAGAAAATTTCTGACTAATCAAATATAGTACTAGTAAATTCTTTTTTACTACCCTCCATCCTAACTATAAAAATTTTTTGGACAAACGAGACACTTCATAATATTTCGTATCGGGACAAAGAATCTATCACTAAAATCATCCATCCAAAATCCCTTATATTTTAGGATGAAAAATATCTCATCAATCTAAAATCCCTTATATTTTAAGATGGATGGAGTAGTATCATACTAATGACAAGTCAATTAAGCAACTATATACATAGACTAAAGTCAAAACGTCTTGTAATCTTAATCGGATGGAGTACCTTTAGCTAGTACTTTGCTCAACTGGATAGCGGGTAAATGGTGATGTTTTTATTATGTTTAATGCTCGGTAAGTATAATTTGGTCCACTCACAATCATAGTTTGAAAAGGTCCGATTTATTCTGGTGAACTTCCACGGTAGTCCAATTTAGTGCATAAACTCTCAAACCGAATATTCTGGTGAACTTCCACGGTAATCTTTACGAATTACCCTTATTTAATATGAAATGGTTTTATCCTAAGTGACACTGGTAGATAGATACGTACAAAATTTTAGAAAAAGTTATAGCGGCCCACGTACCAGTCATTATCCATTTCTTCTCATTCATAATTCCTCTCTCTATCCCCTGCTCTGTCAGTGGCACAATCGTGTGCGTATGGAGGTGGGAACGGATAAGTGAGTTTATTGTTCGCTTAGTACTAGTTTTAGTTATTATATTTTCTAAATTTTATATTAGTGAGTGCGAAATGGACTATGAAATGAAATGAGTTTAATATTGTGCGTGTAGCGGTTTTTATTTACGGTTCAACTGTTACGCGCTTAAGTACGTTGTTTTCCGCATGTGGGGTCCTTTCATATTTTTTCCCCCTTGGCCTAATTTCTCTTCCTAATGGGCCTTGTAGGCTAATCATGCCGCTTTGGCCCGAATCGGTCTGTGCTGACACTGCCTCCCGAGCCTGAAACGGAACCGTAGACATGAGCTCGGTTCGGCTCGTTTCATGGCTCGCAAGCCTTTCCATGGAATCACCTCTTCAAGCATATGCTTCAAATAGCTGATCTGCGAGGAATGAAATTGGACGATTAATATCACCTTTCATGTTAAAATCGGACGATTTCGCCCTTTCCAGATTCGGTTGTTTGATTGAGAGAAGAGATCCAGTTTACAGAGGAGATGCCAGGGGCGGTGGCTGTTCAAGGCTAAGAAGGAAGGCTTGATTTCTTTATAAAAAAAAAGAGATAAGATCCGACTATCAAACCAAAGGAAATTGCCAACAAGAGTAGCTTAAAAAGCACCTAGTTACCGAGGTGCTAAGGAGTGCCTCTATTGCTCTACGCGGGGCAACCCAACTTTAGGTTAAGTGGAACGAAAACACAATCGCGTAGCACATAAACATACTCCGAAATGAAGCAAAACTATACATCATTACAACGCACAACTGCATTTAGTTAGACTGTTATATGTACATACAGCACCCTCAAGTCCACTGTCAAAGTACCATACATTCAGATCCAAAACTAATTCCACAAAGCTGAACAGAATACGATGGTAATTATTGCGGCAATAGTATGTACAGCTGATGCTACCATAAGATCATCACCATGGGGGAGGAGACCTACTCAAATTGATCATCCTCAAAGCGGATAAGTATAATGACAAGCTTGATTAACAAGTACTCAAGGGTCGTTGGAGCTGCAGCAAGATCAGACCAGAGCTACTACTGTGGCGATTTGGTGCTGCTTGAGTTGAGGTAGCCCATCTTTTGAGACAGCAAGTTCATATCATCTATAGCGGGGTTCCTGGTATCCTCATCGAGCCCACCCTCGTGCAGCAGGTCCTCCCAGAAATCCTCATTTAACTCTCCGTTAGATGGCTTGATTTTCCCGTGTTCAGAGCTACTGGAAGCAACATCTTGTTGCGCCTTGCCTCCATTGGCCTCAACAGATGAACTTTCAAGATCTGATGGAACACCATTGAAAAGTGAATCCACTGGATCATGTGGTTCAAACATTACCTGTGACACTTGCTCGGGGCTAGAACCGGTACCCATGCTATCAAGTTCAGGTCCCTGGTCAATGCGGCGCCTTCTTTTCTTTGAGACGAACTCTTCAAGCTCCTTCCTCATCTCACTCTGGGAGAACAGCTGGCGTATGAACTCAGGATTATGCATAACTCGTGACAAGAATGCCATCATGTGCTGTTGCTTTTGCTCAGTACCTTGTAGCTTCTGTTCCATAGCTTGCAGGTCTGACTTTGTGTTTTGCTGCTCCTGCCTCAGCTTCACCACTTCAGCCATCAACAGATGTTTGTCCCTCTTCAACTGATCAATCTCTCCCTCATATCCGAAGTGCCCTACCTCAAGGAATGAGCCAAGAGATTGCTGACTTGGAGATGAATTCGGAGGTTTCCGACGCTTTATGCTTTTAAGGAGATGCTTCTGTCCTCTCAGAAAACCCTCATTTGCAAATTCCCACTTGTCAGGATCCACCTTCCTGAAGCCCTGCCAAAAGTAACCGATACATCAGAAATTGGAAAGAACATTCAATTCAACAGGGTGAATATGTTTTCTTATTTGTCTAAATCATTTTAGATCAACAGTAGCAAGAACAAAGGTAGAACTGAATTAAGAATGCATGCTATTTACCTCTTTATGACAATTTTCAGTTCACTTGACACATTTATCATTTTGCATAGTTTCAGTTCTTCACTTTATTTGTCAACTTTCCTCTTCACTCTTCATCCTTTAACATTGTTTTGAGGAAGAGAACAAAATGCATTCATCATTATCCAGTATCAACTAGAGGATCTAAGGCCTTTGGTAGAAGAAGATTTCACTCAAAATATGCAGGTGGTAGCCTGAATGGGAAGAATAACACTTCAATGGGGTCAAGTCAACAACATAATGGGACATTAAGTTGGTTAGTATACACAAAACTCTCTAAGTCTCAACAGGTTCAAGAAAATAAAATATAGAGAGGCCATATCGTAAGTAAAAAATCAACAAACTGTACAAGCTCATCTTGTCCCTAGAAATGTAAGATTCGAGATGTACAGCACTATAGTAACTATAGTAGATTGTGTTATCATATGTTGCTCATGAATGATCTTCAAGGCTAACAAGTTTTTAGGACAACTAGAGCATTCCGCATCACTGACTTTTTCAATTTTTGGCCAAATATTGGCAACACAGAAGATCAAACAACATTCAATTATGTTGCTTAGGATTTCCTAAATTTTTGGCCTACTATTCAGAATATGTATTATGTTTGAGTAATGATGAGATTTCAAAAGAAAAAAATGGTGTTCTAAAGTTATTATGTAATGTTCCAAACTGATACTCCATTTAAATGGATTCAGTTATGTTGCTTAGGATTTTTCCTCACAAACTTTGGTTGCATTAATTCCAGGACCTTCTATTATCTACTTCACAAAAGAAAAGCAGCACACAAACAATCATGCTATAGGCTAGTTCTTCCTAAACTTATCTGTAATGCCTTACCATGTCAAAATGAATGTCCACTTAACCATTTATCCGAGTGCCCATCATCAAGCCAATTGATCAAGTAGTATAACAAAGAATCATTTATAATTATCAAGTCCTTAAACTACTACCAACTCCCTGATTATTTCTAACACATCAGGGTTTAGCATAGATTTGATTGGGTTCTATGTAAGCAGATGATCGAGCAGGTGACTTACATAGGTATTGAGCTGCCGGACGAAGCTGGAGAAGTTGTTGTGCTTGAAGTACCTCGGCAGCAGCACGTTCCCAAAGAGGTGAGGATCCCACACCACGAAGCTGTTGTTGGTGGCGCTCCACGACACGACGGCGTCCGTGGTCGGGTCATCCACCATGTCGTACGTCTTGGTGAGGAACGGCGGTGGGCCGCCGTCGGCGAGCCCGTCCATCGGCCTCGGCGGCTGGCCATTCGCCACGCCCGTCGACGGCCCGCTCTCCACCTTCACCGGGTTCACCACTCGGTAGTTCATGGCAGCTCAGAACCTCACCTCAATCAAGAACTACCAACTAGAGCCACACGAACCAAGAATTTGCTCATCCAGCACCAGCAAACAATGGTGGAATTTAAAGCACAGATCGCCAAGCAAGGTAGCAATCAGCCTGTCACGGCTTTGGCGTGACGAAATCAAGTCGCGTAGGCGGCAGCAAGAAGAACAAGATGCAGCGAATCAGGCGAGCGCAATCTAATCCTGTGAACACACGCTTCACCCCATCACGAGCTCTCGCGCACCTAACAGCAGCAGCGGAAGCAAATCAAGCAAAGAGGAGGCGGACACCGACGTGCTCGTGCATCTGAAAGGAACCCGACAGAATCAGAAAGCGCACACCGCGTGATCAATTCATCCCCCCCGCCGACGAAGGATTCAGGCGAGATCGCAGCTCGCTGCTCGCGGCAAAGCACGAACTCTCGGGGAGATTTGAGGACGAGGAGGAGGAGGAGGAGGAGGAGGAGGCAGCACCCGACCACCTGAAGCTGACGAGGAGAGCTTCGAGCTCAGGAGATTAGCCCCTATTTGGAAAGGAAGCTTCTAGAAGCCTAGGCGTAGGAGAAAGGAAAGGAGAGCTCGCTCGCTTCTGGAAGCAGTGGAATTGGGGATTTTTCCTCCTCCGCCGCGACACAGGGAGGAGATAACGAAGACGAGACGACGACATACGTGTCGGGCTCCGATTGGGCCGAGGTAGAAACGCGGAGTCGGCCCATCTAACCGTATAATGGGCCTGGACTGGATCACCCGATTCCTCCGGCCCATATACCCGTATAACTGTACGATGCCGTATACCGTATATACCTTTTTTTTTTTTTGAAACCGTAGCCAAGCTATGCTGGAGTTATATTAAGGAGAATAAAAGGTATTTACAATATCACTAAGGGAGGTGAAAGAGAGAAAAAAACAAAAGAAACAGGAAGAAAAATAGAAAAAAAACACACACTAAATGAAAATATAAGCGGATACCGTATATACCTTACCCACGAAGGAAATATGTTTGACTTGGACTTCGAGAGAGCAATTAAATTAAAACAAATTGAAATTCGATCGCATCGTGCTTGGTGGTTGCGTTGGTCTTCGTCTTCTCTCCTCCTCCTCATCTTCATCTTCTTCTCCCCAATCGGCGGCGCCGCCGCGGAGGAATCGCGGATTGCGTCATCTTCTCCTCCTCCTCCGCCTCCGCCTCCGCTTCCAATCCCCGTCGTCGTCGGGTCACCGGAGCCAAACCCTAGAGGCTAGAGGAAGAGGGAAGCCATGTTCGGGAAGGGGCATGATCTCGAGGCCGGCGGCTCGTCGGAGCCGCTGTACCCGGGGATGGTGGAGAGCCCCGACCTGAGGTGGGCGCTCATCCACAAGATCTACGTCATCCTCTCCGTGCAGCTCGCGATGACGGCGGCCGTGGCGGCCTTCGTCGTCAAGGTCCGCGGCGTCTCGGAGTTCTTCGTCTCCTCCAACGCCGGATTCGCCCTCTACATCTTCCTCCTCTTCCTGCCCCTCATCGGTAGGGTTCAATTCACTCTTTGTTCTGTTTTTTTTTGGGATTGTATCAGTCGAATTTCCTCGAATTTGTGCCCTAATTGGCATGATTTGATTACTCTGTGTGTATAGTGTTGTGCCCTCTGCGCTACTACCACCAGAAGCATCCGGTGAACTTGCTGTTGCTCGGCCTCTTCACGGTTGCCATCAGCTTCGCCGTCGGCATGACATGTGCCTACACCAGCGGTAATCCTATCGTCCTTCACTTGTTCATTTCTGTGAATCAATCATGTTTACATCTGCGTGTGGTATAACTCATTACGTTTTTCTAGTCTAATTGAGTATCTGAACCACTTCTGTGGGTTGGTTCTTGGTTTCCATGAAAGAAGGTCGCTGCCTGCCTGCCTGCATTAGGAATCTGAAGCTCCTTGTTCCATCAAACATATACTAACATTGCTAAATATGTTGGCGTTTTTTTTATTCATTTTTTTTTCATTTGTTCAGTTGAGTATCCATAACAATTATGCAAGATTATGCTTGATTTTGAAGAATGGAATCACTCTTTACATTTTGAATATGTCCTATGATCTCCACCACAAGTAAATAGCTTGATGCTTTTGGTATGTGATGCGCTACAAACCATGCAGGGCAGTAGCATGTCGATGTGGCTCTTTCGTACGTAGACTTGTTCCCTAATAAATGACATGCTGAATTCTTCCCTCTGTTGTTCCATCTGTTTATTGCTTTGCCTTTCCTTAAGGTTCATCTTATTATACATATAATGTTTTCTGATAGCTGCTTTGGTTGTCTTCAAGCCTACAAGTTCTGCTTGATCTGATATCTGAGCCCTGTAATGGAGTCCCACGCACCTATGGTTTAGAAGTAGATTAATGGTAGTGAGAAGAATGCTGAGATGAGAGTAGTTTCATGATACCTTTTACATTCCATGTTTGAACCTGACCTCTGTAATAACTGAACAAATAATAGAGACATGATCTGCCTCTTTAACCCAAAAAAGAAGTTATGTGATGAATTATAACTATGTCAATTTTATTTAGACTAATAGGCCAGTAGGAGGTTTAACTAATTGTGATTCTTCCTGTTATCATGCATGTTTGTCTGCCTCGTTTTTATGTGCTGCAGGGGATCAATCTTTATTACTCTTCATTATGATCAGTCTTTATTATCTTCCTTGTTTAACTAATTGTATAGGTTCTCTATCGAGGAATTGATTGTGATAAGTTCTGTGAACAGGAAAAGTCATTTTTGAGGCGGCAGCTCTCACAGCAGTGGTGGTGATCAGCTTGACAGCATACACTTTCTGGGCTGCAAAGAGAGGCCATGACTTCAATTTCCTCGGCCCCTTCCTGTTTTCTGCTGTGATGGTGCTGATTTTATTTTCACTGATCCAGGTTGGATGGCTGCACCCTTAGTCCCTCCTATCTTATAAACCATCTATTGTTCTTGAGATGTTCATTGTAAACATCTATTGCTTGTTGATTTGTCCTTGATACTGATTGCATTTCTGCTCTGCAGATATTCTTCCCATTGGGCAAGATCTCTGAAATGATATATGGCGGACTGGCATCGCTCGTCTTCTCTGGATACATCATCTACGACACGGACAATATCATCAAGCGCTACACTTACGATGAGTATGTCTGGGCTGCTGTCTCGCTCTACCTCGACGTGATCAACCTCTTCTTAGCTCTGCTGCGAGTGTTGAGGGCAGCTGATAACTAGTTCATCAAGGCTAGTCTCTACCCTGCACATAACGAATGTCCGTGGATTCCTGTACCCTGATTAAGCATCACGCTTTTGTTGATTCTGCTGTAAATTCTTGCTTAGTGGATCCTGGAGACTTTTTATGGAACCGCATAATTGAATTTGTTAGCTATATTTCAACAAATAAATGCAATTGTTGCCTTGCTTCTTTGCTCGCTGAAAACCTGATTGCGTAACATTTATACTCAAATTCGTTACTTCATAGAGTTGTTGCCTGAATAACTAGAGAAAATGCTCAATCCTGCATGCATGCAAAGTACCTGACCGAATACTATTGAAGCTCTCCAAATGCCAGCACAAAGATGTCAGTTTGATGAACAGGGGAAGACTTTGTAAGTTGACAATTTACTTCATAAATAAACAAAAAATAAGGCCAGTACTATACCCTACAATAGAACCACTGGAAGTTGCCGCATTGAATAAAATACAGTTCAACTGAAGTGCCATGTGGAGGAATATAGCAGAGCAGCGTGTCACGGACAAACCAAATCACAGTATCACACCGATGCTAGCACTTGATACAAGAGTGTGTTTGGGGATACAAATGAAGAAATATAATCAGTGACTAGGAATAATCAGAACAAAGATCAGAGAAAAGAGAGCCAGATGTTGGGAAAGATGAGGAGAGAGTCGGAGGAGAAAGAAGACGGTTTCATCAATTCTGTTCAATCCCCCTTTTGCTGTAGTATTGCTTTGTTTTGTAACCAGTTAGCTGATCATGTACACATCCGTGATCAGCTGGGCTTCATAGATCATAGTGTAGTGGTAAGAGTTAGGTCCGTTCGTTTCTTCTGTAAGAAGTGGATGAAAATATGGGATACTCATGGCATGCTTTTCAAACTGCTAAACGGTGTGTTTCGTGCGAAACCTTTCTATATAAAAGTTGTTCTAAAATATCAGATTAATCCATTTTCAAGTTTGTAATAATTAAAACCCAATTAGTCATACATTATTACCACATCGTTTTACGTGAAGCACTTGCTCCCTCCATCCAAAAAAAAGACAAACCCTGGTTTCCATGCCCAACGTTTGACCGTTCGTCTTATTTGAAATTTTTTTTAAAAAAAAAAAATTAAAAAGACAAGTCACGCATAAAATATTAATCATGTTTTATTATCTAACAACAATGAAAATACGAATTATAAAAATATTTCATATAAGACGGACAGTTAAAGTTGGATACGCAAACCCAGGGTTTGTCTTTTTTTAGGACGGAGGGAGTAATCTTTATCTTCAGGAGATTCAAACACCACCTTTGGTGTGTGGTTTCAACCTCGAAATCCAATGTTCACTCCATGTCCGTGACACAAGGGTTGGCATCCTCCGGTGGTGGCATGGCGGGGACGGACTCACGGACAGCGGCAACCGGCCAAGTCGTCGGTGGACGGTGGCCGCGCGCCCGCGGTGTCGACTCGCACAATGCGGCGGCGGACGAGGGAAGACGAGCCCGACTGTCGAGCCGCACGTACGCGGGAAGGCGCGCAGTGACGGCAACGGTGACCCCACATGTCAGAGACTCGGAGACGCACGGGTGGCGCCGGGGGGGGGGGGGGGTGGTGCTCCCCATGGCGAACACGAGGAAATTAAAGCCGTCTCGACGAGACGTAGACGCGCGCCAAGAATAGCAGCAAAGCCTCGCCGCCATCTCTCTCCACCACCCAAAATTTCTAAAAGACGCCGCGCGCTTTCTCACCAACCGCACACATCAACCACCACAGGCTGACGCCCGCGCCGGCCACAGCTAGCGCGTACGCCGCCGCCGCCGCCGCCGTCGTCGTCGTCGTCTCCGATCGATCGACGAACCGAGGCACCAGCAGCACGGAGCTAGGAGGGTAGCGATCGAGACATGGGGAAGCATGGCAAGTGCGACGTGGAGGCGTGCTACCCGGGCGGGGCGCCGGGCGGCGGGATGTACCCGTACATGATCGAGAACGCGCAGCTCCGGTGGGCGTTCATCCGCAAGGTGTACGTGATCGTGTCGGTGCAGCTGCTGGTGACCGTCGCCGTCGCCGGCGCGGTGAACCTCGTCGAGCCCATCAAGACCTTCTTCCAGGCTCGCACGCCGGAGGTCCTCGTCGCCTACGTCATCATCATCATCTCCCCCCTCATCAGTACGCAGCTGCTCATCCTCTCTCCTTCTTCTTCTTTTCTTTCTTTCGATTACATGACAAACGCACACGCACACATCACTACACATGTAATATCGTACTCACACCCCCGCGAATACGCCTCCTAATACACGCTAAAAAGAAGGAAACTATATGTACATTCCTAATTTTACTAAAATTCTGCTGAAATATCATCGGCGTGTGTACAATATTCGTTGTTTATTAATTCGGTTGATCATTGCAGCGACCAACTAATTAGATTTCTATTGATGTATTTAATTCAGTGATGCTGCCGATGATCTACTTCCGTAACAAGCATCCGATCAACCTCTTCTTCCTCCTCCTCTTCACCGTCTGTATTAGCTTCTCCGTCGGCCTGGGTTGCCTCTCCAAGAATGGTACAAACGAATTTGAATAATTTCATACTAACAATATTATTTGTATTGTTATTGCTGAGATGATAGACGAGATTAAGATTTCTCATCTCAAGTAATTTTTGTGATATCAGGGACAGTGATATTTCAGGCGGCGGGAATGACGGCGGCGATAGTGATCGGACTGACCTGCTACACGTTCTGGGCCGCCAAGAGAGGCTACGACTTCGAGTTCCTCGGCCCATTCCTCTTCGCTGCCACGCTCGTCCTCTTCCTCTACGCCATAATCACGGTAAGCGTGATCTATCTAATCATGTAGTATTTGAAAAAAAAAGAGTTCGAATCAGGTGAACTAATTTACTGAACTTCCCTTTTACTTTATATGTCGCCTATAATTTTTTTAAACGGTCTTCAATAACATACTTTGACCAATATTTTATTTTATTCTATGATCCGATAAATATGAAATTAGCATCACATCAAAATATAAATCTAATGATAAAAGATGCATAATAATTAGTATAGATATAGTTAGTATAGATATAGTTAGTATAATTATTAGTAAAAAGCTACCGAGTTTGATTTTTCTTAAAAAAGGAGCGTCCTATAATTTAGGACGAAGGGAGTATTAAGTATTAAGTGCTAAACTAAGATTAATTTGTAAGAAAGAAATGCTATTTTTGGGACGGTGTACTAAGTACTATTGATAATAAAGTTTATAAAAATAATTAGTAACATCTACAATACCAAATTAGTTTTATTTAGTATAACATCAAATATATTTGGATAATATGTTCGTTTTGCGTTGAAAATATTACTGTACTTTTCTACAAACAATCAAACTTAAAAAATGACTAAAAAGATATAAAAACGATATATACCATGAAAAGGAGCAAGAAAGTTGAAGAAAGTTGAGAAATTGGCATGCATACAGATCTTTTTGCCGATGGGGAGAACGGGGAAGTTGGTGTACGGGTGCGTGGCGGCGCTGATCTTCTCCGGGTTCATTATCTACGACACCGACAACCTCATCAAGCGATACACCTACGACGAGTACGTGGCCGCCGCCATCACGCTCTACCTCGACATCATCAACCTCTTCATGGCCCTCGTCACGGCGCTCCAGGCCGCCGATGGGTAGTAGAACAAGTTTGCCAACCACATTGGGCTGCAGGATGAAGCTGGATCGAAATGTGATTTCTAGTACTTTTTTTTAAACACAAGACAGTGTATGTAAAGATAGGGTTAAACAACTCCTTTGTGATTGGGCATTAACAAGCAAGCATTGCCAGTCCAAACTGTAGTTTGAATCATCTTGTCATGACATAGCAAATTGACCGAATGACCACAAGTTTGGTTCCCAGTTAACTAAGACAGGCAAACAAACACAAGCTAAACATATGCAACAGTTGCTGTGACGCAGATCGATCGATCTAACAAGTACCACCACAACTCCAAATATGAATTTCTTAAGAAACATGTAACGGTTACTGTGAAGCAGATCGATCGATCGATCAAGAAGGTACCACCACAACTCCAAATATGAATTTCTTAAAGAGGAAACATATGAATTCGCTTGCCACATCAAGCCATCGGTAGCACTACAAGGTAAAGCCCGAGGCCAAGAGGCAAATGTATGGTATCTCCACCAGATCCTGCGGCTCTCAAATTCCTCATGTATAAAATGGGGCGCAAAGTTGCCAAGATCAACTAGAAATTCAATTGTTAACTGTTTTTTGTGCCATACACCCATTGGAACATGCTAGCTTCGTATGGTCTTAATGCTCTTCTATCTTCTTCAGGTCCTTCATATTTGTAGTGTCCACACTGCAAAAAGAAACCAAGCGTCTCTTAGCCTCTCAGCAGGCAGGCATAGCACGTGTGAAAACAATTTCCACCAAACACGTGTCCCGATGGGAAATTATGCAATGACTAAATAAAAATTTGGAGCTACACTTGATGCATAATTCAAAGCTTGAGTCTTGTTGAAATGGACTGTATTTAGCATATTCAGTTCTAAGTTGGTAATATGTGCTTTCACCATCAGTTTTTATCATAAATTAGCAAGTGCTAAAAATGAAGCATACAAGTTTAAGCAGTCCAAGCTCCTTTCTTAACTTTCACTCTAACAAACTTATTAATTATACTTCCACCAAATTTCAGCAGTCCAAGCAAAAGAGCAATTACATAGAAAAATAGAACTTACGTTGTTCCGTACAGCGCAATCTTGAGAATTTTTGAGACATCACTTCCACTTTGATTGTCCTCAATAAATATAGTCAGGCTGGAAAGAAAAAAAAAAAAGGTCATCACAAGAAAACAGGCAGGCTTGCACATGCACTGTGCTCATGTGTCAGAGAAATGCACATACCTGCGAACATTCTGGAACTTGACATACTTAAGCTGCATAGGCTTACTCTGCAAAAAAAGAATGGCCAGGCTCATCATTTCAACGTAAGAAATTTCCCAAAATAGGAACTATTGACATCAAATACTAAATGATCATCAAGGAGAAAAAAAACAAATCCAGTGGCAAAACTCAGGACAGGAAGGTACCTCTGATAAATGATTGGAAGACAGGTCAAGACTGTCACTTGGTGGATAGTCATTGACATTGCTGCCATTAATTTGAGAAATTTATGTCAACCTAAAGAGAGAAAGGAGTTGAAAGTCCCAATGAGCTTTTAACTTCAGAGTTAAAAGTTGGTATACCTGAAACCCATATGCTCTTTGTTGCAGAAGAGTTTAATTGTTTTCGGGCCTACAATGACAGAATATTATAATTATTTGAGAAAGCATCACAACCCAAAAGATAGTGGAAGTGCACTTAAGAAAGGGGCTTCTAACTTTTAGGAATCAATTAACTCATCCGGAAGTATGGATAAAGAATCATAAAGAAAAAGGCCAACATCAGCGTATTAGTTCCTATGCACAAGCTAGAACTTAATGCACAAAAATACCTACAGAGATTTGCAGTTTTGCACAAGATGAGAATCGTAGGAACTTAGAGGTCCAACTACAACTATGTTTCAACTTTGAAAAGAACTAATCTCCACTAAATGGGTACTTTTAAAAATAAATTAATGGTTTATGCCATAGATCATAGATGTCAAGTAATTATCTGGAATTTGTACAGTGGCCACCTTTGCCATAAGTCTCTAAACAATTGAAACTTTGTACCAACACTAGCACCACAACTAACAATTATTTTATATAAGCTACATAGTAATGATAATTCTTACAGTTACCATTTCAGACCCACTGAATCATTAAATATCATGAGTACACAAAATAACGACTTAGATTTCACCATCTAGCAATAACGATCCTCACACAACTAGTAATAGATAGGACAGCTATAAGTCGTCATCCTCCAAATTAAAAGAAGTTAGCTGCCATAAATGTCTTGCTCTAATTCAACTCATCCAATCCTAACTGTAAGCTAAGAGTTGCATTTTTCAAGGTAATATACAGATGTCTTGCTCAACCAGGCGGCAAGTTGCTGCTCGTCTGCGCATGCCCAAGCCTCTGGGCTTGAATAATGATCTGAATGAACAGGTGAATAATCTTGGGGCCTTTTGGCTAAAATTGCTGTGGGTTTTCGGGCTGTAGCGGCACAGCCCAGCTGCTCAGCTGCAAGTTGGTTAGGGGCACTGTGCAATGGGCAATAGAGGAAGCCAAGAGATTTGCTGCTGCTGTGCATCTCAGCTGAGCAGCCCCAAAGATTGCCACTAATTACATATACAACATTGTAACACCATATTTAGGGGCGGGGGGTAATCAGGACTCAAATGAAAGAATTAACCACACCTTGGTTTTTGTGATTTGGCCTAAAATGAGAGCATATGTAACTACTACCACAGTTCAAATTTGCATAGAACTCTAGCATCCCATGCATAAAGCCCTAACAGGGGTTGAAATTCTCACCATCTTCCTCGGGGCCCTTGAATAGCGCGGAATGCAGCTTAACCACCTGCATGAAGGGGATGTGGATAAGCAGCTGCTCATCCGAATCGCTGGCCAAGTACAGCCCCTCGTCGTCCCTGTAACCCTGCAAGCATCAAAACGCAATCGCCAATCAAAATCCGATCACGCAAAAACCGCGCGATCGATCGGGCACAACACCACCTTCTAGTAGCAGCAAGTAACGAAACCCTAGACAAATAAAACTTCAAACCACGCCCAAAAAAAGAAAAAAAAATCTAAAATCCGCGGAGCCGCAAGGAGGATTGACCGAGCGAGCTAGGGTTTGTAAGGGAGGGGAAGAAGAGCAGGTGGGGGCTGGTTTACCTGCTTGAGGGCGTTAACGATGCTGTGGGCGGGGTCCTGGTTGAGGCACTCGACGCCGCTCCAGTCGATGAAGTCGACCAGATCCACCTGCCCGCGCGGCACCGGCGTCGCCGGAGCTGGGGCCGGAGCGGCGGCGGCGGCGGCGGCGGCGTTGGTGGCGGCGGCCATGGCTTGTGGAGAGGCGGGCGGGTTCGCGTGCGACTCCGACCCTTGCGAAGTTGCGGCTGCGACGCGGTGCGGTTGGGTCGGCGGCCTAACTGGCTTATAAAAGTAGAGGCGAAGCGACGAGAGGCGGCGGGTCTCTTTTCAGTTTTCACTTGGGTCTCGGTCGGCTTTTGTTTCAGAAATCAGTGTGGATTCCATTTCGGATTTCGGAGTCGTTTTTGTTTTGAGGAATTTTGAATCCGAAAATAGTTTAGTTAAGGGCCCGTTTGACATAGGTGAAGATGGAGAATTTTCAGCGTACATAAAATTAGACAAGCCTTTAGCACATGATCAACTAAGTTTTAATTATTACTACCAATATAAAACTTAAAAAATAAATTTATTTGATATTTTAGAGCAACTTCTATATATAAAATTTTCACATGAAATGTACCTTTTAACAATTTAAAAAGTGTACCGATGGAAACTGAGATAAAATCTATATTTTAATTCTAATTCTGAAAATTATGACAGTCAACCTGAAAAAGAAGTGAAAACATCGACATCATTTAATCATGGTCAGTCTAGATTATAACGGTAAATATTGATGAAACAACACCTATGTATGAAGTACAATTCTATTATTGGATAAACTTTAATGTAGCTTCGTGCAATTGCGCGGGAAATCCTTTATTTCATCAATGTAAAGAACTGATTATAAGATTATCCAGTTCAGAAAATGGCAATAATTTGGTCTTCGTTTGGTGTTGCCGTCCTAAGGACTGTCGGCATCGTCTTGTATTATCCCTTCGGGTTGAGTGTATTTCTCTCCTTCAAATTAGCAGTAGAGCTCCTTCAAACTGATAAGAATTTTAAGCCCCCCAACACATGCAAGCATAAAAATTTTCAGCCTTTTAACCTGGGAAAATATGTGATGGAAACTACATATTTAATGGAAACCTAAAAACTATCTTTGGATTAAAAAATACATCTAAGATTTGTCCACGTCATTACAAGTAAAAAAATTTACTCGTAGATTTACCCATGAGTAAAAATTTTACTAGGATAAATCTAAGACATCTATTTTTTGATTTGACAGTAGTTTCTAAGTTTCTTCTACATATTTGATTTGCATTACAAATTTTCTCTAGTAACTTCCATGAGCATTACACACAAGGCGTTTAGGCCTTGCAATCCGTTGGGACTCCAGAAACGGTAAAGACGGAGCATTAACCTTGAATCAGCCATCTGAAAATGCAGAAAGCCATAAACATATATTAGGTGAATACAAGGACCAGACAATAATGAGGATAAAATGTAAGCTGCAAACCTGGAGAGCTAAAAAGGTAGAACATGTGTTCTTCAAACTTTCAGAATAAGCAAATAACGGTGGTACTCTTCAATTTGTAAACTAGTACTCTGTTCTTCCTTCCTGAATCTTCCGTTGTTAAGCTCCTTGTTTCGTTTATTCACCCCATCTCAAGACAATATTCAGGTCAAGGTGAATTATAGTAAATCTGTAAGTATACAAGATGAATTGTTCAATTCAGATGTTTATTACTTGGCACACCACACCATTATCTAAAAAAATTACTTGGCACACCACACGTTTTGTATCCTTCAGAAATCCCTGATGAACGGACCACAACTAAAATATGGCTGACCCTTGATAAATCTTGGGGTGGTAAAGATTGCAGAGTGAATGATTCGTCCAAGTAACGTACTAGCATACAGTTCTTAATATTGTTTTCAAAGGAAAATCATAAGTTCATAACACCATGGGTTTCAATTCTTGTACAGTTCAGGCTACTGTCTACTTTTACACATACCCAAAAACAAATGCTCAAGACTCGTGCATGCAACGAAGCAAAAGAAGATTGTCGTTTAGGAAAAAAAGGTGAAGATTAGTCAAGGCGCTATATTATACAAACAAATCCAAACCATATAAGTGATTGCGCCCACAGGAGCACAAGAATGATTGATCCAAGAAAAAAATTACCGTTCATTACATGAAGGGCATCACTTATTGAATCTGTTAGGCTACTCTCCACTTTATCCATATATCCTGAAACAGTATGCTGACTATAAAGATTCATGTAAAAAAAAAAGCAAAACAGAAGAAAAGGCACAAGGTTACCAAGATATATAACACACTTTTGTTGAATATAATTAACTTTCTGCAGTATATTATGCAAGGAAATTGAGCATGTCTACACATATTAGCATGAAAACGGATTAGTGTTATGTTACAAGATAGAACAGAATGCAAGTTTTGCAAAAAAAAAAAAAAAGAAGAAGAAGATAAAGCTAAATAGCTGTTTTCTGAAAGACAGATGATGGTGTGCAGAAAAACAGCTCAGTCACTCACCATCTCATCTCCTGGAGGTATTTGTACTTTTACAACCCTCACGTCACAAACAAAGTTGCTTGAGCATCCATGCCATCCAATAATTATGACAATACACACCAAATCCAAATTATCATGATGTTTCTTTACTGATAGAATTTCCTAAGAGAGCCGCCTGAAAATGTTGTCCCTCAAACAGCGCACAAGTATAGAGCTCAAAGGTCAGCTGTGCAACTATCTGCTTGTGATTGCACACTGATTAAAAGGAAGTCTTACGACTCTTAATCTAGACCCTCCAACAGTATGTTGCTTACATTGTCATCATCCACTGTGTGGTTGACTTCATCACTTTCTCTAGGCTCCTCTCGACCACTACTGCTGAGCAAGATACTATGTGTCCTTGAATCAGGTACCCATCCCTTCTCTATCATTTGATCAAGAAACTTACATGCTTCACTCTTGAAGCCCTCTTTAATAAGGCCATAAATAATAATGTTAGATATTCTGGGACTCATCATTCCATCCATATTTACAACTGTTAGCAAACTTTCTGAAATCATATTAAGTAAAGAAGAAAGAGCCATCTCAGGGACTAATAGCTCAAATGTCTCTTGGTCAGGAACAAAACCATCCTTCACCATTCTGTTGAACAAGATAGCAGCCTCAAAAATCGTTTCCTTGGTAAGGAAATAACGCAAAATACAGTTGTATGTATACTCATTCAATAGACAGCCTTCCATCAACATATGTGCAAAGAGAAGTAACACATCCTTCTCCTTCTTCAAATGGAGTAGCGCTCGGAAAATTGTGTTATAAGTGGTAAATGTACAAGAAGTACCAGTGCAAACAGCTAATGAACGCATTTTGATTGCCTCACGGATCATTCCAACCATACAACTTTCTTGAATTAACATCTCAAGTGACTCACTGGTAAGGTTACATCCTCTTTTGCAGTGATATTTAAAAACTTCAGCTGCTTCTTGGATCTTTTTCATGTGGCACAAGCTCTCTACCAGCTGTGAAAAAGATTCTGAATTCAAGGATAAGTTGCTAACATCCAGCCTTCTGAACATATCTAAGGCATTCTTGTACAAACCTAGCTTGCAGTAACAAGATACAACAGAAGAATATGTGCTCTCATCAGCTGTAAAAGAGGAGACTATCATTCTACAGATGAGCTCAGATGCTCTTCTAATATTCCCATTGTTGCAGAACTGAGCGATAACTATATTCCATGATTGACAATTAACTAAACCCCTGCTGTGTAATTCTGTAAGATAGTTAACTGAATCCTGAACTCTTCCTGTTTTACACAATGATCTCAGCAATACATTATATGCTTCAATTTCAGCAACATCATTTTCCTCAAGAAAGTTCACAGCTTTGTGGAACTGACCCAGTGTGCAGTAACAGTCTACAATGTTCACAAACGTACTCCTCATCAGAGCATGGCCTGACGCTATCATGTCATTAACTGTTGTGACTGCATCATCCAATAGTTGATTCTCGCATAAGCATCTAATCAAGGCGCTATATAAATGCTGATCTGACTGAAGTTTATATTCTTTCATCATTTGATGCAATTTTCTGGCCTCCTTCAATTTATTGAACTTACAGAATAAGGGCAAAACCTGAACACAAAATGAGCTATCAGGGATGCATCTCAGCTGCAGCATCTTATCAAATGCGTCTGCTGATTCATCAGCTCTGCCATGGGAGCAAAGTGCTGTTATGAGTATCTTGAAAGTACGGCTATTAGGAATGCACCTCTTCTTGCTCATCTTATCAAATTGAACCAGTGCCAACTCTAAATGGCCAGCTTCACACAATACCTCAATTAACCAATTCAATGTTTCCACATCAGGGAGAACTCCGGCCTTGACAACCTCCATGTAGGCACGCATGAACGGCCGCAAGCCCCTCCCTTCCTTGACCAAACCACACAGAACACCATTACAAGACGAGACTGAAATCTTGAAATTACCAGAGCTAGCATGTTGGATAACCAGCAACGCTTCATCGAAACGGTTTTTACCACTCAAAAACTGAACTAAATCATTCATGACTTTCTCCAACCCAGGTACATCCAATCTGACCATCTCCTTCAGAAATCCTCCTATCTCATCATGGTTCCCTGCATCACCAAGCTTAGCAATCATACGGGCGTATGTGTCAACCGTGTGAATGGGCATTCTCTGATATGAAGCCCATCTGAATATCCTAAGGGCCAGGTTGAAATCTGAAGCAGAATCAAGGATATGCGCTAGCCTCTCTGGCTGGGGATTGATCCTGAGCGATCGGATCGCGGAATCGAACTCAGAAGAACACCCTCTAGCGCCGCCGCCGCCGCCGCCGCCGGCGGCGGAAGCACGAGCAGCAGGCGCATCAGAGAAAGAGCAGCACATCAGCCTGCTCCATAGAAGGTGCGGTCTCGCAAACCACATGCGGGACTGGACCTTCAGCGCCATGGACGCAGCTACATGGCTAGGGGATGGCTCTAAGCTGCTGCCGACGTGCAGCTCGTGGCCGATACCTTTGCAGTCGCGCGGCGCGTGTTGGAGGAAGCGGCGGAGATGGGGAGGTAGGTGGGTGGCTGCGCGTCACCGAGGAGGACGAGGGGTCGGCGGAGGCGAGCGCGGCGGCCAGTTTCGAGGAGGGGCGGAGGCGGAAGGCGGCGCCGGAGAACGTCGGCCGGAGGCCGAGGCGAGGGCGAAGCGGCGGCGGCGGCCGGAGGCGGTGGAGAACGGGGATTCTGGTAGCGGCGACGAGCACGGTTTGGTGGGCCAAATTCATATGGGCTCATGAACTAGTACTAGAAAATTGACACATGGGCCTGTTTGTTTGGGCTGCATTTTCAAATCTGGTTGTATTTTTTTAAAAGAGAATTCAACTATACTCCCTCCGTTTCAAAATAAGTGCAACCTAATAAATGATGTGACATATCATAGAACAACAAATCTAGATAGACATACATGTCTATATTTATAATTATAGAATAAGTATGTCATATTATTTAACCAGGTTGTACTTAAATTTAAAATGGAGGGGGTAATATATAAAAAAAATTAAGTATATTTCACTTTGGGTCACTTTTAGTAGTTAAAGTTTCGCTATGGACTTGGATTACACATATCTTTTCAATTAACACTACATATATTTGCAAGATGTAACTGTTATCTTTCACTGATGATGCATTGATACCATGATTAATTAGAGATAGATATGGAGCTCATCTCTCTGTGAAATGTCTCAATCTCTGAACAGAAGTTGCCTAATTTTTCAAATTGCAGCTAGCTCAATCGGATCAGTAGCATCAACTGGCCGCTTACTCTCAATTCTGGAGTACAGTGAGGACACTGCACTGACATGCTGAGATGAGATGGGACCTTCACTTGCACTGTTCTTAATTCTTGTTTAGCTTTGTATAGGTTTCAATGTGGTCTGCTGCTGGTCCTGCTTACTGTACTGTAGTACTATACTGTATTCCTTTGAATAATTTCTTCTCCTACTTCCCATGAATGAAATGTAACTATATACAGAGAAGTGGGGGAAAAAACATGGTACTGAATCTGCTAATTTTCAGAGTGCTATGTTGATATGTTCTTGAGTTGTTCTGTAGAAAAACAGAGAAGAAGATACCAACTAACACTGCCATTTAAGAAACCAACGCTTTCAACTAACGAACTTAGCTAGGAACCTTGCCTGCAGGCTGCAGATTAATTACTATTAATCACAAAAACTAAAACACAAATGTACATGTCACAGTACGCCATCACCACCAACGAACTGAGTAACAAAACACATATTTTGACCTAGTGATCTCTTCCTGCTGCAGTTGGTGAGTCTGCAGTGGTTGGGCTTGGGCACACGTCAAACAACCAAATCTCTTTCCATCGTGGAAACGGCCTTCTTTCTGATCTTCCGTTCCTACTGACGCGTCCCAATGAGCAAATCAAACGAGCTGTGATACAGGTAGAAGCTTCTGATTTCTTGCAATGGATTAAGAATGCTTTGCACAAGCTATCACGAAGCAGCCATCGTCAAGTTGCATGCATTTTTCTCCTCTGTGATGGAAGAGCAGAGAATGTCCTTACTCCTTCCTACTCTCTCCATCCTATTATAAGTGCAGCCATAAATTTCCGTGCCCAATATTTAATCGTCCGTCTTATTTCAAAAATTTATAAAAAAATTTTAAAATTAAGTCATGTATAAAGCATTGTTTCAAAAATACTCATCATAAAAATATTTCAAACAAAACGGATGGTCAAAATTGGGCACTGAAACTCACAACTACACTTATTATGGGACGGAGGGAGTACTATCTGCATGCTTGACAGACCTCAACAAGTTTAAGCACCAAAAAAGTTGCTTCAATTTTACATAACAATGTATAAAATTTTGCATGCCCACTCCTATTAATTGAGCTAGTTTTTTTTTTGTCAGCTGAGTTAACTTTCTGAGAAAGTTCATGTAAGGTATACATTTAAGGGCTTATTCAGATCACGGGATTGTAAAATTGTAGGAATAGGAAAATCATAGAAATATTATAGGGATGTATGTGTAAAACAGATGATTGAAAAACACAGGATTGTAGATAGGATTGGTAAACATATGTTCGGATAGACAGAGGAAAAACATAGGAAATGGAAAAAAAATGAGGTAGGAGTGAATGGAAAATTTTCCTTTGTTTCTCTATTGATTCCACTGGAAATGAATTCGTCGTCCGATTTTCCTTTAGGCTGATTCCTATGAACCGAACGATGGGAAAGGAAATATTTCATCATCGAAAAATCCCTCAATCCGAAGAGGCCCTAAGTAGGTAGAGCATTGACAAGCCCTCTTGCTTCCCCTTGAATGCATCTCCTTTCATCCATTGGTGGGGAGAGAGCACGAAACTGATTGACACGACACAATGACATGGCTACGACACGATCGTCATCCTGGTGGCTTGGGCAATATGGTATGAAAAGAGCGAAACAATCGGGTTGACATAAGCATGATGATGAGGGAAGTGGTAGAGGTTGTAGCGACAGAAGCTGTCCTATGGCACAAGGCGAGTGCACCCATCTAGCCACCCCCGGCTGAAGACAGACACACCAGACTTTGGGAGACATCGCTATTAGCACCTTTTTTTTCTTTTTGATTTTGTTTGTACATAACTGAGATGCTCTTGTGAAAGTCTCATCCTCAATCTTAATACAAAGATACACACTTTGCGTTTTCCAAAAAAAGTAGATAGAGCATGTATTTGTATTGTTGGCATTGAATTATAGGTGGAATGCCTTCCAAAACGATGAGCTTGAACTGGAGTTCTCTTTTTTTCCCCTTGTAAAGATTACCCTATTTTACATCCTGATGTTAAATGCAGAAAGGAGTCAGAAAAACTGAATTATACAGGTAGGGAACCAAATGACCCATCACCAAACAATATTTGGGTTGAAATAATATCCAATTATAGTTCCTACGAAGAGAATAATCTCCAATGATAGTGGCACCCCCTCGCATAATTAAGAAGCATTCTAATACTATTTGGTCAACACACATGCAACAGACATGGAGAGAGCAGGCAAACTAAAAAAAAGGTAGAAATTAGCTGAAATGATCATGTCAAATACTTAACATGCATGCATGCATGCCAAGATAATTTAAGCTTTATACGAACAGGCGTCTCCATCATCAACCGCACATTAGCTTAAATTAGCTAATTTAAGGTCAATACAAATTAGCTGAAACGGCCATGTCAAATACTTAACATGCATGCATACCAAATGCAAATTAATATTGCAACAACAGTTGCACATAAACAAACCAGGGAAGAAGCATCTTCTAGTCATCAGTTCTGAAATACAACACCCACAAATCAATGTTTTAACATATTCTAGATCGGTTTCAAAACCAAAAGGAGATTTGGAGAGAGAAACGTGCCTCCAAATATTTTTAGAAAAGAAACTACAAACATGTTACGGATTAAACAAAGAATCTTGAGGTTAAAACCACACATCTTTTACACTGCACTGTTAAGTGCATCTCAGTTTCATATTATCTTACAATTTTTTTCCCTAGATAATGCCTCAGATTATCTCATATAATACCAATTAAACTATGCACTTTAATTCATCACAAACCGTAGGCACAGCGATATTTAAAATGAGCCACAAAATCATTAGTGAAAACGAGAGCAATCTCTCATCGATGGGCGATTCAGAGAGCTTGACATGTCACCAAATGCTGCTGCTGCTTCTTCGATGAACAGCAACAGCCAGCAAGTCGCAGGTCACGTCAGAATCTGATGCTACCGGTTCTGTGCCGGGGCGTGATGTGAAATGCATTCAGAGATCGATCGATGTGAGATTAGGAGATAGCAAATTACTCCCTCCGTCCCAAAATAAGTACAGTTTTGCACTATTCACGTTCAACGTTTGACCGCCCGTCTTATTTGAAAATTTTTTATGATTAGTATTTTTATTGCTATTAGATGATAAAACATGAATAGTACTTTATGTGTGACTAAATATTTTTAATTTTTTCACAAAATTTTTAAATAAAACGGACAGTCAAACGTTGGGCACGGATATTCACAGCTGCACTTATTTTGGGACAGAGGTAGTAAATCCCACTGCAAGAACGAGGAGGACGAGATTAGGAAGGGGATTAAGAGGGAGATGGCGTTGTCGCCAACTACCTTACGTACTGCAGCTGCATATATGATATATATTTGCATCATCATGCAATTATTTTGGTTTGAATTGCTTGGTATATGAGAAGATTATTTCTTTTGAAAGGATAGCTAGCTGCTACGATGCTACCATCTGGAACAAAGATACTACAGTACCAACAGCAGACAAGCTGGTATTTATATCTAATTATCTTTTAATTTGTTATTGTTTGTTAGATATAATCTCTGTTTAGATTTCTGATCAAGCATGCCAACTACTGGTAGCTTAACTATTTTATGCAATTGCTTCTCTCTTTTTATTTTTTTGAAAGATCATGCAATTCATCACTACCTCAGGTTGCAAGTAGCAAAGTACTAAGTGCAACCGAGAATTACTCAAAGAACAAGACTGAAATAACAAATGTGCATGATCTGATGCTATGATACAGCCTAATAACCTATGGCTCTAAATCTTTTCATAAGTAGATTCTAATGCCTAAACACTAGATGAAATTGATGACCCTTGTAACTGAACAATGCACTGAATAACTGAATACAGAAAAGCTGCCTGGATTGCACACAAGTTGTGCCTTTTTTTTTATTCTGTTCCAAGCAGGAAGCATCCCTGAAGCTTTCTTTTCGTCGTCAAAATTCGTGCAGGCAACACATATATATTTTTGGCTCTTTCTGTTGATTGGATCGTGCGAGCATGAGCAGAGAAGAAGGTGTAAACAAAGCAAAAGGAACAGCACAAGAGAGGCCAACAAACACGGGGAATAACTAGCTAGAGCTAAAGTTAATTCTCTCCATCTTTTAATTAGTTAAATGGAAAGGCACTAATACGGTTTTTTTAAAAGTGCCAATGTTTGCCCCTGTCAGGGCCATCATGTGATTGAGAACTAGAAACCATCTTTTAATGTACTTGATTTGAAAACTCACCAAAGAACGATATGAGTAATCAATATGAGTGAAAAAGACAGCATTTTATGATATATATCTAAATGCAAGCAATCCGCAATATAAGGTCTAAATGAAACTATCTGCAATACAAGATCCTAGGTAAAAGTCACACATCACAACTGTTGGTGCAGGTTTCTTTAAGGCCAGTTCAGTTAAGCAGTTTTTGCAGTCCCCTACTGATTTTTCAGGAAAAGAAAAGGGCATACATGCATAGAGATATATATTTTTTTCAGAGAATGTGTTCTCTTTAGATAGGATAAAAATTCAGAGAATCAGTTTAAAAGTCTGCCTCTCAGATGGGTACAAATTGTTAGACTCATCTGAAAAAAAAGTACAGGACAGGACATGAAGATAGTGCTGCATGATTTGTCAGTGTCACACACACGATGCAAATTCCAAATTTGACCGTGTCTTCGAGTGTACAAGCAGGTAAGCCTAGTGCATGCAGACAACTTGCTAGGTAAGAAAAAATGGACCGGCTCCTCCCTTTGTCACACGCTGACCCTTCCAAATATGCACAAAATCGTCAAGAAGGAAATCGCAAGCGAAGCAGTCAACCATGCGTCCGTGCTGCTCCTAATGATACAAAGATTAATAAACAAAGAAATTATTAATCAAGGTTAGATGAGTCGATGATGCACACACGCATACTTACACCAACGAACAGAGAATACAAAATTAAGCTTTAAAAAAACAAGTGCAAAGCTCCAAAGAATGGCCTATATAAGCAGAATTAAACACCCGGCAGAAACGCGTACTAAACACTGATTAGTAGCACAACTACTACTCATAGCAACATACGAGGTGAGCTGGTGAGGTGTAGCTAGCAACCAACCTTTGTACTGCCATACGCGTCTCATTGCATGGCGAGAATGCGCGTCTCGGCGGCGGCGGCGGCGGCGCTGTTCGTGGCGGTGGTGGTGGCCTCGCCGCTGCTGGCGTCATCGCAGCAGCCGGCGATGGCGCCGGCGGCGGCGGCGGCGCCGACGAACAACTCGCGGCTGGAGAAGGCGTACGTGGCGCTGCAGGCGCTGAAGCGCGCCATCACCGACGACCCCAAGAACCTGACGCACAGCTGGTGCGGGCCGGAGGTGTGCGGCTACTTCGGCGTGTACTGCGCGGCGGCGCCCGACGACCCGTGCGCGCGCACGGTGGCCGGCGTGGACCTCAACCACGGCGACCTCGCCGGCACCCTCCCGGAGGAGCTCGGCCTCCTCACCGACCTCGCCGTCTTCCACCTCAACTCCAACCGCTTCTGCGGCTCCCTCCCCGACTCCCTCCGCAACCTCCACCGCCTCCACGAGATCGACGTCAGCAACAACCACCTCTCCGGCTCCTTCCCCTCCCAACTCCTCTGCCTCCCTGACCTCAAATACGTCGACCTCAGGTACATCTACATAAAAATTTTACGTTTCTTGAGAAAATATTTTTGAGATATCTAAATTTTACATTAAAATTTTTGGTAGCTTAATACGCTTAGTACTACCCGAAGATATCAAATTTTACACGTATTTTTTTAAGGATGATAAAATTATATATCCTACATATATTATTCATTTATATAGTTTTATACGTACAAAATTGCAAAGAGAGAGTAGTATTTGTACGTAGTAAAGTATGATGTAAGTGTAATTGTGTAATGTGTTTGGGGAAGGTTTAACAACTTGTGCGGAGAGGTGCCGGCGGCGATATTCGAGAAGAAGATAGACGCGCTGTTCATCAACAACAACAACTTCGACTTCAAGCTGACGGAGAGCTTCAGCAACTCGACGGCGTCGGTGATCGTGCTGGCGAACCTGCCGAAGCTGGGGGGCTGCCTGCCGAGCAGCATCGGCGACATGGCCGAGACGCTCAACGAGCTGGTCCTCCTCAACAGCGGCATCTCGTCGTGCATCCCGCCGGAGATCGGCAAGCTGGACAAGCTCACCGTGCTCGACCTCAGCTTCAACGACTTCGCCGGCGCGCTGCCGGAGACCATCGGCCACATGCGGGCGCTGGAGCAGCTCAACGTCGCGCACAACGGCCTCGCCGGCGAGATCCCGGACTCCATCTGCGCCCTCCCGCACCTCAAGAACTTCACCTACTCCCACAACTTCTTCTGCGGCGAGCCGCACCGCTGCCTCGAGGTGCCGCACGTTGACGACCGCCAGAACTGCATCGCCGGCCGCCCCGACCAGCGCTCCGGCGAGGAGTGCATCGCGTTCCTGCACCGCCCGCCGGTGCACTGCGACGCGCACGGCTGCATCGCGCCGCTGTCGCCGCCGCCGCCGCCGCCGCCGGTGCACTACGCGCCTCCGCCGCCGGTATATTGATCTGCGGTAAAACTGTAATTGCTGTAACTGTTTTCTGCCTTTGAGCTGTGAGAAAGGGTAAAAATTCAGCAAGTGTATACATAAGGTATATACAGTAAATCTTTATTTTTCAGAAAGAAAAAAAAGTAATAATGGATTGACAGATTGCATTGCAGAACCCAACTGAAAGTATGGTAAAAGATTATTTCAGTTTTTCATATTGTCTCTTGTAAAAGGTTTTTATTTTTTTTAGTGTTCTAGAATTCCCGTACAACCTACATTACTCATCTGTCAAATACTTAGAGCTGTGTCAGATTTCATCAGTCCAGAAATGGATCTAGGATGCAGCTAGATTAGGGACCATGCTATGTTAGAAATCAGTTCAAAAATAGGACCACCACTAAAGTGGAGAGATGATGAAATGTGAAGGGAGAAAAAAAATGTGTACTGATTTGCTATCTACTCTGAAGTGGTTAAAAAAGATGACTGTTAAGTTCGATTAATACTAAGTCAAATATATGAATGTTGGGAAATTCATGGCAAGCTAGTACCTAACTTGATGCCATCTGGCGATTCAGGCATGTACCATAGTCAAAAAGTTCGATCTTAGAAAGAATATATGTCCTAGTCAAAAAAAGAAGTTTTAAAAAAAGGACAGAAGATAGAGGAAATAGAAAACACAGTAAGTTCATTAAGAAAGATTCTAGCTCAGGCACACCAAATGATGAACAACAAAGGACGTAAATGCATTTGATAAAGATTAGTCAAAGGGGAATTAATAAAAAGCAAGTGCTTCTCATGGATTCCAGCTACGAACAAGGGTGTTCTTTCCCTTTGGTTGATCAACTCAAAAGACAAGATCAGAAGAAACTTCCCTTACCTGTTATATTGGCTGGCTCCAGGCAGTCTGTGGTTCCTTCATGCAAGCCACTCAACAATACGGCTTCACCAGCACACTCTGTCTCTCTAACTTTTAATTCAAGTCTTAGTCACACACATCAATCCACTGAGATTATATTTAGATAACTGAGAAGAGTATAATGTACTGTGTCAATGTACATCCGGTATAATGAGCACATCAATGAATTTCCAATGATGGACAGCAACCATAAAGATGGTAAATGAAGATGATTCTGAAGATAGAAAGGACATGTGCAATGTGATTGAAAAATACAAGACGTCGAAATCAAAATTAGAAACCGAGTAGTCATGCAGCATGGCATGGTGTGGCTGACCTTTCATTGGATCATTTAGTGAGTGACCGACAGACAGATATTAACCAAGCAAGAATTGGATAAATTTGCAGATAATAGAAGATGTAAAAATAAATGTATAGTGATGAGGATGAATATGCCATATTGGACCAAGTAAAACATGCAAATTGGCATAAAATTATTGAAAACCAAAGCTTACCGCATCATTCTTACCGCACTGTTCAATTCATCAGCAGTAAAAAGTTACCTATATCAAATTATGTGATAATCAAGTCCCTTAAGGTAGCAGGTAACCAAATGCATTGTTTCTGGTGGGAAATCAAGGTCTTGTTAGTTAGTTACATGGTGTACGGACAATCTAATCATATCTCAGCATGAATTAGTGGTGGCTTTCATCCTAATCCTAAAAAGCAAACTTGCTTCAGTGATTCTTATTTTCAGTCATCCAAACAATGTGGTTTCTTAATCTATTTATGGCATAGTATGGTGATGATGGAAGTCAAAGTGATACAGTATTCAGTAGCAGAATTTGAGGTCTGAACATTCATTATGACTATTTCTAGAATTGTTGTGGCTAGCATTACACCGATTTGTAGTAGGGGGCAGAGGCTAGAAAGAGATATATTACCAACCTAAAGACAGTTTCCTAACCAGCCAATATCTTTAAAGCTAGGTCTTTGTTGAAGTGTGATCTCATTAAGTAATAGAATTTATCTACAGACAAGTTTTTAGGATCTCCCATGGTGTCAATGAAGTTTAAATAAGCACAGCAACTTCACTACATAGTGTTACCTCACCCAAAAAAAACTAGCTTTGCTACATGTCTCATGCTTGCATATGATTTGAAGCTCAGTGGACTGAAGGTTTTTTTTTTTCTCGGACACTCAGTGGGCTAAAGGTCGTACCACAGTTCCATGACCACCCGAGCAAATTTAAAATGGTGCTGATAAAATGGAGATAAATCAAAATCATGTATACCAATCCAAGCAGCAAATATAGCCTACAAAATCTGGTCATATGAAACAAGACCAAAGTCCTTGAATCAGCATTTGTAGCCAAGTATTTCAAGACATTCAGAAGCTTATGCTTCAAGATTATCCTCTTAGGTTTCTTGAAGACGCTCTCGGTCCCTCTGTCACCTTCAGGGTACAATGGTCCCCCTGAAAAGCTTTCACTATCTTTCCTAACCAAATTACCATCATTTAGCTTAGACACATTTGTGTAGATCTATTTGCCTTTTGAGTTTTAACCAATTTCTGTATGCACTGATAGAAAAACCAACATGATTCAGCTTAACAGCTTATTTGCACTACTTAATTTCCTAATCAATCGGGGAACTAAAGATCAAAATCTCAACTAGATTCATCGAAAGTAACTCTTCACTTTCACCAGCTGAAACTCCAAGTTGTTCAATCAGGCTAATGACATTCACCAAAGCAGGTATTCCTTTATCTGAAATATTTTATAGAGAAAAGTTTCTGCTGTCCGCAGTTATCCCATTTGATATCTGATCTAACTCCATGGCAAGGCATAGTGTGCTGTTCTCCACTGCTTGCCTGGAGGCAAATCATTAAGCTAACTCGTAAAATAGTAAACATGCATAGTATTTTCATCACAAAGGGGTAAAACATTTGGTTCTCTGTTGTTTTCTCATGTCCAAGAGTAACAATGACAAGAAATGGATTGGAAAAAAATTCAAGGTTAAGATGGCTCATTTTAGCACTTACATCATCAAAAAAGAACATCAGTTTAGGGGGGAAAGGTGCAAAAGAAAAATAGCAAACTACAACATCAAACACAAGCTTAGTCCTAGCGAATTGGTGTGGTATGTGTTCGTAAGTAATTAAAAAAGAGCATGCACAAGGCATAACAAAAAAAATGCTCTTCAAGGATTAACATATACATGCAAGTATGCAACCAGGCAATGAAACTATTAGGTGGTAGGCATGACGATGCAGTAGATATTGACAAACTTGGATCAGTAATTATTGTCTCGGTATCATCAATCTTCAGAAAATGAATCTTCAATCATCAGTAAGTTTCTCATGGGTGTACAAGTTAATCATACCTGAATGGATAAAGCCTTTGTGTTACTGGAAGGATAAGGTATTTTGGTACAGCAGTTATGTTCCTAAACTCTACCAGTAGTCACCACAAGAGCAGACCCCATCTTCAAAGTGGTGGAAACGATTTAGGTCTCTGAGTATGATTCGCCTGTTAAAGACCATAGAAACAAGCTTTGCCATCGAATGGCAATCTGGACACACACGAAGATTCTTAACAATACGAAGGGTAGTTCCCGGTGCTGTATTTAGAAGCCCAAAAGAGATTGCCAGCTTCTCACTATGGTATCTTAGGCTTGTTGCTTTCTCCTCCTCACCCATTTCAACATGAAACACATGTGAAGTATTAGGGACATAACCGACAAGTTTTAGCTGCTCAATAACTTCATCAACCATTCTGCGTGCCTCCTGTGAGTGTGGGTGACTTCCATCTCCTGCGAAGAACTCATGAACCATGTTATCTATCTCAATTGAGCTACACCCTGGCACCTTCACCACCCCCTTTTCACTCATAAGCTTCCTTACCATGTTCATCTCTTCCCATCTCCCAGTATTGGCACACAAATTTGAGAATATTACATAGTCACCACCATGAGAATCATCCAGCTCCAGAATCCTCTCAAAGACACGTTTTCCCATATCGACATCTCCATGACCCGCACAAGCAGAAAGCAGCGTCCTCCATAAGATGGCAGTTGGTTTTATTGGCAGTTCATCAATGAACTTGTAAGCCCTTTCTAGCTGACCTGATCGAGCCAGCAAATCAGTCACACAACCATAGTGCTTGATCCCTGAAACAATGCCATATTCCCTCATGCTGTCAAAGTATTGGAGCCCTTCGCTCACCATACCAGAGTGGCTGCAGGCATAGAGCACCCCAAGGAATGTAACATCATCAGGTTTCATACCTTGTTTCTTCATCTCTTCGAACATTGAAATGGCCTCTCTGCCATAGCCATGGTTAGCATATGCCACCATCATCACAGACCAAGCTTGTTTATCCCTTGATTCCATATCCTGGAACACGCCAATGGCATCCTCCAAGCTCCCACACTTCGCATACATGTCGATCAGCGCAGTGTTGACCTTCACAAGTGAATCAAGCCTCATCTTCCTGATATAGTCGTGGATCCACCTCCCAAGTTCCAGAGCTCCGAGCAATGCGCACGCCGAGAGCACACTAATCAACGTCACGGACGTCGGCTTGAGCCCCTTGGCCTGCATCTCCCGGAACAGCACCAGCGCCTCGCCGGGCAGGCTGCTCCTGACGGACGCGGTGATCATGGCATTGTACGAGACGACGCACTCCCCGTCCATCCTGTCGAACATCACGCGCGCGGCGCGCACGTCCCCGCACTCGGCGTACATGTTGATCAGCGTGGGCGCGACGTACTCGTGCTCCGCGGCGCCGGCCTTGACCGCCACGCCGTGCGCCTGCCGCCCTTCCTCGCCGGCCCGCGCGGACGCGCACGCCTTGAGCAGCGACACGAACGTGTACGTGTCGGGCGCCACCCCCTCCTCCATCATCCGGACGAACACCCGCGCGGCCTCCTCCGCGCCGCCCCCGCCCCCACCCCCGCGCGCGTACCCGCGCAGCAGCGTGTTGTACCAGACGACGTCGCCCGGGTGGGGGATTCTGTCGAACACCTGGCGCGCGTACGCGAGGTGCGCGGGCGCCTCCGCCCCCTGCTCCGTGCAGAGCGTGAGGAGCCTCGTGACGAAGGCCGGGTGCGCCTGGAGGCCGCCGCCGGCCTTGACGGCGACGGCGTGGAGCTGCGCGAGCGCGCGGAGGCTCGTGCAGTGCGGGAGGTAGGCGAGGAGCGGGTTGTGGTGGTGGTGGTGGGGTGGTGGGTTCTTGGATTTGGCGGGAAGGAGAGGGGAAGGCGTGGCGGTTAGAGGCGAGGACGACATGGCCGTTATGGAGTGAGGACGAGAGGCCAGTGTGGATCAGATCAGCATCCGGAGAGGGGATAACTGGAGAAGATTGTGCTAGGAGTCATGCGTTTTGGTACCCACATTTATTCAGAATTACACACAGGTCGTCAAAAGAACACAATTCCGTTTTCATTCTTCTGTTTTTTTAATAAAAATAATGAAATATTCCAACATTTGCTTTAAAGAAGTTACAACGTTGTGGGAGGGTGAACTCCTCAAGCGGGGGACTAAGAGCCCCTTTTAGTTCGGCCGGGGGCAGTGGTGAGAATCGAGGTTTGGTGGAAGGAGTGATGCGGAAGGGGTCGGGCCCCTCATGAACGATGCGATAAAAGGGGTTTATACATGTTCGGGCTGTTGAGAAGTGTAACATCCTACTCCTGTGTGTAGTTGATTCTGTGAGGAATATATGTGTAAAAACCCTCTCCCTTCTCCCTAGGCCTAGACCTCCTTTTATACCCCAAGGGGTTGCCACATGGGCCCAAAAAAACCCACCTAGGAAAGAAAGAAAACATTCTTTACATTTATTACATGTGTTATCCCTCTGACTTGGAGGACCATGCACACAGCACCTCGGCATGGGCCGCATCAGATCACGCCAGAGACATGAGGGACGCCTGCGTCATTCTGCATTAACTATTGAAGACTTCCAGGCACTCGTTCTCACCAGGGAACAGGTACCCTAACTTGAACCGGAGTAGTAAATCTGTCCCCGGTCTATATTTGAGGCAAAAAGCTTCTCATCATGGCGATGTGACTGGATGGCACAGGCTGCACGCTGCCTGACAGGTGGGCATTGCACAGGCGCACCTACCCTGCCACACCGGTCATTCGAACGTCGCACGGCCTGTCGGCCACGCCTGCGCGCCGCATTAAATGTGGTGTGGCGCGACCGCAAGATCCACCTTAAATACAGTTAGGTGGGCGTTGGGCGCACCCACTTTGCACGCACACGCTGGCAGGTGTGTGGAGGGGATCGGGGCGGCCCGACCCCCAATTGGGAGGGGGCAGCCGCCGCTCCACCCCCAGGCCCGACCCCCCTCGAGGGAGTGCCACGTGGGTTTGGGGGCGACCTCCTCCCTCTAGACACGATACCCCCAGGCCCATATCACTGGCAACTGCTTATAATACATAATTCACCCAATAAAGAGCACACGAAAATCAATATACTAACACAAGATAGAGAAAACATTTATTCAAGTTTGTTTCTAAATCTCCATCCGAAATTAGTAAAATATTTGCATGATTATTGTCTCCAGATCATTATTTTTATTGTGAGGCGATTGTCATGTTTCTTATTGATAAAAACAAGTGCTATAATTCGTTTACAAAGCACGTTGGTGTGTCTCAATTAAATCATTCGATATATTATGAACAGAGAAAAATTGCCATGCGAGGAAATTAAGAGCCTTGTCGGTTGCCCATATATTCTCAAATAAGTTAAAACATTAATTAATTCATACATAAAACTTATATATTTGTTCGTAGCAACTTAAAAGCCAATATTAAAAAAATACGTTAAAAATATCTTATAATTAACTTTAAAATTAAGCTCGGTAATTCAAATTTTATTTTTTTTTCTTTAGCTTATTAAGCCTACCGATGGTACTCTAACTTATATATAAAGCTAACAATAACGTAGAAAAATATGTCTAAGGAATGATTTATTTTTAAAAAAAAGAGACGATACGAGAGCGGGATACCTAAGCAATGATGATATTCAAAGCTCTTGAGATATCGTAATTCTGAAAGCGCGATCGGATACATACACCATTGGCTGTTTAGAACGCATCCAAATTTTTTTTTCATCTCCTAAGCTCTCTTATGAGTTCATATTTTATTTTCTTCTTTTATTTTGAGAGGACTTCCTATTTTATTTTCGTATCCATATATATATATGTCCTCTGAGAAAATCTAGTGTCTCAGAATATCCCGAAAATATGGTGTAGTCGTGTGATCAGCAAAAGTCAATGCACTTTTTTATTCCACGAAGAAGGAAGTCAACTTACCTCTTTGGTAGGACGGGATAAAGGACTACTTTGTCAAATTACATTAATGGTACCATAAATTGCAAGAATACAAAATAGTCTCGTAGATTATACTCAAGTGGTGTATATAAAGCTTGATTAAGAGTTGCAAATCAACCAACGTGGGATGATTGCACCTAGATGCCAACTTAGCTGGCTGAGGCTGATATAGATGGAACGTACGGTCAGAAATGTTTTACTACCTTTATCTAAAATATTATAATAGGATGGAATTTAATCTATTCTAGAATAACGAATTTAGATGGAAGGTTTTGTTCAAATTCGTCAATTTAGGACTGGTCAAATTTTATCTTTAAGTTGTAACATTTTGAAATGAAGAAAGCACATTTGACTGATTTTAGGCCTACCCTTACTTGTAGCTGTCAATTTGGCATGTGCACGAGCGCATCAAACTGATTCGGTACATGCACATGGATTACACGTTACCTACGTATCATGATACCATGGCCCTGTTTGGAGAACTAGCAAAAAGTTATTTTAAGAGCTATTTTTTACACAAGTAAATAACCTTCTAATAAAATAGACCTAAGTTGTTTGGATCTGAGAGTTATTTTAAGAGCTATTTGGCCTTAATGTATCTTCCCATGGAGAGAGACAAAGAAAAGACATTTTTTCAGTGGACCCCACCAAAAATAGCCCCAATTAGAACCTCTTGGGTGGGATAGTTTTTTTGGTAGGTTATTTCCAAATAGCCCTCAAATAGCTTACCCCTTTGATCTTTTTGACTATTTGGGCTATTTGAGGGAGGGCTAAAAAAATATCCCTTGAATCCAAACAGAGCCTATATCCATATCGGTGTAAACACGATATAATGCGTTCAACTCATTGTAGCCTAATAAACGTGAGTCGTTTAAGGCTAGTTTCAAACACCACTTCTCCAACAATCCACATAGAGAAGTTATTTCACACTGCGAGTAATAATTTAACGGTACAAGTTAAAATACACTCTAGAAGTTCCAATAAACCAATATCGTATAGAATGCGAAACATTTTAGTCTGATGAATCTAGACACAAGTATAATCAGATTCATCGTGCTAGAATATTTTACATTTGATACGAGGTTGGTTTATTTTAGAACGAACGGATCGACTAACTCATTTACATCCACGTCACGTATCGTTTTCAGCGTATATTATTTTCTCATAAAAACATATTATATCACGATCATACAACAATTAGATGGTACTATCAATTAGATGATACAACTTGCAAGTTGCACAGTTGCAAAGGTGATCCACCAGACAAACGTGGAGGTACAAATTTCATCAATTTCCAAGTACAAGAAAAAAAAAGATGCATCACCCCAAGCCAAATTTTCTCCTTCTCCGCGTCAACGTTGATGCGAGCACAGCTTCATCGTCGTGGTCGTCAGCATCGGGGCAATTAACACCTCACAGTCTCATCACAGTTCCATGATCCCGACAAGCATGGGTCTCCGCTTGACTCACCAGCCACTGAGATGATCACAGATGACGAGATGGCTGCAGCCCAACACAACTGTGTAGCTTATCCATCACTGGAATCAAATAATTATCCGTCCCTAATCCAGATCTACCTTTTAACTAACCCTGTTATTACCTTCGACTCAGTTTAAAAAAAGGAAAGAAATGGAGATGAAACAAGATCCTAAGCTAAGGCCTGTTTGGCACAGCTCCAGCTCCAGCTCCACCCCTCCTGGAGCTGGAGCTCAGTCAAACAGTTTCAGCTCCACCAAAACTGGGAGTGGCGCTGGGTGGAGCTCTCTCACAAAATGAACTAGAGTTGTGAAGCTGGGTTTAGACAGCTCCACAACTCCACTCCAGACCCAACTCCTGGAGCTAAATTTAGGAGTTGGAGCTGTACCAAACAGGCCCTAAATTTGATGGGGGACATGAGAGGTGATTGTAACGTGTGGTGACAGTAATATTTTTATTGTTGTTAGATGATAAAATATGATTAATACTTTATGCGTAATTTATCTTTTTAATTTTTTTTATAATTTTTTTAAATAAGACGGACGATCAAATATTGGATATGGAAATTTAGTGTTTTTTTTAAATTTTTACGGAGGGAATAGAGTGGTATCGCTGTGAGCAGAATTATCCAGTGGTTGCGATGGATTCAGCCGTCAGTTGGAGATTTCCGCAGGGTTATCTCGTCGTTTGCTTCGCTGTTATGCCGCCGCGGGTTGGTTGCCGTTGATCCATTCCCCCCTTCTTCTCCTCTCGCTTCCTTTTCGGCTTCTTGGAGCGAGCGAGCGAGCGAGAGAGAGAGAGAGAGACCCACCTCACCTTCTCCTCCTGTCCTCTTCCTCACCCTGGTCCCGCTCAAGCTGAGCCTTTCCCAGTGCAAGATTCAATCTGCTGCTGCTGTTCTTGAGATTTGCCCGGCTCGGATTTCTTGCGTGCAGTTTCTTTGTTGATCTGGTTGGTTCAGATTGATTTGCTGCAAGTGCAAACCTGTTCTTGGGGGGGTTTGATTTGATGTGGTGTGTTCTTGGCTCCGATTCGGCCGCGGCTCCCGGTGAAGAAATCCCCAAGTTTGATGAGGCTCTCGCACTGTGAGAGCTACTGCGGCCCTCCCCTGTGCTACATCCCCTGCCTCCCCAAATCCAAAGATGCAGCCGGCGACGCCGCCCACAAATCCAAGGATGCAGCCGCCGCCGACGCTGTCCCGGTGGCCGCCGCGGAGGACAAGCCGCCGCCGGTTCAGAAGATTGAGGCGGCGGTAGCGGAGAAGGACGGTGACGACAGCAAGGAGGTCGACGGCGACGAGGAGGAGGAGGAGGATGATGATGATGTGAAGACGGCGGTGGCGGTGGCGGCGCCGCCTCCGGCTCCGCTGAAGAGTAACCTGAAGAAGGCCGACTGCGCCGACAGCAAGTGCGCCGAGAAAGGCAATGTGAAGTGGCTGGATTTGCTGGGGAAGGATCTCACCGAGGTCAAGGAATTCGAGCCAAGGTATACATCTCATCTCTCTCTCTGTGCAGTTCAATGAACTTGTTGAAAGTTGCAACTGTAGATGAGCTTGGAATTTTGTGTAGCTGTATTAGTGCAGTCACCGATCTGCGGTGAATTGTTGCTTTGAATTGTATGCATATTCATTTAGATCAATTAGGCGAATGGTTTGCATGCTAATTATCAGCTAGACATAATCATCTTGGATACTAAATCGATCGATTGCACATGTTGAGTGTTGACATAAGTGAAGCCATCCTCCAGGCAGTGCCAGATATGTTCTCCATTTGTTTAGTCCCTTGAATGATGGCTGGCATTATCTGGTTCCTCAATCTTACAAGATACCTTCTTCTTGACGATGATAGAAGTGGTCAAGCCACCAAGTTTGGTTCAACTTGACATAGTTACTTGGTCAGAATGCACTTCAGACACTCTGGCTTTACAAGTTGCAAAATGCATTATTGCCCTCATTCTCATTTGTGTGTGCATGGTCTTTGTGCAGTGCAAATGCGTGATTATTGCTCAGATCAGTTCTATACATAAGAGAAAAACTTCATGTTGAATTAGTGTTCCATGCAAAATTTGGCATGATATTTTTTTTTTGGGTTGTGTTTGCATCAATAATATTCTATCACTGCCACATTTTGAAGAAATGGTATTCCCTAAGTTTATCTGCAGATCCCAGTCAGTCAATGTGATATCTAGGGCTACAATATTTCACTTGTGCCGCTTCTGTATTGACAACATTTTGAGATAATTCATAGTCTCATTGGTCTTTGCAGAAAATCATGTGTACCCTTGTCATAGACTTCTAGCTAGTAATCACTTTCAGAATATAGCCTTGTCATAGACTTCTAATCAGTAGTCACCATATATGTGAAGACAAACAGAATAAGGACATACCAATCAAACCATGAAATTACTGCTCATCACTACTTTCTAGTAATAAGAAAATTCCTGGCCACAACACTATTTGGCTGTCACCTCTTATAACGCAATATTGGCTTTGTTATGGTATCAAAGATTTGCTTTCGGCCCCATTGTTTCGCTTATTTGGGGAATAAGTGAAACGGCATATTGATAAACGAAAAATAATTTGTGAATAAAACTTTTATATACGTGTTCTTAGCAATCTAAAAGCAAAGGCTGAAAAATAAACTTCAATGAAAAAACCACAAAATCAACTCCAAATATAAGGTTGAAAATTCAAATTTTGGCTGATAAGCATAAGTATAAGTGAAAAGATGAGGCCATTTGTTCCTAGTAACTTTTACCTGAACCAAGCAATAAATCAACAACTGAAACATCATTTCACTCTTTATCTTGATAGGGATGGCAATGAAGCATGTGGACATAAAACTCTTTAACGACTTTTCTACCTTCTAGAAAACGCTTCATCACATGGCATTTTCACATTTAGCACAGGTTGTTTTCCTCCTTTTTTTTGTTGTTAAACTTACGTTGTGCTCTCTTTTCACTCAGTGAATCAGGAGATTCCATGGATGAAGATGACATCGCGGAATGCGTTTGCGCTATCCAATGATCCAGAAGGGTTTCCTCCCCAACGTTGCTGTAAATTGTAAAATGGGAGTTTCGCACGTAATCATCGATCTTTCTTTCCTCTCACTGGAGGGTCAGGTTGTTTTGTTGACCCCCTTCATGAGTTCCACTGAAGCTCCCCAGCATCCGGTGCTCAGTTCCATCAGTACATGCCGCCGCCATAGCTGCCTAGCTGTAGATGTTTCTGCCTTGTGTTGATCAGATTATGTGTTGTTTGGGGTTGGTATTGGTTGCTGAGGAGTGATACATTTTTCACAATGCCTGGTGGTGTAGCCAAGATTATTGCTTCTGTAAAGTTTACAATATAAAGTTATTGAGAGTGGAAACAGATCCTGCCATCCTGTGCCCACTTTGACAAAAAAGCATATGTAAAGCTTATTGATTTGAAGCTGTCAACTGAAAAAGTAAGAGAACTTGGTTGGTGTTAGTATCATGGACGCTGAGTTCTGACAAATTGTATGTATTATCATTTTGTTCATTACTTCTCATGATGGTGTCCAAGCAAATAACTCTTCAGTGACCTGAATAACCTCCCCATTTGAGATACTTTTCCACTCTATTCGAATCTAATCATATGATGCAGGTATCCGTTTTGTTGTAATCAGATTTAATCGCATCTGCTATACATGTGGAAAGAGAATGGAATGACATGAATAATCATCATCATATACAATTGTACAAGCTCGTTCTAGATTTCGTTCCTCTTGTGTCAGCGCCCTAATTTATGCAGGTTGGCCACGTTGGAGGGCCTAGAGGAGACAGCGGTGAGCGGTTCCATCCTTCTCTCCCTAATTCCCAAAGATGTGGATAGAGTGCGGTTAGTGTCGGTTGTTAGGATAGGGTTTTTGAGCAATCCTGGTTGTAGCTCCGATGTTGGCCTAGTGGCGACCGGTCCGGTGTTAGTCTTCTCCCGGTTATGTGTTGTTGGTGCGTGGGTGGTGGCTTTTTATTTTTCGTTTTCTTAGTTACAATCTCCCAGGACTGTAATCTTGTATTTTTTTTCCTGCAATACGAACTTTGCTTTGTCTGGTACGAGTCGTTCAAAAAAACGGAGGACGCGGAGGAGGGACTTGACGGTTATACCGGAAACTCTTAGGGTTCTCCGTGCAAATCTAAAATGGACCGTTTCGGTGTTTTTTTTTTTTACATTTGACCGTTTCGTTCATAACACAGAGGGGTGGGCCCACATGAAGGAATCCTCGCATAGGATCGCTATCCGCTCCCAATGGAATTATGAGTTGGGCCAAAAAGGAGGCCCAACTTTGTACAGGTGGGCTGGGTAAAGCTCCCGAGGAAGCCTATTTCTCCAGTGGTTTGGACGCGTTTGGGCCTGGCCCATTTCCAGTGGCCGAGAGAGAGAAGGAAGGAGAGAGACGGCGCCGCGAAGTGGGGAGGGAGAAGGCGCGGTGGAGCGGAGTCCGGAGGAAACGCAAGGAGAGGAGAGGAGCAGAGGAGGCGAAGCTCTCGCCACGCGCTCGCGTGGACGACGAGATGATGGCCTTCGGCTCGCTGCTGCTCTCGCCGCCGCCGCCGCCGCCGCCGCCGCCGTCCCTCCCGCTACCGGCCAGACCCTCCGCCGCGTCGTACCTAGTCGCGGTACGCCGCCGCCGCCCGCCGGAGCCTCGCTGCCGCTCGCAGGAGATGGCGTCCAGCGGCGGCGGAGGAAGCTCCGGGGGGCTCGGCTCTGAGGGGGAATCCGCTGCGGCTTCTGCTATCGGTTCCCTGGACCTCGACGGCGCTGCCGCGTCCTCGGACAACCGACCTGGTGAGTTGCTGGCGAAAATGTATTGGAATTGTGTTTCGAATTCAGTTCGTGTGTGCAACAGTGCAAGGGTTGGGGTTTGAGCAAAATTGACCCAACTAGGAACTAGCTGAGGAGCAATTCCTCGAAATTTTAGGGCTACGAATTTTTAAGTTGTGAACCTGAGGGATGTAGCCATACTAATGCTGGGATAGAGATTCCCTCTTCTAATCACTTTTGAGCTGCTGACTAATATGTAGTAACTTGCTAATTATGTATGAACTGAACACTATAATTGTGAGACGGAGAGACTCAACGTAGATTAGATTAATCACGGAGTGTTTACATATATAAGCCTGTCCATAACCGTATCAATAATTTTGCATATTTAAACTGTATTGTCTAACAATAATTTTATCTTACAGTTATATGCATGCAGCGGCACTACCTTAAACATTTCCTTGTTCAACGTCTTCGTAGTGTAATTATTATCAGGGTGTCTACGCAGCGTTATTAGCCATCAAAACAATTGTTCTATATGTGCTTTTAGCCGTGGGACATTACTTTGTAGTGGGATTGTTTTTTTATTATGACTCACTTAGCACAAGGATCTATCTAATACAGTAGTGACAGTGTTTGTCAAATCCTGTTCTGATTTGCCCATTTAGTTATTTCCGTAAGTGTAACACCAGTGTGTAGTTCAAGTTCTGTTTCGTGTTTCTGAAACTACTTATTATTTAGTTGTAAAAATTGGCTTATGTTGTAGTCATTCTTAACATGGTACCTATTGTAGGAAGCACGAGTTCTTTCTAGATATTATATGATTCATATCAGGTAACTTTGAGTGCAGGGGAAACATCTAGCAATGGAGATTCTGAGAGGTGGCAAACGAGACAACATAGTACAGATGATATTTCCAGGAGCAAGTCCAAGCCAAGATACATCAAAGCATTTGGGGTAGATTTGTCCGCCGATAATGTGGCTGTTGCTATCGTTTATTTCGTGCAAGGAGTTTTGGGTCTTGCGAGGCTTGCTGTGAGCTTTTACTTAAAAGATGATCTTCATCTTGATCCAGCAGAGGTATGGTGGCAACTCCTTCAGTCTCTTTCGAGTCTCTGGGCATGCGTGCTTTTGTAGTTTTGTTCCATTTGAGCTTAGCAGTAGGGTTCATGGAAAATATTTCTTAGAAGTTGGAAAGATATTTTTTCTCTTTGAACATTTTAACTCTTGGATAATATGTGTTGGCACAGATTAAGACAAATTGTGTTGTCTAGACTGCAGTTATATCTGGTTTATCAGCGTTGCCATGGTTGGTCAAGCCGCTTTACGGTTTTATCAGGTCTCAGCAAAATACCATATCTTCTTTCTAACATTCTTTTATAGTTTATGTGTCACTTATCTATGAAGCTATATTGTTTCGATTTCCATTGCAGTGATTCCATCCCTCTCTTTGGATATCGAAGAAGGTCTTACCTTATTCTATCAGGACTCCTCGGAGCTCTTTCGTGGAGTTTGATGGCAACAATTGTGGATGATAAATACAGTGCAGCACTCTCTATTATTCTTGGATCTCTCGCAGTTGCCATCGCTGATGTTGTAAGTGAGAACAGAAAAAAAAATGTGCTCACAATAGTTTATTTGTTCATCGGTAGTTGTGTGTTATAATCTGGGTAATCCTTAACCTTCAGCTAAATGATAATATGATAACTATCCTTTTATTATATAAATACAATCATATTTAGAACTTAAAACTTTCAGTTCAGTAAACCTAAGGTTAGGGAGGTTGTTTTCTGAGTTTTTTTTAAAGTTACTTAATCTGTATAGTGGCACATAATCCTCTTGAATCTCTTCTCATAATGTCCTATTTACTAAGCTGCAATTTGCATCAATAGCACGATAGTTCCTTCATTGACATGACAAGTTTTTGTTGAGTCCTAAGAAACTCAAAATATGTGGTTGACATATTGTTACCATTTATATATCAATATGTTAAATACCTCAGTTCAGTTCAGGCCTCACACGTTAAGCATGGTTTCCAAAATTTATCTGAAAACAGAAAGATCTGTTTTTATGCCATGTTCTGAAATCATTTCTGTTCTCACCACATGTTATGGCAGAAGTGTTTGTTCTTCTGTTTGTTTCCATATTTACATGAAACTACTGCAGGTGGTTGACTCTATGGTTGTTGAGAGAGCTCGTGGTGAACCACAGAGTACATCTGGATCTCTCCAGTCATTGTGTTGGGGGTCATCAGCCATTGGAGGAGTTATGAGTGCATACTTCAGTGGTTCTCTAGTTGATACTTATGGCGTAAGGTTTGCCCTATAACAAAAAGCATACGTAGAACTCTTCATTTTAACAGTTCACTGATCTGAGGTTCCCCAAATGCAGATTTGTCTTTGGTGTTACGGCATTTTTGCCCCTCATGACATCTACTGTTGCAGTTCTTGTGAATGAAAAGCGTTTGCCTTTGGGAGAAAATGCTACCTCATCTTCAGATTCAGGGTTAATTGAGAGCTCTAAGGAGCACATTATGCAGATTTGGAGTTCAGTAAAGCAACCCAATATCTTCCTACCCACCTTGTTCATATTCCTTTGGCAAGCAACACCACAATCAGATTCTGCCATGTTTTTCTTCATGTATGTTCTCACATGCTCACTTGTTTGGTTTGATTGCTCTAGACAGCTGTTGGATTAGGTTTTCAACCAGTGAACAGATTTACAACTGTTGGAAGAGTTGAATTCTAGTTGGTCACATAGTGCTTTAACTTTTGTTTAGCTTGTCCCAGCGATTTCAATTGAAGATATTGTCTACCATGCTAAAATTTCATTTCTTAAGAACACTAGAGGTCTGAGCTGCCCTCTTTGTGCCACCATTATTAGTCAACTGAACTTCCTTTGGGTATAGTAGATTAGTTCCTAGCAAAAACTGGAGGTAACCAAATCTGTGGTATGTTTGTCGGTGGTGTCAAGAAAGGGGTCATATAAATCATATTCACCATACTTCACACCAAAGTAATTAGAAATGAATCGAATATGCTATTAGCACAAATTTCTTTGTTCTAGCTGAATACTACATATTGCATTACCCTTCACTTGTTTAGATTCTTGTACTTCTTAAATTCATAAGAAACAAGAGTTGACCATAAATTGCTGTCTTGGTATATTAACACCTTATAAATTTGTCTGATTGCTATCTATTTAAAATGGTTTGATTTTCATATGTTGCCTTCTGACCAATTTCAGCACAAATAAGCTTGGATTCACTCCAGAGTTTCTAGGGCGTGTCACGCTCGTTACATCTATTGCATCCTTGGTCGGCATAGGAGTATATAATTCATTTTTGAAGGAAGTTCCATTGAGAAAAATCTTTTTTGTGACTACAATATTTGGTTCTGCCCTTGGAATGACACAGGTCAAATTCTGCACATGCTTGTTTTAGTAAATGCTGCCACTATATTATTTGTTAAATTTAACTTAGGTATTTTCAGGTTCTTCTTGTCACTGGGCTCAATCGAGTTCTTGGAATCAGTGATGAATGGTTCTCCATTGGTGATTCCTTGATTATCACTGTCCTTGGTCAGGTACGATACCCTCTTTGCAAGAACTAGTACTTGATTTGGGGAGTTGGGGTAAACCATTAGCAGTTTAACACATTCCCTGCTCTTTAAATTGACTACTGTATGAAGAGCATAAAAAAATGTTGTATTTCTTTGCTCAATAAGAAAAATCCTGATCAAGCTGGAAGGGGATTTTCCTAAGGTAATACTACCTCCGTCCCAAGTGCAGCCGTGGGTATCCGTGTCCAACGTTTGACCGTCCGTCTTATTTGAAAAAAATATGAAAAAATTGAAAAAAATTAGTCCCATATAAAGTACTATTCATGTTTTATCATCTAATAACAATAAAAATACTAATTATTAAAAAAATTCAAATAAGATGAACGGTCAAAGGTTAGACATGAATAGTGCAAAACTGCACTTATTTTGGGACGGAGGGAGTATAATGCAAGAAAATGTGCTTTCATTTTACATTTTTCATGGCAGCCGATATAGAAGCCTAGTTGCTTTACATTGAAGGGTAACATTACACCTCCATCCTGTACATCCTAGTTTCTTTACGTCTGTAAATAAAACAGAATCCCTATCAATACCACGCTAGGATTAGCATGGAAGATGCTGCTAAGATCCCTCCATTTGCCAAAACGTAGAACTTCCACATTTGGAGATGACACTTCTATGTGAACACTACGAAATTCATCATACCAATTTTCAGTATTATTCAAATGCTGTACTTAGGCCATGGCTATGGCCTTTCTAGAAATAGAACTGCACTCTTTATGTGCACTCATGCTGTGAAAAAATTCGTCCTGCAGGCTTCCTTTATGCCCGTGTTGGTGCTGGCTGCAAAGCTCTGCCCTCCTGGAGTGGAAGCAACTTTGTTCGCCACTCTGATGTCCATTTCCAACGCTGGAGGCGTCACCGGTGGTCTGTTGGGGGCAGGCCTGACGCAGTTCTTGGGAGTCACCAAAGACAACTTCCAAAACCTTGCTCTTCTGATTGTCGTGTGCAATCTCAGCTCCCTGCTGCCTCTACCTCTTCTGGGCCTCCTCCCGGATGAATCACCCGGTGTAGATAATGAGCAAACAAAAGTCGATTGAGATTATCTCCAAGCATCGGTCCTACTTGAATGCAGGACATCCAATCGCCTCTACGTGAACTCAGCGGCGCAGGGGAATTGGGAATCAGGCTGCAGCTGACCTTGGCCGTTGCAATGTTGATCACCCTACCGAATAGTATGTTTAGGGTGATCAGTTGATGATTGGTTCCATGGAGATATACGCCTCATGGATTAGCGGACTTGCCGCGGTTGTTAACTGGTGGTTAGGTCAGGATTGTGTGCCGTCAGAGCATGGACATGGAAGCCGCAGTGTACACTAGTGCAGGTACGACCTTTTGTTCTTTACCATGAAAAACGGCAGAAGAGTTTCCCGTGTATTCTGCCACATCCAACCGATAGAAGTAGTATCCATGTTCTGAACTCTTATCAAGTTATTTGTACATGCAATGAAATGTAGTGTATACAGAGATTGTACATCGATTCGTAACTTTCTGGAACTGATTTATGAAGGTGTAGCCGTGTAGTAGATGTAAACCGGTCAGTACTACTACAAATCATGCGGAGAAAACGATCAGCTAGCGGGATGGCTTGCCAGTTGCCGGTTGCAGGAGGGGTAAGCATCATTGCAAGCATGCAAGCCAACATAATTATGAACGCAACGCAGCGCGATGACGACATGACGAGTGCACTCCAAAAGGCGAACGACCTGCGCAACTGAAAGCCAGCCAAACACATCGATAGCACGAAACCAATTATTCCAAACAGAAACGGAAGCCATGTGATTGATGATGATACTTCACAAGCATAATAAAGCAATCAATCACCATCGCATCGCAACATGGTCACCACCGACCACTTCCAAGAACAACACCTAATACCAGAAACAAAAGTACACCAAAGCAACCGCTTGCAACTTCCAAGAACAACACCGTGCGCTACAACTAATACCAGCAACAAAAAGCAACCAAACACCAGCAAGGCACAAGCTATAACTAACATAAGATAGTCATTAATTAAGCCGAGATAGTTCAGTGCTTGAAGATTACATGCCGGATTTTTTTTTGTGGGTTTTAGAGTGGTTTAGACTGAATTACAACACAAGATGACGACGAGGGTCCAGGGACAACACGTCCATAATTTACATTCAGTTTCTTCAGTGCGAAGTAGCGAGAGCAGCTAATAACGGGGAGAACTAACCAACACAAGCATCTTCTAGTATTAAGGAACACACGCCCCCACCCACCTACCGTTGTAGTCAGTCACTACAAAACATGGCCATGGTGGCGAGCCGCCCTGCCACCATCAGCGATTCAGCTCATTGTCATTTCATCGGCTTCGACTGATCCTACCGGTAGTAAGCCTGGTGGTGAAAGGCTGGGGCCATTGCATTGCTGTAGCCGATTCCATTGCTGTATCCAGCATAGGCCGGGTAGGTTATGGGAGGGGATGGGTATGACATGCCGAGGCCGACGCTGGATACCTCAGATGGGTGGTGGTATGCATAGGGCTCCCTCATTGCCAGTGTGTTCTGGCCACAGTAGAGGGGGTGTGCAGCTGGCCTATCATAAGAGTAAGGAGATGCTGTACCGTAGGAGGCATGGGACGGGGAGCGAATGAATGTGGCATTGGTCGTGGTGGTGGCAGGCGAAGACGGTGTACCGGTGTAGTCGGTGAGACGGCCTGCCTTGGCAGGGGGCATCGGTCCTCCGGTGCTTGCCCGGATGCGCTTGTTGGCTGGACCAGAGCTACCACCGCTGGAACTGCTTGATGCCGCCTTTTTCTTCTCGGTCTTGGCCTTCTCCAGTTCTTCCAGCCGCTCACGGAGATCCTCCAATGGAAACTCAGCTTCGAGTTTGTGGTCCTCAACACACTTTATAACAGCCCGCAGTGCAGACTGCTCCTTCTTATTGGCATTGCTCTGCAACAGAAGTAATATTAGACCCTCTAATTTGGTATAAGAAACAAGTGCACCACTTGAAAGAAATTGCCTCTGGAGACTAAAAGGATCAAATGCATTGCTAGCATGCAATCAGGGGTACAGTAGTATGATACCACCAAGAAGCACTGATCAACATATTTCAGAATGCCCTGTGGACATACCACTTACAGAGTAGAGACTTCATATTAGGAGGTCAGCATTGACTTCAAATAATTATATAGAACCATTTCACTTACCCCAGATTGGCCAGTGCTAGTACTCAGGTTATCTGAATTTGAGGGTATCTTCTTTGAATCTTCAAGGTAGGCTTTTAAAAGAGGGGCTGGGGGGAATTTTTCCTGAAGACCAGCCTCATATGCAAAGTTCACAGCATCAAGTTGCTGCCCCTTAGTGATAAGCTCTTCAATGATATCTGCAAATACAATGCCAAAAATTTTTACCATGTTTAGTAGCTTTTCAATGGCTTCTCTTGCCTTACCAGGAATGAGTGGTTTTGTTGCGGAATTAGTAGTATTTTTTGGACTAATTACTAGTCCAAAATTTCTGTTAATGCCAAAAATGCTAATTACTTTTGTAATGGCAATTGGAATGATATTAACTCCTATTTATTTATTAATCAATCAGAAAATACAGCTTAACTGAGGACAGAATTATCAGGGCGTGGTAGATGAGGAGGATTCCTTGAGAAATTTTATTCAAACCCAATCCAAATCAGGCCATAAATGAAATGGTCTACCATTGCGAGAAACAGGAACAATGATCTATAGTAATCAGTCCATATAGAGTACAAGGGAACGGAGCAAAGCTACTTAAACAAACCAAACAAAACTATGAACCCAGCCCAATAGTCAGAGAGGTTGGTAGCTGTACAACAAGCGCAGTAGATAAAACAGATCCTGGAGATGTTGAAACATTTGAGAAGGCTTTCCAAGTATTGATGAAAAAGCATGTATCGCATAACAACAAAAGCCTATGCATCATTTGATTAAAAGAAAAAAAAGGGACACTTATCGTTGAATATGGCAAAAAAAACTAGATGAAATTTCTATATTGATGCTTATAAAGCTCATCCAACAAAGAGATGATACCATAGATCTGTAAGGATAAGGATAATAATCAAAACGAATCTCCAGGATCGCACTCAGTGGCCCAGGAGGCCAGGACAAGCACCACTAATCTTGATGACGAATGCAACAGTCAAAGTGGTCCTCGTGCAGGCCATATGACTGGGTAAAGACTGCAACGTTTTCCAGCATTTGTCCAGGATAGCGACAACACAGTCCCGGCAAAGGATACGCTCACTTAATGTAACTATGCATACTCTAATCACACTCCCAGCAATAACCCAAGCACCACTCGCGGTACCACAGCAATCCGCACTGCAGCTCTGATCTGCGATTCCATGAAGGCCTGAACAAATTTTATGAGCTTTGCAGTGACTACTGTATGCTAGATCTAAAGCAATTAAAACGATTCTAGGCTCCGCATCAACTGAATCAAACATCAAGAAAAAAAATTAGGGAGATGAGATGAGATGAGAGCTCAAAGAAATTAGTTACCATCCATCTCATCCTCGAGGCCGAGTGTGATAGCGAGACGCGGCATCTGCCTCCGCCACGAGAAGCTCACGACGATCCTCCTGTAGAGCTCCTTGTCCTCCTTCTCTGCGACTGCGAATGTCGCGACGTGCTGCAGGAACGCGTGCGCATCCGGTGGCTTGGCGCCCTCCACCCCGCCCTTCTTCTCGGCCGCGTCCTTCCACTCCCTCGCCATCCCGCGCGCCCTCTCGCGCGCCGCCTGCGGCACCATGGGGCGCGCCGCCCCGATCTCCGGGTCCGGATCGGCCAGCGACGGCACCACCGCCTCCAGGATGAGCACGCACGCCCACGCCAGGTCGGTGGGGGACCTCACCGCCCGCTTGTCGATGGGGAACACCTCGGAGACCGCGTCCATGGCGAACCTCGCCGGATCGACGCAGCGCTTGAGCGCGTCGGGGAGCTCGGCGCGGAGCGCGTCCACCTCCTTGCGCCTCGCGACCACGAAGGTGAAGAACCCGGCCGAGTCCATGCTGGCGCAGAGCGACCTGAGCCCCTCGGCGATTCCAGCGGCGTCGGCGGAGGCGGAGCCGGTCGTCCCCGCGTCGCCCTTGGCGAGGGAATCGAGCCGGGAGAGCGCGAGCGAGACGGAGCCGTCGATGGAGGCCTCCCGGCGGCGGAGCGCCTCGAGCCTGCGGGAGGTGCGCACGTCGAGGAAGCGGCGCTTGGTGCGGAGCGTCTCGGAGCGCGCGGCGAGACGGCGCTCCAGCGAGCCGAAGTGCTCCGTGAGCTGCTGGTACAGGCGCGTGCAGGTCGCAAGCAGCTGCTGCTGCCGCTCCAGCTCCGCGAAGCCATCCCTCACCGCCGCGCTCGTCGCCGAATCCACCCCCACCCCCACCACCGCCGACTCCGCCGCCGGAGCGGCCATCGCGCAGGCACCCCCCACCCAAACCCTAGCCGCGGCGCCCCTCGATCCGCGAAACCCTAGAGCTCGAGGTGGGGGGGTTTGGGATGGGAGAGGAGAGGAAAGCGAGAGGAGAGAAGGGGAAAGCGAGAGAGGCGATGGGAGAGGTGGGAATAAAGCGGAGGAGGAGGAGGGGAAGGAGGTGGGAGCCAATGAGGAGTCGACGCGTGGCGCTGGCGCCAGAGTGAGGTGGTGGTCGCGGGAAAGAGAGGCCTTCACGGCGCGCTGGGTTTATAGCTACGGATCGGGCAAGGCCGCGCGCGGGAGGGGCAATATGCGGGCCCACCTGTCGGGGACTTCGGGTGGGATCGTGGCGGGTGGGCGTAGAGTTTGGCGGGAAGGCTGGAGGCGTGCTGCGGGAGGGAGTAGAATCCTCACTCCGTTTCAAAATATTTGACACCATTGACTTTTTAGCACATGTTTAACCGTTCGTCTTATTTAAAAAAAATATGAAATATGTAAAACTATATGTGTATATGAAAGTATATTTAACAATGAATTAAATGATATGAAAAGAATAAATAATTATTTAATTTTTTTAATAAGACGAATGGTCAAACACGTACTGAAAAATCAATGGTCGAATATTTTGAAACGGATATTTTGAAACGGAGGAGCAGCAAATAGTGGGAGTGGTCGGGGTGCGTGTGTACTACCTTTCTGCAGCACGCGAGGTGATTCGGGATGTTTGCTTCAGACAGGTAGCAGTCAAAGTTGCCCTACGACTGGCGGTACAAAATCATGATTTTTTTTAAAGGGATTTGAGTTAGATTCGACATATTATCTTATATTTTAGAATAAAACTGATAAAAAAATTTATTCGTAGCGGTAGGATATATTTTATCCAACCAAAACCCTTTATAGCTTATAGAGACCTGAGGCCTTAAGCATAAGATGCTTGGATCCTCCAATTCAAAATAAGTTAATTTAGTATATAATATGACATATTCGTAGTATTATGATATATCACATCTCATACTAGATTATTCTGGGTATTCTGATATGGACGAAGTATCAACTGCAGGGTATTATTGAGCTGCAGGGTAAGAAACTTGATGGCAAGATTTATTATATTCATCATCAAAGACATTACCACCCAGGAGCAATAATACAGACATAGTCAGCACTGGGTAGCCAGGGAGTGTTCACAAAAGAAGTAACAATATCACATCAGCGTTGATAAGAGTTGCTCTAGCTTACAGATTTACAATGGCGGTGCTTTGCCTGTTGCTCAAGGTTTGTCCTAACTACGGAAGTTTCTGTCTAAATCCCTGTCCTAAATCATAACTTAACCAAAACCAACTCCTTTGGACGTTATACAACAACTCAATGATGGAATGTAAATGGATGGGGTGGTAAAATAAAGTAAATCCTATGGCTGCTTTCACTAGGAGCTTGCAGACTTCCAGTGTCGCTTCTCCCAGTAGCAGCATGCCCACTCACATGGAACATCGTACAAACAAACTTAAAGGCGATTCCTGGTTATACTGCGATTTGAGGATGATTTCATGGATACTTTTCACTCACTCAGGCCATTGGGACCTTGACCTTTGACACGGTATACTACCTTAGTAGCCTGCTGTCTCTTGTCATGCTGTGATCTCGAGTTATCTTGTTTGGGCTGCCTATCCATGGCCATCCTAGGATCCTGCTTGGCAGGTACTCCTGCTGGGACTCCACTTATTGGCCTGCCAATCCATGCACTGGGGGGTAACGGTGGTTGAATCCCATTTACTGCTGGCTGATGTTGAAGTCCTATTTGGACAGGCCTCTGGTGTGGAAATCCTGAATATTGTGCAGGTCGCTGTGGCGTAAAACCGGAGTTCTGCATGGGACGCTGGGGTGGGAATCCTGCATACTGATTGGGATGTGGCTGATTAGGTGAAAATCCGGAGTTCTGCATCCTGTTGTTTTGATGCATCCTTGGGCCATCTTGGATTGTTAGTTGCGACATCCCTGAATGGATGGCACTGTCGTTGTTTCGATAGTTTGGTCGTTCCAGTATCCTCACATTCTGTCTGTTGGCTTGAGCGTCGCCGAAGAACTGAGGATGAGAATTTGGAACGCTTCTGGACATGTGTCCATTGTATGAATTTTCAACAAAACCTCTCTCATATCCCAATGGTCCAGCAGGCCTAGGTCTGTTTCCAGGACCATAGGGGGCACCCCTGTATGGCATGTCAAGCAGCCCAGCAGAGTAGCCGGATTTTATCTGCAGTGAGTTTTTCACCAGGCGATGTGCAGCCTCTCCTAAGACAGAGCCTGACAGAGCTCCAGAAACCTGAGGCCTGTAATCAGAAAAGCAATTATGATGAGAGCTAATATAAGATCAGATTGTTCAGGCTACAGCTAAAGAAAAAAAATACTGGTCAAAATGAAGCATTATTCCAAAAAGAATTAATCTATACAAAACTGAAATAGCAAATCCATGAGCAATGCTTTAAATAGCAGTTTCTAATTTATAGTGCAAATGAAAAAGATTCTGCCAATGGAAATTAAAGCCATACCTTTCTCTTGGCTGACGCCGACTATTATCTTCATGCCACAAAATAGGAAAGGGTTTGAAATCACTAGGCTTCAATATCTACAATATCATACACAGCATTGGCTCATAAATTTTATCTCAAATATGTCAAGGTCAATCTCTTCACACAGAATGAATATATAATATACTCCTATTTCAATTGTACTTTTCTCAAAACATAACTGTGAAAATATGAAGGGTGAAAACCATATAATTGAAAGGACAATTGAAGTATAAAACTGTCGGGACAAGTAAATATTATACTCCCTTGCATGCAGCCAAAATTTATCCACTAATAGTCCACAAGAAATACTTGATTGGTTACATAGAAGTAGCACTAACATTTTTCTTTCATAAAAAAGTATGTTTTGTAAGTATGAGATACTTCGCAAATAAATTAAAAAGTTAAAGTTATATGAACAATGTTGAGCTAGAAATGTTTAAGTTTATTATTAGGAAGAACTATCAGTTATCCTGCTTGCATAGAGGACTAGGATTTACCTTTGCAGGTATGATGACACCTTCCGGAGGCTCAGGAATGTGTTTGTGATACTGAGGGTTAAGGTAGGTTGCATTCCTGAAAAAAAAAAAGGCATATAGCACTTGAAGATTTAGTGGGGACTACTGGCTGGCTATATGCTTTAAGGTACTTACAGAACTCTGTTCTGGGCGATGCCATTGAACCCCTTAACTGGAGATGTTACCACGATGCTGTAACAGTTCCTTTCAGATAAACAAAGAAATCCGTTCATTCCACCACTGCAAGCAATGAAGAAATACTGTAAATATATCAAGAGGGTGGAGTAACTTAGACAAAGGCTGATCTTAATGTATTCTGCAGTTCTACAGACCTAGCAGCAGGGTCAATGGGAATTATATAGGAAGCATTTGGTGATTGAGAGCACATCTGATATAGAAATGCAATTTGAGCGGCCAATGGATGAGTTTCCCGCACGTAAAGGATGTCAAACATTGTCCTATTCCTGAATCTCTCTTCATCCTGCAAAAGATGGTGACAATATAAACACACTGGGCAACTGCAATCCATATATAAGGACAAATGTCCAGAAAGTTAATAGAGAAGGGTCCAAAAAATACAGGTCAGGTAGCCTGATCCTAAAAACTACATACTGTCAATGTTTCTTCAAGCTTCTGCGTCTCCGCAAGCAGACGCCTTTCATCGATAAAAGGCAATTTTGCAATACCCTGGAAAGAACAAAAGAACATAAATCAACCTTTAAAGAATATTTAAACCAGTTGTCTGGAGGAAACATTGGTTTGTCCATTCCATGCATTACCTGCCATGCAAAACGTTTGCCGTTCATGTCTATCTCAAAATCTGCAGTTGCAATAACAAGGTATCATGGAACAATGTCGCAAGATTTTACAAGCATGAACTGCAACCCTACACATAATAAGGTCCTTAAGAGAAAAAACCCACGTCTTTCTTTACTTTGGAGTCTCTTATAGACTTGAACATTTCAATTTTCATTCGGTGAGAGATAGTAATACCTTTGGGATAGAAAGACTTCAACGGTGAATTAGGATCATTCATCAAATCCCCATAGTACTTTGGCAACGCATTGGAACTGCAGCAAAATAAATAGTGATTCATCTTACCCTTGCAATATTTGTCACTCTTCCTATCCAAACATGGGCGAGATTCATTAGCAAATAATAACAAACCTAGCAGCTGGTAGTGTTCCCATTAGTTGATCAAATGGCTTGAAAGGTTGACCCAAGAAAAATGTAATCTCCAATTCAGCCAAGCATTTCAGGTCTGATGCAAAAGGTGCATAATGGTATGGATAAAACCTGTTGCGGACCAAAAGGAACTGGAGTTGATAGTTGATACCAAATACAAGAAAATGCTAGTGAGAAGCTTTATCTATATTCTGTCACAAGCATCAGGTATGCAAAATGATCACCATACAAGAACCTGCTAGAACTATGTCTATCTATTGGACATAGTAACTATTCAACAGCACTACAGCACAAATAACAGAAGTCGGTGAGAAAGTCACACCAGAGTATCGCTTAGATTCAGGATTGACAAATATTGGAACTAACTTATTCACCCAAAAAAAATCAGTGCATAATATTTGATTATAGAAGATTCAATATTTACTCATGACGTTGCTATAACAAACCATAAAACTGGGAGTTTCAATTGTAAATCAAAAGTAAGGTTCTTGAGTATGTGCAAGCAGTTAGCAACTTTAATGAGTTACATCATAATAAAGTGAAAAATTTTCTTATCCGTAACAGCTAAAGAAACTTCCAGAAAGATCAGGTGGTGCTCCTCTCTTACCACTGCCATGAGCAAACACCTTGATAGTAGTATCTCATAACCCAGCAAAGACCTTCCACATATTTCTGGACCTGAAACATGGATTAACGCTAACTTCAGATAAAATAAGTGCTAAAGTGCCCGATGACAAAATAAAAAGATAGGCGGATTCATGGTGGATATCAGTTACATCATACGCTACCAGATATGTACACAGTAAAACAATTAGTATAGGTCTAAATGGGTTCTTTAAATAAATAAATAAAAGCAGGTGAACTTGTCGAGCTAAAAAAGCGCCAAAAGAAGTTCCAGTTGGTGCAGATTTGCTAGAACTAACACCCGATATCTGAAGCAGATCATTGACCATCAGCAAAATTGGCATGCAAATCAACAGGCAGGAAAATGCGACCTGTATAGTCTAATACCCTATGTGCCAAAAACCAATCGGTATTCTTACATAAATAACAGAAAAATCAATTTGAGAGCATTAGGGACCAAATTCAATTTTGATTCTAAACAAAGTAAAATCTATCCTTTTATCAGTATATATTAATATCAGCCGATATGACTAGCACCATTGCGAATACAGAGGGCAGATTGTAGATTGCAGTTAACTAGAACAACTTAGTTGTTGCAAAACCAAAAAAAGGCACCATTCATGAGCCATGACATTCTGGGTAATAAAATTGTGATGGATCATTTTATTTTCAAAATACAAAATCTAGGCATATTTACAGATGAAAAATACAAAAAACAAAAGAAGCATGTCAGATGGTAATGCTTATCATTACTGTAGGAAATATTGCCATTCCACCAACCAAAAGTGCCTGGCAAGAAAACTCACAACATCTCTCTGAACTTGATCAATGGGTTTTAGTTCTGCCTCTTCTTTAAACTTCTCAGCGTAGTATCTCACCCTGTATCCTGGTTCTCCTAATTTTACCTGAAGGGTTTCAGTGAAAACAGAATCGTTAGGCAAGACTTACAAGTTACAGCGGACAATTTGCAAGCTTCCATGTCACAATCAGCAGAAAACCAAAATGTTTTGGAGCTAACAGTTAAAAAAATAAACTGTGAATTACAGTATAAAATACTTTATATACCATAAAAAATCATATATGCAAAGATGAAATGAAACATAAACAAAGTTGAATAGACAACAAAGTCATTAGAAGTCTAAATTATTCCATATAACGGTGCATCATAAATGATAATCGACAAAGCCTCTTTAAATAGGAGCAGATACTAACTACACCCTCCGTTCCAAAATATAAGGGATTTTAGAAGGATGGGACACATCCTAGTACTACGAATCTGGACAGGTAGTACTAGGATGTGTCCCATCCATCCAAAATCCCTTATATTTTGGGACGGAGGGAGTACCAAGCAACACGGCGTACAAAAATTAAGAGCAATGCATTGGTTCTCAAAGGAACCATCTTGAGAGCACTAGAATCTCGACATATGCCAAGACAATTCTGCCCTGGGGAGTACCAAGCTTCATGATGATGGAGATTATTTATAGAATCTCTACTTAATACAGCAAGCTATTGCTCAACATAAAAAGTTCAAGTAATCAATATAGAAATTTACATGTCAAAAGTTCATCTTGAGCATCGACACTACAAAATATAACACTACAATAAAAGAAGAAATTAACATGTAAAGTAAAAGACCTCTAGATTCATACTACATTCTGTGTGTGCAAGTTTCAAGAAAACTTTAAGATTTCCTTAGCTCCATTATTTAACTGCTTATTTAGCCACTGACCCACCCATTGCAAAACTTAAACATCTATTTGTGACTAAGGTGGTGTTTGATTCTCCTGAAGATGAAGATGAAGATGAAGATTAAGTGTTTCACGTAAAACGAGGTGATAATAACGTGTGATTAATTGAGTTTTAATTATTACAAACTTGAAAAATGGATTAATATGATATTTTAGAGCAACTTTCATATAGAAAGTTTTCGCACAAAACGCACCGTTTAGCAGTTTGAAAAGCGTGCCATGAGTATCCAAAATTTAATCCTCTCCTTGACTCAGAAACGAACAGTGCCTAACTACAGAACCAGTAGTATCCAATCAATGAATAGGATAAAACATTCTCTCGGACTACTGGCTAAAAGCAGACAATTCTCACACACTAGTATAGCCACCAATGCATGAACCATAGGACATTAACCCATGAGGTTGCGCATACAGGCTTCATTATGCATCTTTTGTGCCAATATGTGTATGCGATTATATCATATGGGTAAAGTTTGTACAAACAACTGGCTTACTGGAAAACCTAGAGTCTTGAAACCTGCCTGGAAAACATAAGTTAGCATTGTATGGTTCCATATAAATTTCTAGTCGTTTTTGTAATACTTGACAGTGACAGTAGGACAGTAGATCATGCTCTGTAGCAGTGTCAGACATATTTTGCTTATATGTTTCAGAAGAACAAACCGTCAAAAAAATAGGATGATTTGAAGTATTAATAGGTGATGCTGAAAAAATCAGTGCAAACTAGGATTCCTCTAAGAAATACTGGCTGCTCTAACACAACTTAAATATGACATCTAATTATCATATATTGTCAACATGATTCTATAAGAGGAGAAAAGTAAACCTTGTCCACATATTGATTATCCTCAGAGTTCTCTGTCTGCACTCTATTCCTCTCCTCATTGTTCTGGATAGCCTGCAATATAGCAATCATAAGCGTGTACCCTGATGTAGCACTACCAAAAGACAGACTTAGTTGGAGATAGATAGATCTCTGTGCATTTGCATACATGACAAATTTATAGGATTAAAGAACCAAGGCAGCACTGGTTGGAGGATTTAGGTGCAAAGTACCTTCTGAATGCGTGCACGCTTCTGGAAAATTTGCTCTTCATGGACAGCAACAGATTGAATGAAATGCTCCACTCGATCCAACAAAACCTTTATTGAAAAAGATAAAATGTCATGATGTCAGGCAATTGTCCTCATGCAAAATATAGTCCATGCATTCTGCGGTAAAAGGGCATTTGTTGCTTTATAAGCTTATAAGTTCATTGTAACACAACCCTGGCTCCTTACGAAGCCAAGATAATTAAATCAGAACAGATGAAAACTTAGAGAATTCTTCCATTTAAAATTACACCTGCAATGAAATAGCGAATTGACTTAAAAATGTGTGCTCCTTTGAACTGCATGATGTCCAGAATATGCCATTATTGCAGCAAGAACTGCATGTTCAAGCTACATTAATTTGGTCAAGGAAGTCCACATTTGGTCCTTCAACAATGGCGTTGGTCTAGTTTTTGTCCCTCAACTATACCGTTCACAACTGGTCCCACAACTCTAAAAGATGTTCATACTTTATCCCTTGGACTAAACTAGGATGGTTCTATCACTTGGACTATACCATTCACTACATGAACAGAGTGATAATTCTACCATACCAATAGATGATAAAAACTAGATAGGGCATATTGTTAGGTCACACCACAAACTCATATTGTTAGGTCACACCACAAACTCACCAAAACAAGATTTCAGTGCTTGAAGTGAAAAACATGAATATCTCCAGGTAAAGCCAATATGCTCCAGTTGGAAGGTAGCAAAGGGAGAAGCCAAGCCAAACAAGGAAAACTATACCAAAAATGGCCCATAGTGTGCTAATGAACTATAGCACAACATATTCGTCAAACAAGGTAAAGCCAAACACTACTTTTTTTTTGCTAAAATAGCATATATTTGTCTATATCCTAAATAAATTTGTTTTCACAAGCAATGGCTCAAAACAATATGCCCATGGGGTCCATATAGAAATTACTTCTGCATAAATAATGATAACACAACCATATTTCAATTATGAAAAGCCGTCCCTTCAGTAAGAAATTCTGTGAATGTGGTGTATGTGGTCCTATAAAAGTGGTGCTGAAAGGAAATAAGCAGCCTTATCGTTCAATAATTATAAGTACACATGAGAAGGGAAAATATGATGTGTTGGTAGGATCACTTCTGAACTACAGTCAAGCTGAAATTATGATTGTGTTGCTGAAAAGCTTACTAACTTTGGAAGGGTACATGTCCTTCTATAGGACTTTTAAGTCGGTGCTACAGTAATGGATATACACCCTGTAACACATCCGACAGTGCTACAGTAGCTTTAGAAGGGTACATATCTGGCATAATGTTCATCCTGTTGTTTACAGCTAAAGTGAAAATTCCAAATTTACTACTCCTGCCAGCTGTATATTTTCTTACTAGCTAAGTAATGGATAAACACAAAGGATTATACTAACATGATGTGCAGGGGAACAAAGGAACTACACATGAGAAGAGGGGAATACCTAGGGGGTGACCTTATTATTTCTTGCTTACTGACTTGCTGCTATTAATGATACAATCTCCACACTAAATAGCTGATCCTAAGTCCTAACTAATAGAATTCAGAGAAGCTAGGCCAATCAATACTGAGAGAACAAACATATGAGCCATTTAGCTAGCATCTCTTTGTCGCTGGACTGTAAAATTAATGCCATTAAATGTGATATGAGAATTGAACTCGTGCAGACAGAAGAGTCCACAAAATTATATTTTAATGCTTCAACAAACTATAGATGAGGAAATAAGCTTCACTTTGCTGTTCGATAATCGATCTAGCTAAAGTGCTGACATCTTAATTATTCAGAGTCTATGAACTTTCTAGCCCACCAAAGTACAACATATATATTCCAGGCATCAATTCTTCAATAGTTAGGAGTTGATGGGATCGGTAACACTGTAGCCTAATAACCTACAGAGTAATGGTACTACATGACAGCATAATCATGTAGATCCACAGATAATTTTCTCAATAGCCTGCCCTAAAATTAGTGATATAATATGGAAACATCACAGTAATTGATCAAGTGTTAGTTCATCATAAAGTTACAGTTAAGATAATCCAAGTTACATTGATCACTGAGCACTGATCTATTCTACATTCTATAAGCACATGTCAAAACAAAAGGCAATGCATTATTAGGGATTCAAAGTTTGAACCACACAAGAATGTGAGCAAAGGAACTTTACCTCACCCCCATCGGTGAGGTAACCACCCATTGATGTGAACTCCCTTCTATATATATTCATGAGAAGATTAATGGCACCCTACAGAACAAAACAGAAAATTAATCACTTGGCGTATAAGCATCGGTTACACGATTGATAAATAAAGAATCCCTATTAAAATATTAGAGAGAAGTCTGCGAAATCAACAGACCTCGCGGATCTCCAAAGTTGGCATGTGAGGCAGAAAGTCATTCCCAACAAAGAAACACATGAAAACAAAATCATCCACAACACGCTCAAAGTTTATCTTGAAGGGGGGATCAACAATTTCCAAATCCTTCTCCAGGTATTCACGCAGAACCCAGATGTTAAGAAACTGTAAACAGGTAAATAGTTACACAGTATATCGACATCAGTAAAAGATGAGGACCACAGCTTACGAATTATTTCAGATGTGGCCCCTCAAAATAAGTTGGCAATGAATAGAAATACGAAAATACACTAAAACAAAAGGTGGTGTAGTCCGAATACCTGATACTTCTTCTTATGGATAGGAGGGAGCTCCACGGTCTTATCAGCCTGACCAGATCCTCTGCATTCAGCAGCCAAGTGACCAACTTGACCACAGAGAAAGCATTTTTCATGTTGCCCTGGCATGGTAATCACCTGTAAAGTCAGTTGAATTATGTAGTTATGGAAGTACTCCTAAGGTAAAACATAAAGGACAGAGAAAATAACTATTTAAAACTGGTCAAAAAAGTCTTCAGCAAAGAATCATCAGAAGATTTACCTCTCTTAAAATGGAGAAGTGGACCTCATGAGTAGCCAGAGAAAGCATGATCAAATCAGCATCCTGGAGAATGTGGCAGCCGGTGTTTAAAGCAGAGGGAATGCAAACAACAAGCCAACAGCTACTTTGTAACTTTCTAGTGAACTTACAAGGCCATATAAACAATGGCGTGTATTTGGGTCAAATCCTGGGAGATTGCGCTGCAGGCGGATGTATGACATAATCTTGTGTTCTCCCTCCCCAGGGACGTTCGAATCAGAAAGCATTACCTTGAAAAATATGCCCAACACAGTTCACATTTAGTATGATAGAACACATCCAGAAATGGACTAATTTTACAATGCTATCCAAACAAGTAATATAAACATTCAACACCTTGACAGATTGCCACCCAGGTGTGTGGTTCAATCTCAGCTGTATGTAGTATTGAAGCGCCGAAGAGAGTACAAACATGAATGGTGTCCCAGGAGTTATGACATTTGAGTCAATCGCTTCCGACTTCTCCTTCGCAACCAAAGTCCTGCCTTCAGCCTCAAATTCCTTCCTCAACCTTTCCTCCTCAGCTGCCTGAACAAAGCGACAACCGGTGAACAACCGCCTTTACCCTCAATGTCGGCGGCAGGTGGCACCGCAACCACAAAAGCAATAACCTTACCGCGTCAGCCGCATCCTTAGCAGCCCGGAAACGTCTAGACCTCTGCTGATTCATCTTCGCCCTTGGCGCGACGCCATCTGCGCAAGCAGACAGAGCATCCACACACATACACCCCACAACTTAGCATCACGACGCAGTAGCAGCAGCAGCAGCAGCAAGCATACACATACAGATATAGAAGCAACTCACCGATGGCCATGTAGATGAGCTTCCTCGGGCGGACGAGGCCGAAGAGGTGGTCAATGTAGGCAAAAATCGACTTGAACACCTCGTCGTAGGTGGTCGGAGCCGGCTGCAGGAGAGGCCGGCCAAATCCATGGTGAGATCGATTAGAAGAGGAGGAGGAGACAGAGAAGGGGATGGGGGGAATCGGATCGTACGCGGCCCTCGGGGTGGAAGCAGGGGTGGATGATGCCGTTCATGTCGAGGTAGAGGTTGTCGAACTCGAGGCCGTTGGGGTTGGGGCGGCGGAGGTCGACGGGGACGAAGGCGCCGGGCTCGAGCTCCACGGGCTCCTCCTCCACCGCGTCCGACACCGTCTGCGGGTACCGGTCCGCCAGCCACCGGTAGAACGCCGGGACTCCCATCTCGCCGGATCCCCCTCTCTCCCTCCTCCGCTCTCTCCTCCTCCTCCTCCTCCGGGGCGGCGCTTCCGGTAGCTCCTCGCGCGACGGCGGTGGTGGCGTGCGGCGGCTGCCTAATCTCTCTCGGAGTCTCGGTTCGATCTGGAGGGGGGAGGAGAGACGAGGAGGGTCCCCGCGGTGAGGAGGAAGTGCGATGAGGAGGGGGCTCGCGTGGCTCGTGTCGCGTCGCACGGGGACGGGGTTGGGCTCAACCGCGGCTTGGATATAGGATTGTAGTTGCTGTTTGTACTAGTACTGCAGTACTACAACCGATTCGATTCGACGCAGTTTATGGTTAGTAGAGTGAGTGCAATGTTGGGGCAGTGGTGGTTGATATCTAGGGTCATATAACTCCCATCGTTTTGTCAAATACGGATAATACGTCATTTGGTAGTAAAAGGATTAACAAATTCTAGGTAAAACTTTTATATATACGGTACTTGAATGTCAATACTGAAACATAAATTTTGATGAAAAAAATAAAATCAACTTCTAAATTAAGTTTAAAAATTCAAATATTGGCAATCGTCGATGCTATACAGAGAAAAGGATGAGAGACTTAAACTTTTATGGTTTTGATTTTTTAAGAAAGTGGGGGACTCAACTTATGTGACGGTAATGTGTTTTGATAATTAAGCATAGAAATGAGATAAACTTAGGCTTTGTTCGTTAACTAAGGTTGGAAATCCTTCCCTCCCGACCACATAACAGAGTGGTCCATTAGCGTGTAATGATTAAGTATTAGAAAAAAAAACTTTAATGAATGTATGATTTTTAAAAATATGTATTTTTTAAAGAAAGAAAACACACCGTCTAAGCCATTATTAAAAGGTACCTTGTAAAAACGCATAATTAATGCACTGAAAAGAACTCACCCTTAGAATTTCTACAATCCGCATTAATTGTAAGCATATTTAGATACAAAATGTTTTTTTAACTGGCCAGGTAACTCTCTGTACAATCATGTACTACTCTGTCCCCAAAACCAAGTAAACTCTAGTTACAAAATTTGACACACGTGTTCATGTTCGCATTTAGGATTGGACTTTTTTAGGATGGAGAGGATATGTCCTAACGGAAATGTCATGTCTATGCTCCGATCTTATAAATTTGTTCAATAGCGTTGCAAACGCGATCATTAAAAAGGCGGTAAGAGAACTACCACATTTTCGAAAGCCCATTCTCTTCGTGAGTTACTGGAATTATTTGGCATAGCACATGCATAAAGATGCTTTAGTAATGAGCTCAATAAAACACGACAGCTTTGCATGTAGCCACAATGCTATAGTAAATGAGTTGTACTTCTTTTGCATTGCAAAGTGGTACTGACCTTGTTTAGGCAGCTAGCTTCATTCATTTTTTGAATTCTATAGTTATAGTTATAAAGATTATCATAATTTAGATAAGAATCCGGTATGTTTGAGAAGCTGGAGTTTCTAGAGAAGCTATAACAACTCGAAGCTCCCTAAACAGAGCCATTGAACATTGAGCTGTCCAGTATATCATGACAAAATGATACATTTTGCATGGGCATATGTGTCTAAGAAAACAAACATCACAATTCAATGAGTCACTCTAAAAAAAAAGGCAAAACACTCAACAAAACCATACCGTGAAAGTGAACCTATAATGAAATGAAATTTTGATAAGCATGCTTACCCAGGTGGAAATTTCAATCTAAGAACAATTTCCAAAACCACCGTCCATAGAAATATGTGGAATTCATTCAGAATTTTCATACCACACGATAAAATTTATAGGGAATTTAACTTTTGCCATTTTTACCGAACACCACCTTTTCATTTGCTCCTATAATGTTATCGAAAAGAGAGTGTTTGTTAATTATTTGTCACTTTTATCACGACATGTAGCCGTGACAACGTGGCGTTCCTCGTGGAGCCCACCCGTCAGCCGCCGTACGCACCACCATCAAAGAATTCAAGACGGAGAGCGTCGTCGCCGTCGGCAAGGCGGCGTGTTTTGTTCACTGTACGTTGCTTCGGCGTGGGCCCAATCTTGTTCGGGCCTAACTAGTTCTTCCCAGCCCAGGCCCATTAAGCCTACCAACCCGGACGGCCCGGGAGGAGCTAGGGTTTCACCCTTCACTATATAAACCTCTCTCTCCTCCTCCGGCCGCCGCCTCCGAAGCCCTAGCTCCTCCCGCCGCCGCCGCCGCCGCCGCCGCCGCCTCTCCACTCGAGAGACCCAGCCGCCGCCGCCGCCGCCGCCGCCATGGTAACCTTCTCGCTCGCTTCTCCTCTCCTCCATTCCCGTCTCCGATTCGCCTTCTCGTGACGCCTCCTCTGACTGACTCTCGTTGGCGCTTCTGTCCCCGCAGTCGCTGATCGCCGGGGAGGACTTCCAGCACATCCTGCGTCTGCTGAACACCAACGTCGATGGGAAGCAGAAGATCATGTTCGCGCTCACCTCCATCAAGGGTGTCGGCCGCAGGTTCTCCAACATCGCCTGCAAGAAGGCCGACATCGACATGAACAAGAGGCAAGAACCTCCTCCTCCTCCTTCTCGTCGTCAGATCTCGGTAATGGTGGGTGGGTGGGTCGGGCTGACGACCGTCGTGCTGTGTCCGTGGTTGGGGAGTGCAGGGCCGGTGAGCTTACGCCGGAGGAGCTGGAGCGGCTGATGACCGTGGTGGCGAACCCGCGGCAGTTCAAGGTGCCCGACTGGTTCCTCAACAGGAAGAAGGACTACAAGGACGGGAGGTTCTCCCAGGTTGTCTCCAACGCGCTCGACATGAAGCTCAGGGATGATCTTGAGAGGCTCAAGAAGATCAGGTCAGTACCTCGTCTGTCCTATCTCCCCCCTGCTTGCCGAATTAGTACTCAACCTAGTTTGATGATGGAACCGTTTTAGATTAAGAACTATTTTTTTAATGTCAACTCTTCACATTTAGCTTTTTTTTGATATTAGATTAGATGTTCCATTAGTTGTTGTTTTCATTAGTTATAGAGGGGTTCTAAGCCATTGAATGTCTGCGTAGAGACTGGCAATTAGTGTACGAAGTAATCTGGATTGCTTCATGGTGAAATGCTATGAAATGTGGCCTATCTGGTAGCTAATCCAGGGTATGCCAGCTGGATTGCTTTATGGTGAAATGCTATGAAATAAGGTGGATGAACTGTGGTTTGTGCTTTATGGTGAAATTCTTGTTTAGATTAACTCCTGGCAAGTTTTTAGCAATTAGGCTAGGTGATAGGATCATATTTCATTGTATTTGGCTGTAAATTTAGATTATATGCTTAGTCTAACTGCCATTATCTTGCTGCTTACCTATTAGCATGAAATGGTTGTTAATTATCTTAGACAGTCAGGACTACAGTTTTCATTGTAGACTGAATGGTTTGTTACCCAGGCATTCATCATGTATTGGATCCCTTTAACTTATGTTGACCATCTTTTACGCTCTCATCACCCTTGCGCTCACTTGTTCCTTGTACAGGAACCACCGTGGTCTGAGGCACTACTGGGGCCTCCGTGTGCGTGGGCAGCACACCAAGACAACCGGAAGGAGGGGTAAGACTGTCGGTGTGTCCAAGAAGCGATAAGCCTAAGAACCACCCGAGACTTGATGAAGCGTTTCGTTGGGTGATGTTTTGCCCTAGGATAATATTTTGCAGCTATGGAACCTTGTCGTAATGTATCTTGAAGAGTGTCTTTGGGAACTAAGAGTAATTTACTTTTCTTGAAACTATTGCAGTATTGACTCCTTGTTTATTGCTTTTCTCCACTTTCTTCTACCCACTTAAAACTATTGCAGTATCGACTCCTTGTTTATTGCTATTCTCCACTGGCTTCTGCCTTAATTTTGGATGTTGCATGCGCTGTGTATCTGGTTCATGTGATGTACCATGGCAGCTTGATGCATTGGGATTACTTTGTGCTGCTATTCTCATTAGAGAACGCATTAGTCTGATATGGTAGTTTGATCTGATGTAGTGGTTAATGATAAACTTAGGGTTAATGTTATGGATGGTAATAACTGGTAAATAAATTGTGAGATTTTCTTCTATGTGTCTGATAACCAATTCTTAGATATTGAATGGCTTCGAACCGATTCTAAAATATCAGGTGGGTTATAACCTGTCTCAGAGGCGGAGCCAGGGCCCGGCTTGCACGGGCAGCTGCCCGGGCTCCATGCCTCCATACACACAGCAATGCATTGCTTCACCCCATAATTACTCACTAACTGTTTACCTAATTACCTTGCTTAGTGGTTCTAATGGAGGTTAATTTGATGATCAGCTTACAAACAAGCAAATCAAGGCTCAATAAAATGGTAATGGTCTATGAAGTTAATTACTTTTATGGTTTTGTATATATAGATTTTATATTTCATTAGATTTGCCCAGGCTCAAGAAAAATTCTGAATCCGCCACTGATCTCTGTTCATGGTGTTATCTTGTGTTTTAGAATGTGTTCATAAAGGAAAAACAATCCAATCCCAAGATATCAAGTGGTTTCGAGCAAAAAGTCGATGTTTTTCATTGTGATGTAAACAATCGATTTTTTAAACTCTGTTCTAAACCTGCTCTATGTGATTGTTGAGCTGCCCTTTCGATAGGTCACAGAGGTTTGCATCCTCGAGGGGTCACACCTTTCTGAGTTGTCTCCAAATTCATTGATTACCTTTTAGGCGTCTACGATTCCTGATTAAGTGGGCAAAGTCTGCTTTCAAAAATTACTCAAAAAGTTCGAGAGTTATATCTTATCAGAAAGATGCAGAGGTTCTCTTGCAGTGCAGTCCTAATCAACATCCAGGTTGCCAAATATTTCTGGTTATTTTCCCTTTAGTGCATACATGGAATTATGGACATATGATAGGTACTAAAGCACTCGTGCCAACGTGATATTCTCCTGCTCAAAGCGCAGGACAAGTATTTTGCATGTTTTTGGTGAAAATCATTTCACATGTTGTCAAAAACTCAAAATGACAAATCGTGAATGCGAAAAAAAATATTTTTCAGAAAGAAAGGGAACATGTCCTGAATGATTTTTTCAGAAAGGAAAGGAACAAATCCTGAACAGTGGGAGAGCTTATCCAATTTAAGCCTATGAACAGTGACAAACAATTCATTTACAAATTACTACAAGTTGATGTGATCGTAGCAAGGTTCGAACCTCACACACTTTATGCTCGAAGAACAATCCTTTCCTGATGTGTCTTTTTTCTTTGCCTAATGCATCATGATGCTTCATCCATGACACAGCAATAAAAAGAGCTCATAGTAATCTATCTAAATTCTAAAGCAGCAAGGTGTTGGAGGTGGGTATGCTGCTGGAATCCAATTTCACCAATTTGCCTGACGTATCTAGCAATTGGGAAGTGTGTTCTGCTTGAAATTCAGATCTCCCTCGTTTTCCTCGACGATTGAAATATTTGGCGCATCATCGTTCACATCATTTTACTGTTAAAAAGGCAGTGTCATCAATCCAATAAATACGTGTATAGCTTTGCTGTAGAAAGGGGAGTGTCATCAATCCAACAACGCGTGCATTAAAAAGCCTCCAAAGTTCCATCATAGGACGGAGAACTGCGAGGAGCTAACCCTAGTACGAGATGATTGGGTTGGGTTAACCTATGTTGTACCAGTTGTTATGCCAACAGCAGCACCGGGCAGCTAAATTGGCATGGAAGAAATGTTGCGCTGCGGAAAATCCTTTTGTATAGAAGTTCTTGTGCAAGGTTTTTGAACGTAATTTCGGTAGGCAAGAGGTGTAAGCACCGCGAGGTGTGAAGCGATCTCGTACTAAAAGAATGTAACTCTCCAACCTTTGAGAAATGTCAGCTTTGCTCGTTAGTCACAATTCTTGTTATATTGAACTATATTGGGTCAACGCGTATCTATAGGATAACGTGTGTTTACCTTTTTAAAGTGTAAATTATACAGTAGAACTTGAGAGGTCGGGAAAGAGAAGGGGAGTGGACCCTCTGCCCATTTGGCCTCTGGAATTGCATCGAATTTGGAATGTAAGAACAGAATGAGATGCGGCCAACCCAAACTAGTTGGGATCATATGTGGATCCAATTGCCAACCATCCCCTGCGTCATCGCCCAAATTCTCTAATCCAAGTCTCCTTGGGTGAGTCTTGATTCCAATTCTTTCATATCTTTATACGATTCAGCTAAAGATATCCCAGATATCACTGCCATTTCCTCCTATAAAAACCCTTCTAATGCTTTGCATGTGTGCTGCAGCTAAGACGACGAGATCCTCGACTAATTGCTTCGTGGCTTCGCTCGTCTGGTTTTCTAAGTGTAAGATAAGCATTGCCCTCTCCTTTGATTTCTTGAGGTGGTAAATGTGGCAGCACTTCATGTTCAGATAAAAATCTAGTTTTTTCCTCTTTCTCATGCAAATTTAAGTTTGAATTACTGTATCTATAGCTTCTTTTGAATTATAGTCTGTTCTTTTTGAAGTACTAGAAGGAGAGCTGATAGTATTTCATTGAACAGGAGGATCAAAAACATTTTTTAAGAAAAAAAAGTATTTATAGTGCTTAATATTTACTCTGTTAAATTTGAGCAAGTTTAAACTCATTTAGTTTTGTGGACACAATCTTGCCGACATTTTTGGGTTATCTGCAACTGCTTTGCACTTGGGGGCAAAACTTTTGGATATTTTTCTTTACACTTCTCAGAATAAAGCACCCAACTTGGTGTAGCTATTGCCCTATTATCCTATAATAAAGATGACAAAGCTAACATAATATTCTAATGATTTTATTTATCTACTCCCTAAGAGGGACCCCAAGTCATGTGACTTTTTGTCACCATATATGTAATGTATACTGGATAGTGGGCATATGATTCACACACTGCACACCTGTCCCCATGATCTGTGTATGATCATGTGCTTAATTAAACACAAAGACTTTATTAATGCCTTAATATGGCTGCGAAATAAACCTTTTCCCCATGAGATACTTGTGGCTGATATTTGTTTCTGTATTCATTCTTCTTTTTGGTTTTTGAGATGACTATTTATGTATTTTATAATTCCAGAATGAATCACATCCGAGTCAGCCATGTGATTTTCCTGCTTGTCTGAAATCGATGTCTTGTGTTCGTAGTGTTCGTAGCAGCATGTTTGTGAAAATTCAACTATGTATACATAGGATCTCATTCACTTGTGTGATTGTTCATCGTCAACGAATCAACAATCGACCATACAACAGATTGTACGGTGGCTTGGCTGTGTATGTAGAAATCGGATTTTTATCCATTACCTAAAAATAATGCACGATTGCTGCATAGTACACCTGAGTACCTAACAGAAAATTGAGTAATCTTTCTGTTGCTGGAGAGATTATATTGAGCATATTGATTTTTCACTGGTTTATGGCTGAAATGCTGGAAGTCAAGTGCTGCGGCGACCGGCACCCGAGCAGTTTGTCTCATGTGCTGCTGACTAGATATTGATCATACCTATCCACGAAAGATTTCAGTTCCCAACACCTATATCTTTAAGAGGATTAGACTTATGAGACAAGATCAGTCCTAATTATATATATGTTTTACCTTCTAATAACCTGTTTTATAGCTAGGATTGGTCATAATTATATATATATATTACTTCCTAATCACCTATTTTAGTCACAACTTCCTCCGTCACATGTTTATTTTTCAACCAACCTTATATACGAATTCAAAAGAAAAAAAATAGAATACATCACTTTATCAAATCCTGATGTAATCATTCTTCACTTTATCTACCCGTCTTTTGATTTTAGAAACTCCGATGTAATAATTATTTAAAAATAAATTTATCTTGGAACAAATCTAGGAATAAAAAAGTATGAGTAGGAGTCAATATATACTCCCTCCATAAAAAGAAAAAAACTTATATAGCTGTGAATCCGGATAAATTCGTTTTTTTATGGAACGGAGGAGTTTGTATGTGACATGACAATAATAGTACTATCTTTGTCACAGTTAGTAGTATCTGAAAGTAAATTCGCTTATATAGTTTTATTTAAGGAAAAAAAAGAACTGAACAAGGTCCACAAAGAAAAGAAAGGACGTGCCTATATATAGAGTACCAACTTGACCTGAAAGACCGGACCTACTCTGAAGTAGTACGCGCCGCTACCCTGCCTCTTCTTCCTTCCCACTACCAAACCCGACCAAATATTGTATTGCTGGCTCGCTGCTTGGGAAGATAAAAGTAAATCTTTCTTTGTATTTTCCTTCACTGGTTTGATTCTTTGCTTGTTTGGGATCATGTTTAGGTTTCTTGTTGGATTTGGTACTGATCTCGTTAGGTTTCTTGGCCCGTTTCCAGGTGCGGCTCTGAAGGGGAATTTCGTCGAACAGGATGAATGCGTTGGCAGCGACGAGCAGGAACTTCAAGCAGGCGGCCAAGCTGCTGGGCCTGGACTCCAAGCTGGAGAAGAGCTTGCTCATCCCGTTCAGGGAGATCAAGGTGATGATTCTAGGGCAGTTTTCTTGAGATCTGGTAACCTGTGCTCTTTGGCTTCACTTGCTCGAAGTGGTTTCCTGATGAACATGAGAGAGAATGTTGAAAAATTCTTGCTGTGACGGGGTTCAATGGATTAAAGGGCTCTCTTTTTGGTGTTGAGTGACAAGAAGTTTGTGGTTGATTTCAGGTTGAATGCACAATTCCGAAAGATGATGGGACTTTAGCATCTTATGTTGGGTTTAGGGTCCAACACGACAATGCTAGGGGACCTATGAAGGGTGGAATCAGATACCACCATGAGGTGAGAATTTTTGTTGATTGGTTGATGTGTTCTTCATAATACTAGCAATCAGCATTGATTCTTGCTATGCTTTTGCTACACTAAAATGGTCCTTCAGCATAAATGCTGGGTTTCTTTAGGAATTTGTCGGTACTTAGAATTCCTTCTCAGATATTCTAAATGAATAACTGTTCAAAAATTGATTGCAGTATCTACTTAAAGTAATGCAGAAAAAACATAGTAACCAGGAACAATTTATTAATGCTGCTTTTATTCCTTCATTTTACTGCCAGTCATGTACACTTGTCTCTTAGTATTTAAGACTATCTGAAAACACTTCCAAAATAAAGTATATTGTGTACGGTTGCAGCAAGTACTTGCAATGACTAGTCTTTCATATTATTCAGGTTGATCCTGATGAGGTCAATGCGTTGGCACAACTAATGACATGGAAGACGGCCGTGGCTAATATTCCATATGGAGGAGCTAAAGGTGGAATAGGATGCAGCCCTGGAGATCTCAGCATCTCCGAGCTAGAGCGACTTACCCGTGTTTTCACCCAGAAAATCCACGACTTGATTGGCATTCATACAGATGTTCCAGCTCCAGATATGGGAACCAACTCTCAGGTTATTTTCCTTTGCATATCCTCTCATTTGAGACTTTGGTGAGAAATAGGCATATGCATATGTTTATTCTGATGTGGCTTGTTTTTTTTCATGGATGTAGACAATGGCGTGGATACTTGACGAATACTCAAAGTTTCATGGTTATTCACCTGCTGTGGTGACTGGAAAACCTGTTGTAAGTATCATGTCTAGCACTTTTTATCATGTTGATGTAATGAGAATGATGTTTCCATGAAAATGGATTATTTCATGGGGGAATTTCATAAGAAATAATGAACAGTCCTTTGGATAGGGTTTAGCACCAGTAGTATTATGACTGTCTCACACTTATGATTTGGCAATGAAATTTTTGCTCAATACAGGACCTTGGAGGATCACTTGGAAGAGATGCAGCTACTGGAAGGGGAGTTCTGTTTGCTACTGAAGCCTTGCTTGCAGAGCATGGCAAGGGCATTGCTGGCCAGCGTTTTGTAATACAGGTAAACAATTTGTTAGGCAACTGAGCTCATTGGACTTCCAAAATGATATAGAACGTTTAGAACAAAGTGCAGCATGAGTCATCATGGCCAGCACTAATCATTCACAATTTTTTTTAGAGAAAAGATCATAACAACCCTGCTTTTATAGAAAGCAAAAGAATTTTACACAATACAAAGTAAGGAGCTCTTAAATCGAAAGAAATTCAGGAAAAGAGCTGTGCAGACTCAGCTACTTGGTCACATAATATGCGCTTTCAACTCGACCATTAGAAGAGGAAATTCATGATTAAGGCTAGCATTACCTCTTCTTTATGTTTACTTGAGTTGACCTTACAAATTAGGGAAGCTGAACATTTTTCCTGCAAAGGCTGTGTCACAGATGACCAATTATTGCCCTGGCTTTTCAGGGATTTGGTAATGTTGGATCCTGGGCTGCTCAGCTGATCAGTGAAGCTGGTGGCAAGGTGATTGCCATCAGTGATGTCACTGGAGCTGTCAAGAACAGCAATGGGCTTGACATTGCAAAGCTAATGAAGCACTCATCAGAGAACCGCGGGATCAAGGGTTTCGACGGAGGCGATGCAATCGACCCACGCTCACTGCTTACTGAAGAATGTGATGTCCTCATCCCGGCAGCACTTGGTGGAGTTATAAACAAGTACTCTTCTTTTCCTCATTGCATCTTGTTTCATCCTTACAGTAGCACTCAACCTCATTTCTGTTTTATCACTGTTATGTGCTTGCTTTTCTGCACCTGCAAACCTGTTTGCAAACGGTGATTAATCCGCACCATGTTTTCCTAGGGACAACGCAAATGAGATCAAAGCAAAGTACATCATTGAGGCTGCAAACCACCCCACAGACCCTGAGGCAGATGAGGCAAGCACATCTGACAGTATCTGGCAGACAAATACCCCAACAGCAACAAAATGTACCATTTGTCTGAAATGCTTTCTCTCTGAATTCCTTCTGCAGATCCTGTCCAAGAAAGGCGTTCTCATTCTTCCAGACATCCTCGCGAACTCCGGTGGTGTCACAGTGAGCTACTTCGAGTGGGTTCAGGTAAGTTACTGCACAATCTCCCTGTGCTAAATTCAGAGTAAAAATGTAAAGCAGTCAGGTTAAGCAAGAGACTGATGCATGAAGCTGCTGCTGTTCTTGTGGTTTGTTCAGAACATTCAGGGTTTCATGTGGGACGAGGAGAAGGTGAACAATGAGCTGAAGACCTACATGACCCGTGGGTTCAGGGATGTGAAGGAGATGTGCAGGAGCCACCACTGCGACCTCCGCATGGGCGCCTTCACCCTCGGTGTCAACCGTGTCGCTCGCGCCACCGTTCTCAGAGGATGGGAAGCATGATCTCGTCAGTCATCTGATCATCTCCCTGTTGTACTTCATGCACTGAATTTCTTTCGGTTTTTCGCTTTGGTTAATCCGTCAACCGGGATTGGAGAAGATAGATTCAATAACCAACCCCACGATGAGTCGATGAGTGTGCTGCCTTTCTCAGAGATTAGTTGGGGGAAGAAACAGTAGTAATCTGCTGGGTAGTGATGAATTGCCTGAATTTATCATCTTGCAGAATGGCACTGCAGGATTTCTTGTACTCTGTGGCTGAAATTCTTGCTGGTTTGCAAGCAGTAATCTGAATTTGGTTTCTTGGCAAAATCTTATTTTCATCATACATACATTCACAATACATAGAAAAAAAAATCTCACAGCAACATGATTAGCCATTGATCACTCGACGAGAGGATCAGTGGAGATGAAGCTGTAGATGACCATGTCCCTGAGCTGGCCCTTGACGACGCAGTAGCTGCGCAGCACGGCCTCCTGCTGGAACCCGGCCTTCTCGAGCGCGCGCCGCGACGCCGCGTTGCCGACGTCGACGAGCGCCTCGACGCGCTCGACGCCGTCGAGGTCGGCGAACGCCGCGGCGAGGGCGCGCCTCAGCGCCGCCGTGGCCACGCCCTTGCCCCAGTGCGCGCGCGCCACCGCCACCGCGACCTCGGCGCGGCACCGGTCGGCCGTCGGCGTCACGGACACCGCGCCGCCGTCGCCGTCGCCGGCGAGGCAGATGGCGCGGAACCACGGGTGCGGGAGCACGGTGTCGCGGATGAAGGCGCGCAGGGAGTCGACGGACTCGTACGGCTCCCACGTCATGAAGGCCGTCACCTCGGGGTCCGACGCCCACGCCATCATGGCGTCGGCGTCGGCGAGCTCGAACCGCCGGAGCGTGACCGTCTCCATGGACTCCGGCGGCGCTTCTTCTCCTAGCCTTTTGCCGTTTCGCGCTTGACTACTTTGCTAGTAGTGCGCAGCTCGGCCTCTGCTACCAGCCGCACTAATCAGAGTTATCTTATTAGAGAGGCACAGATCACTACTTAATCTAAACTAGCTAAAGGATTAGTTATCTTATCAGTGAGGCAGATCATACTAAATCTAAATTAAAGGGATTGACTGTTAAGGGAAAGCTCTTTTTTTTAGTAATTAACACACACAGTTCACTCTTTCTCAGCCTGAGCAGAGAGGCACATATCATCATGATTGTTCAACCACATATGCAGTCATATCATTGATGTTTTTTTAATAATGAAAATGGTTTAAATTCTTGATTCTGTCACAACCACACAGCCAACAAGTTTTTAAAGTATGCATCACGAAACATGTTTGTACAAAGCCGGAAAAAGAAAAGAACGAAAGATTTGGTACACAGATCGTACAAAGATTATTAGTATTTGCGTTGCCAGTTTGCGACTTCTGCGTGATTATTACTCGGCGAGTTGATCGGAGGAGACGAAGCTGTACATGACCAAGTCCCTGACGCGGCCCTTGTGCCAGTAGTGTCGCCGGAGCACGCCCTCCCGCCGGAATCCGGCCTTCTCCACCACGCGCTGCGACGCCCGGTTGTCCACGTCGACGAGCGCCTCCACGCGCGCCAGCCCGGACACCTCGCCGCCGAGCACCGCGGCGACGGCGCGCCTCACCGCCGCCGTCGCCACGCCCTTGCCCCAGTGCGCGCGCGCCACCACGTACCCGAGCTCCCCGCGGCACGCGTCCGCCGTCGGCGCCAGCGACACCGCGCCGACGGGGCGGCCGTCGCCGTCGCCGGCGCCAGCGCCGGTGGCGAGGCAGATGGCGCGGAACCACGGGTGCGGGAGCACGGTGTCGCGGAGGTAGGCGAGCAGGGGCTCCGTCGACTGGTACGGCTCCCAGCGGCAGAAGGCGGCCACCGCCGGGTCCGACGCCCACGCCATCATGGCGTCCACGTCGGAGAGCTCGAACCGGCGGAGGGTCACCTCCATGGGTGCTCGCCGCCGCACCGCCGCCGGCGACGGTGCGATGGGTTGCTTCTCCACTACTCGGCCGGCGCTGCCTCTTCCTGATTTGATCGAATCCTTCATGAACTTGAACACATGGGTATCCTCAGGGTATTAAATACTCCTCTAAAATCTTGTTATTTAGGAGTATTAAACGTAAATTACTGATAAAACATATTCCATAATACCTAGGCTATTTTACGAGACGAATCTAATGAGGTATATTAATTCATAGTTAGCTGATGAATACTGTAGCATCACTGTAGCAAATCATAGATTAATATACCTCGTTATATTCATCTCGCAAAATAACCCAAGAGTTATAGCCCAGGGGTTATGTAATAGGTTTTATCAGTAATCTACGTTTAATACTTCTAGATAGCAAGATTGTGAAGGACTATTTAATAGCCCAGACAATCAAACTGGGCCATGGTCATGCCAAAATGTCACTTAGTTTATTGGGATTTTGCTCTGCCACGTATCGTAACATGATGTCGTCTAGGGGAATTCAAAAGATTTGGATCCAAAATCTTTTTCTTTTCTTTTTTCACCCAGTATTTTTCAAAGGTAAGCACAGACAAATGACAATGTCTAGTGTCCAAAATCATGTCGTGTTCTCGTCGTCTTATTGTTTTTGTCTGGATTCATCATTCTTGTCGTTTTTCTTGTCACTTCCATTCTACTACTATCTGGTCCTTAGCGAACATTGCAAATTGCAATATGCAGAGGTTGACTGAATAATTAGCACAAAAAACCCATTAACGACTTGATGATCTAGCAGAAAGTATGCTGTTTATAGCAAGTATAATAGCAAGCTACAAGCCAGCTATAAACATATTTTAAAGAGATAAAGGAAGAAAGAGGAGAGCTGTGGACTACATATCTATAGCTAGTTACATCACGGACTCTAAGACGTAACGTGTGTATGACAGGTGAAACAAGGTATTAATAGTATAGTAAACAACTATTGTATGAATTAGTTATTACATTGGCTATAAATGATTTGGGGCTAGTAGTTGACTATACTATTAAACTTGTTCTTATTGATCTGTAACAACAATCCACTCTCATAATTTGCACGCAATTTGAACGTGGTTAACTAATTACACGGATGATGCATCAGCATCAGCTGACGAGCGGATCAGTGGAGATGAAGCTGTAGATGACCATGTCCCTGACCTCCCCTTTGAGCACGCAGTAGCTGCGCAGCACGGCCTCCCGCCGGAACCCGGCCTTCTCCAGCACGCGCTGCGACGCCGCGTTCCGCACGTCGACGAGCGCCTCGACGCGCTCCAGCCCCTCCACCTCGCCGAACACCGCGGCGACGACGCGCTTCACGGCGGCCGTGGCCACGCCCTTGCCCCAGTGCGCGCGCGCCACCACGTACCCGAGCTCCGCGCGGCACGCGTCCGCCGTCGGGGACACGGACACCGCGCCGACGGGGCGGTCTTCGCCGCCGCCGTCGCCGTCGAAGGCGGCGGCGACGCAGATGGCGCGGAACCACGGGTGCGGGAGCACGGTGTCGCGGAGGTAGGCGAGCAGGGGCTCCGTCGACTCGTACGGCTCCCAGCGGCAGACGGCGGCGACCTGGGGGTCCGACGCCCAGACCATCATGGCGTCGACGTCGGCGAGGTCGAACCGACGGAGGCTGACCTCCACGGCGCCCCTCGCCGCGGCGGCGTGCGGTGGTTCTTGGCTCCTGTCCATCTGTGAGCCGGTTGCAAACTTGCAATTTGCAACGACGCAGCTGGTGGCCTGCGTTTTATGTAGGCGTATCACCAGCTTACTTTATTTGACTTTGACTTGATTAATTTGTGATTTCAGATTCTTGAACGCCAAGTTTCATGTAAATTAGGTTGTAAATTAATTGCAAATATGGATGTGATCAGGTGAAGGTGATGCAGCTCTCGAATCTCGACGATGAAAGGAGGGAGGGAGGAAGGAGCTGAGTTCAGCTACAGGCAAGTCAACAATCAATCTGACTATGACATCTTAATTGCAACAAGGATGTGTTTAGTTCGCATTTTTTTTTGTCACATCATATGTGTGATGATATTGGAAGTGGTTTTCGGACACGAATGAAAAAATTAATTTCATAACTCACCTGGAAACCGCGAGATGAATTTTTTAGCCTAATTAACCCGTCATTAGCACATGTGGGGGTTAATGCAGCACTTATGCCTAATCATGAACTAACTAGACTCAAAAGATTCGTCTCACGATTTTCATGCAAATTGTGCAATTAGTTTTTGTTTTTATCTATATTTAATATTCTATATATGTGTTCAAAGATTCGATGTGACTTTTTTAGGAAAAAAAATTGAGAACTAAACCATACCTAAGAATCAAAGGAATGTACTCCATCAAGCAGCGAATTTGGTCGCAGCGCTTGCACTTGAGTTGTGCGTGCCACTTATAACGACGACAACTCACGGTAGTGCTCCTCGGAGAAGTGAGTTGCAAAATACTCGCTCCGTCCCTATATATTTAATACCGTTAAATTTTTTAAATATATTTGACTGTTCATCTTATTAAAATTTTTTATGAAATATGTAAAACTATATGTATACATAAAAGTATATTTAACAATGAATTAAATGATAGGAAAAGAATTAATAATTACTTAAATTTTTTAAATAAGACGATCAAACATGTTAAAAAAAGTTATTGACGTTAAATATTTAAAGACGGAGGGAGTATATCATTTCGTCTTGCTAGACATTACCTTGTTATAACAAAATGAATATCTTACATATCCCCCTCTGGCATCAAATATTTAGGGACGGAGGGAGTATATCATTTGGTCTTGCTAAACATTACCTTGTTATAACAAAATGAATATCTTAGGCTCCCATTGGATGGCCCAATAAGCCAAAGAATAAGCCAAATTTTGAATTTTTAAACTTAATTTTAAGATTGATTTTAAGATATTTTCAACGTAGTTTTTTTTAGCATTAGCTTTTAAGTTAAAAAAACACATGTATAAAAGTTTTATCTATAAATTTATTTTTATTTCCTAATAAACCGTTTTGGCTTATTTGAAAAAAAGCCAACCGATGGCCTATCCCCCTCTGTCGTCAGCCGCCTTTGCTGGAACTGGTACTTCCACACAACGAGCGTCGATGCCTTGTCCACACACGCAGCAGGGAGTTGACATGGGCAGCGGACCACGTCCAGGAATCCCTCTAGGTGATCGCTAACATTTGTTACTCTCTCCGTTTTATACCGTTTTATAATGTAAAACTTTTTAGTATTGCTAATATTCATATATACATATATATATATATGTGTTAATGAGTCTAGACACACATATATATTTAGATTCATTAATATCTATATGAATGTGGACAATACTAGAAAGACTTACATTATAAAACGGAGGAAGTACTTGAGTTAATTTATGATCTCCATCGATCCAACGGCTCACCCTCCACGCTGCTCGGATGAATCTCGTGTCATTTACATCTTCGGGGAAAGTAATTTCATCCCTGAAGGGGATCAATATCCACTTGTTTTGTGTATACCACTTAAATAGTCATCAAAAAATTTAAAAAAAATTTGGCAACATATATTGATATGAAATATATCACTCCACAAACATGCAAGTCTAAATTCAACTTCTATAAGTTGTAACAAAAATAACAAATATAGTTGTGAATGTACGATAACTATTTTCAGTTTAATTTATTATTTTTGTTACAACTTGTAAAAGTTGAATTAAGTCATGCATGTTTGTAGAGTGATATATTTTATATTAATTTATGTTGTCAATTTTTTTTTATTTTTTTATAACTATTTAGATGATATGCAAACAACGAGGGATGAAAATCCACATCAGGTCTTCGTCTCGTCTCAACTCGGTTCATCTCAAAAACCAACTCGGATTCGGCGGAAATCGCCAGCCAAACAAATACTCAAATCCAATCCCCTCAGATCGATCCTCACCTTGGCGATGGCGATGGCTTTGCCGGAGTGGATCGTGTTGGATCGATGCGTCCACCCGTTCGAAGAGGGAGGGGGAGGAGTCGGAGTGGGAGGAGGTAGAATGCACGGCGTGGAGGGCGTCCGGGTGCGGGGACGGCGACGGCGACGCGGCGGCGGAGGCGCTGGCGAGGGGGCTGACGCTGCTGGTGCGCCTCGCCGACCCTCCGGCCGTCTCCGCCCTGGCCATCCGGCCGGCCGACGGCGTCTTCCTCAACGCCGCCTCCGTCGACGTCGCCGACGGCAACCTGGTCATCCTCAGCGCCGCCTTCTACGGCTTCCCCCGGAGATACTATCTCATCTACGATGTCGCCGAGGCGTCTCTCGCCATCACCCCGCATCTGCCCAGGTTCTGCAAGCCGTCCTTCACGTTGAAACCTCTCCCCGTGCGTCGTCGTCGTCGTCCTAGGGTTGGAGAGGCCGTCGTCGTCGACGATGGCGACGATCATCGCAACTACGTGCTAGTACTCGTGGCAATCAACTTCAACAAGGATGATATTATCTGCCTTTGGCCTCCTGATCCGTCGTGGTCTTCGTCGTCGTCGCTGCCATGGCAGAGGAAGGAGACACGATTCCCCGTCGAGATGAATCGGCCCTGGGAACAGTATGGGTTCAGTGCCGATTCCGTTTTCACCTTGAATGGAATAGCTTATTGGGTAGATCTAGCACTGGGGGTACTGTACTGCAAGACCAGTGACCTACTACTATCCGATCGTGATGTCGTCGTTGAGTTCAGCTTCATCGATCTGCCTCCTGGTTATCGTGCTGACCGTAACCTCTTCCGCCCGAAGATGTTTCGGACACTTGGCTACGTTGGTGGCTCCATCAAGTTCGTCTCCGTTGATGGATACCACAAGAGGGAGGAGACCTACTTCAACACAGAGGATGAGGAGGAAGAGGAGGACGGCGACGACTGCATCATCGAACCGGTTGCAGCTGCAGAACGCAAGATAACAATGTGGAGTCTGATACCTGGTGGCAACCTTGGATGGAAAAAAGATGCAGAATTCAGCGTAGGTGATCTGTGGATGTGGGAGGAGTTTCAGAGTATAGGATTGCCGCGGCAGCAGCCTATCAATCCTATACTGGATCCTCAAGAAGATGGTATGCTCCTATTACTGATCGGTGACTACTACAACGACGAAAATGATGTCCTAAGATGCAGGGACCAGCATATGATCACGGTTGACATGAAAAACCAATCGATCGTGTGCTCCACCCTCCTGCCGTGTTGGCTACATTTAATGGTTCCTGACCTTGTGTCGTCAGATCTTCCGCAGTATCTCAAGAGTTTGAGATAGGTACGATATCTTCCTCACCTTGTGTTTAGTTCACTCTAAAATTGGAAGTTTTGTTGAAATTGAAACGATGTGACGGAAAAGTTGGAAGTTTGTGTATGTAGGAAAATTTTGATGTGATGGAAAAGTTAGAAGTTTGAAGAAAAAGTTTGGAACTAAACTCGGCCCTAGTGTTGTATTTTTGTTGAAAATGTAATGAAATGTCTACCGTGTGTGGCTGTTGGTTGGGTACCCGTGCTTTCTTTTTAAGAGTGATTAATTATTTATATTAGCTTGGCAAGCTAAGTTTAACAATTATGCTATGTCGAAGTTGTTTCCAGTTTTTTTTAGGGAATATGCTACAAGCGTATCTTTGTATTAAGAGGAATAAAAGCTATTTACAGGGTAAAAACAAGATTAAAAGGGACAGGATACTGGAAAGTAACAAGACTTGGACGATAATCTCACAGTCTAATTGAACGACCTAGGGAACCCAAGGATAGAGACCAAGCGCTGGGACTACCGCCCTTGCCAGACGCCACAACTCGGCCTCCGCAGCCATAGCTCTTGCAATTTCCGTCCAGGGCCGCTGTTGAAGGTTGAACACTCGGTTGTTCCTATCTTTCCAGATCATCCAAGCTACCAATGTCGCAAGGGTGTCGAAACCCCATTTGGCTATTCCTCTCTCTGTTTCCAATTTTTTTATAGTGTACTTGAGTCATTTAATTGATTTCATCTACCTTTTACACTGTCATCACTCATGCTTACAATTGTTCCTTGCACAAAAACTTCCATGGTATGCGGCGCACTACTGGGGACAAACAACTGTGAGGATGGGAGGGGAAAGACAGTCACACATGCCCAAGAAGTGATGAGCTTTAGACCCACCCTAAACATCTTTGGTTATTCTTGTTTAGACAGATTCTCTTGGAGATGTTTTTCCCTAGTACTCCCTCCGTTCCAAAATATAAGCATTTTTAGCATAGTGACAAGTCAAATATTTTTAACGTTGACCATTGATAGAAAAAAAAAAGATCAATTATGTAAAATTGATGTTCCTAAATTTATCATTAAACAAATTATCATAATATGCAAACTTTTTATTTAAAAAAATCTCATTTTTATAGATATCGAAACCGTGTCAGGGGTCCAAAAATACTTATATTTTGAGACGGAGGGAGTATAATTTATATTTTTAGACAAGTTATTACTAACAAGAGAGATGAGTTAGGAAAGTAGAGATAAGAACCCAGCCTAAGTATTCCAGTCATGTAGCATCAATATGCTGGTGCCCCAATCTTCATGACTATCCTCGCCGCACCAGATGCTGGTGTCCTAGCAAGCTGCCAGATTTTATACAAACATTGTTAATTTATTTTCAAATTAGAGGTAGACATTTTTTTCTTAATTTAGGGTTAATGGATCTATGTCAATATAATATTACAATTCGTACATTTATAACGACGCCATTATAATTTTCTAGCAATTTAGAAATATGACATTACTTATACTTTTTTTTAAAGAAATACTTATACCACTTCAGTGCATTGATAAAAAAGTTTGGAACATTTTATCCTCCCTTCCCATCATGTCCAATGAATCCTGGAGCTCCTCCACCCTCGGCCTCTACCCTGCCTCCAGGCGCTCCTTCGCCCACCTACCAAGGAAGATGAAACATGTGCAAAACACATTTTCTTTGTTTCGTTAGGTGGGGATTATTTAGTCTATTATTTTATTTGGTTGGTAGACGTAGGAGTTTTAAAAGGGATTGGGAAGGGGAGTTTAAGAAACAAACTCCCACATTTTCAATGCTTTAGTAGGGGTAGATAATTGGAAGAGAATTTCCCTTGTAATTGTACGGAATAAATCTCTACCGTAGTACCGTACATCATCACTTAAAATTTAATTTTCGTCCAAACTCCCCGTAATTCTCATCTCTACTGCCAAATAAGTAAACAAGGGATGATGAGTAAATATGAAACTCCCACGACCAATCCATCCATCAACTTGACGTGATCGTGCGTGCGTGACTTTGGAGAGATCACAATTTTCCGCACATATGCTGCTCATCGTTTGAAAAAGGTAAAACGAACAATATGACTTATTGTACTGAAGAACTCAAAAGTGATCAAGAAACACAACAATCGCTGCGACGAGGATGACCAATATCACCCGAGATCTGTTAACGCTTCCGTCAGAGTATTGAGTAGTGGATGCTGGAGTGGTCTTCGATCCAGGAGTCCCTGCTGGCGTCGCCGGAGTACCGCCGGATGTCGTCGGGTTCGCCGGAGATGACACCGGAACTCCCGCTGCTGTGTAGAGCAAACAACAATCTTTACTCGATCCCACTAATTTTGTCAAACTAAGGTGTTGTTTGGATCTAGGGACTAAATTTTAGTCCCTGTCACATCAGATGTTTGAATACTAATTTAGAGTATTAAATATAGACTACTTAAAAAACTAATTGCATAAATGAGTGCTAATTCGCGAGACAAATTTTTTAAGCCTAATTAATATCCATAATTAAACATATTTACTGTAGCATCACCTAGACTAATCATGGATTAATTAGGCTCAATAGATTCATCTCGCGAATTAGTCAAAGGTCATGAAATGTGTTTTGTTATTAATTTATATTTAATACTTCTAATTAATGTTCCAACATCCGATACAACAGGGACTAAAATTTAGTCAGTGTCCAAACAGGGCCTAAAGATAAGGCACACAAACTTACCGTTGCACTGGCTGGCAGGTGGGGCCTGGACGCTGCAGGCGCCGGGGAGCAGCGCCGCGCGTGCGGTGTCCACGGCGACGCCGAGCGACGCCGCCGTGCCGCCGAGCACCATGCAGAGGCACCGCGGGCTCGACCTCAGCACGCCGGACAGCGCCGAGCAGCACGCCGCCGCCGGCGCCGTCGCGTTCCCCGACATGTACCCCATGCAGGGCGACAGGCTGACGAGCTCCGGCATACACCCCGACCCGCCGCCGTCCGTCGAAGCAACAGGCGGCGCCTGCGCCGCCGCCGCCGCGCACCGCCACGCCAGGAGCGCGGTCACCACGGCCACGCCGATGCCGAGCACGGCGCCATTGCTGCCACGACCTGCTCCCATCGAGACGATGGCGTTCACGCGTGCACAGATCATAAAAAGTTTTCTTGATTTATAGAAGCGATTTTGTCCGTGATAGACACAGATCAAACACTTTAACAAATGTTGGCTCCATCGATGATTAGTCGCGTGACGCCACCGAAGCGGCAGCTGCAAGTTAGGTAGCGCCGGTGAGCTCACTTTTTTTTTCTTTAGAGAAGGGTATTTTTTACCCGGCCTCTATATCCAACCAGATATATACGGCCATTGAAATAGGGAACTTAGCCCCGCAAACAATCCAATCTAAAATTTGCTCCATAGGAGATTTGAATTCAGGACCTTAAGATACTACTCAGATCACTGTACGGTAAGCTCACTTTGTGTTTGTGATTTTGTTTGGTCAACTTCTCGCCAACCTCTTGCACGTAAAGGTTTCAAACTTTTTGGTTCTTTTTTGGTCACTGACCCTCTCCTACCTGACCTGAGAACACAATCATTTGAGTCAATCTCTACAAGTAATAATTTTCATCATCATTAGCTCGCTTCGTTTAACCAACATAACCAAATCTTTATATACTTAATTAATACCCCATGAAACATCCTTGATTCTCCAACGAGAGTATATATTCTTCCGCTGTAAATTGTTTGTCAAGCACAAGTTCAGAAGGCATATACGGCGAATGGGACGTGTCAGGATGGCGAGTGCGGCGGCGGCGGCGGCGGCGCTGGTGGTGGTGGTGCTCGCCGTGGTGGTGTCGCCGGCGAGCGGGCAGGTGGCGACGTCGTGCACGGCGTCGCTGATAACGACGTTCACGCCGTGCCTCAACTTCGTGACGGGGAGCACCAACGGCGGCGGGTCGCCGACGCAGCAGTGCTGCGGGTCGCTGGCGGAGATGGTGCGCAGCAGCGCCGACTGCGCCTGCCTCATCCTCACCGGCAACGTGCCCTTCAGCCTCCCCATCAACCGCAACCTCGCCATCTCCCTCACCAAGCTCTGCAACTCCATGTCCGTCCCACTGCAGTGCAGAGGTTAGCCTGTTTTTTTTTTAAAAAAAATAAACATATCCCATCATTTTCATTTCATAAGTCGCTTTAATTTTTTTTCTTAGTTAAACTTCTAGGTTTAATGAAATATATATATATATATATATATATATATATATATATATATATATATATATATATATATATATATATATTAACATCTACAATGCTAAATTAGTTATATCAAATACTACCTCCATATTTGTATGTATGACGCTGGTTAGTTAAATTTTGAACTAGCCAGCGTCATATAAAATAACTAAGAGGGAGTGTAACATTGAATTTATTTTGATACTAATATGTTTGTTTTGTGTTGGAAATGTTACTATGTTTTTCTATAAACTTAATAAAACTTAAAGAAGTTTGACGAAAAAAAGTTAAAAAAACGAATTGTATTATAATATGAAAAGGAGTAATTTTTACTGCACCTTTCTTTATTAACTGAAGATCAGACACTGACAACTCTATGTTGCATTTTGGTAATTTGCAGATACTGCAAGCCAAATCCCACCTCCAGGTAATTTAATTTCTCTTGCTTAACCAGACATTCTTCAGATCAGAACTTACTGAAGATGACTCCGAAGAACAATGAACAATTAACTCAAAATCGTTATGTTGCAGGACCTGTTGCATTTGCTCCGGCACTGCCTCCTTTGCGTAACGATCTTGCCCTTTCATATACCGTTGCAAAGTTGTAAAATTTCCTGCATGAATTTAAATCATTTCACTGAATTTTGCAGCACCATCGCCGCCGGAAACGTCAGTGCAGCCGAATTCGGCCGTTGATCCCACGGCGATGTCGCCGTCGCCGCCGATCATCCAGGGGCAGAGGCCACTGTTGCTGCCAAGCTCCGCGTGGAGGAGAGCTCATGTGTCCATGGCGTCTGTATCAGTAGTGCTACTGATAGCTGCATCCGTTTTGGCTTGATTAGGATGAATTGAACTGGGATTGTTTTAGCACAGGAATTTGAGGCGTGTTCAGTGTATTGCACATATTTATTTAGCCTTTGGAATTGCACAGGATTCTTGTAAGAAAATTTTGAGGGCTTTGAGTTGATTGTGTAATATAATCATTCCTTGTGGATTAAAAAAATGTTGGTATAAATTTGTCTATGATTTGGGGCCTGTTCACTTTGATGCCAAAAAAAACCCTACCAAAATTTGGCATTACCAAAATTTTGGTAACTATGCCAAAATTTTGGCAACTTACCAAAATTTTGGCATAATTTCTTATATAGTTACTAAAATTTGGTAGCAAATTAAATGTAGCTATTTTTTTAGCAACTTTATCAAAATTTGGTAAGGTTAAAAATGACATCAAAGTGAACAGGCCCTTGGTCTATTGAGAGGCCCATCCTTTACCACGTGAGAAATGCGCAACCGCAGAGGGCCTCTGAAAGGTGTATGTTTTAATCTACGCCAACGCATTTTAAATAGGATCTCCTCACTCTTGTTAAAAAAAAAAGGATCTCCTCACTCCATCTTTTAAAATTTCACTCTTTTTCCTCCATTTATTTGGCTGGAATGGGATTTTTTTTCTCGGCTTCGACAAGTGCTCAATAATAATCATGGTTACTTCGAAGAACTGTACTTCATGATCACTATGTGAACACGCGTTTCAAACAATAAGGGTTCTATTTTTTTTCACTTAATTAGTAAGAAAAAATAAATTAGTGTAGCAATTATTTTTCTACTTAGCCATCGTCACTACTTAACTAGATGGGTGAGGTTCTTTGACTTAGCTTTAGTTATTGCCACTACATATCAGACCTTATTTTATATTCAGCTTCAGTACAAGACCCTCAGATTCAAAGGGACGGTTCTGTCTACTAAGGGCAAGTACTATAATGCTTCATATGTTGCCCCTAAATATGCCACATTGGATTGAGTGATGAGGTGGAGGAGAGAAGTGAGAAGAGAGATGGTGAACCACCCCTAAATGAAGAGGCAACCTCCACACAAATTTCAAGATGGGTGTGAGAGTATAAGAGACATTGGTATTTGTGTACTAGAGGAGACATATTGTATAGGTTGCCTCTTAATTTATGAGTGAATGATGTGGATAAATTTAGATGTGGTAGTCACATCTACCATCACACTTGCCCTAATACTTAATTTCGAGTTAAAAGTTGCATACGTTTTGTATAGCACAGTTGAAACATGAACTGAATTTTACAGCACTATAATCTCCAGCGGTGGAGCTGAAGAAACGAGAACAGGTGAAAGGTGAAGCCAAAACTCTCTCATTGTCACAAGCTTTTCACTTATCCAACGAAGTTAGCAACTAAATAAGAAATAACAAGAAGAAATTGGCACGAATATATGACGAATGGTATCAGGGTGGTTGAACAAGAACAAAGGCCACATAGACGTCAGTCGTTAGCAGCCTAGCTATCATGGCGCAAACAAGCCCAAAATTTAGTAGGACGTCACTTCTCACTACCTGGCAAACTCCCAATGACCAAGTGACGAGAGCAAACGCAAATCCAAATCCAAATTAAAAAGCACACAATAAATTCACTGCAAACATTGCATCCATTTCTACTTCGATATACTAAGAGCTTCCAAAATCACCGTTGCCAGTTGAAAACTTGAAATACTACTGTCATTTAGCTGCAAGGTAGTCAAAGCTAGTACAAGATGCGAAATGTCGTCAGATTCAGAGATTTTATCTTCAGGAAATGATCCTCTGAAAGGGGAAAAAATTGCTCCTTTTACAAGATGTTGGTATCATGTCAATTGTCAGTATGACAAAAGCTAATTCCTAACCAAAACAAAGCAACACATGGGTAACCAACAAAACCATACTGCGACACTCCACACCGTTGTGAGATTTATCTAACACGCCACACTGATTTGGTTCAATTCTGAACACCAAACATATTATTCTGCATCACATTTCTCTGAAGTAGTAACGAGTCCACACACAACTACTGCGAAAAATTCAGCAGAAAAAGGGATTTGGTTCCTGACAGAGTAGGAGCCAGCAGCTCACCAACATAACCAACTCATCATCAACCTTTCCCTGCAAATCTCCCCTATATAAATCACACTTACACAGGTGCAAAGAACACAAACACACAAGCTAAGCAATCTGAATTAGCAAAGCATCCAGTTCTGACACTAATTTTCAAGAAGCTTCTTGTGGTTGCAAAGGTTCAGAAATGGCGGCAGCAGGAGTGAGCGGGTTGGCGGTGGGGTGCCTCGTGGCCGCCACGGCGGCGCTGCTCGTCGCCGGCGCGTCCGCGCAGACGGGGTGCACGGCGGCGCTGATCAACCTGTACCCGTGCCTCAACTACATCAGCGGCAACGAGACGTCGCCGACGAGGACCTGCTGCTCGCAGCTCGCCACCGTGGTGCAGTCCCAGCCGCAGTGCCTGTGCGCGGCGATCAGCGGCGACTCGTCGTCGTCGATCGGCGGCGTCACCATCGACAAGACCCGCGCCCTCGAGCTCCCCAAGGCCTGCAACGTGGTCACCCCGCCGGCGAGCCGGTGCAACTGTAAGTGCTCGACGAAACCACGCATCGCACTGCAATTTTAGTCGCCATTGATGCTTCTTGCAATGCTGAGAGAGAAGAGAACTCTGCTTTTTCTGCTTGCAGCTGCCGGCGGAAACACTCCGGGCGCTGCCACGACGACCTCGCCGGCAACGCAGACGCCGGGCGCCACCGGTGCAGGAACCGGCGTTGGATCGAAGACGACGCCGACGGCGCCGTACCTGATCAACGGCGGCGCGTCGCTCCGCGGCGCCACGGGCTTGGTGCTCGCGCTCGCGGCTGTCGCGGTGTACGCCGTGTGATGTGAGCGTCTGTCTGCTACTCTGAACTTCTGAAGCGCTGGCGATGCAGAACGTGCTTGATGTGTATTAATCACACTGTTTATTACTACTCACATTGGTTTAGCATCATTGAGCATTGGCAAGAGAGATTTGAGTTTTGTCATTCACATTTGTACTATTGATTGCTTTGTTGCAGTCACAATAAATAACATTACTATCCATGGTTTTGATTCTATCAAACGGTTGGTTTTGCATCTCTGAAGTTGGTGTCGAACCCGTTGCACAGTTTTGGTTCGCGATTATGTACGACTCCGCTTATGAGTAATTTAATTACAAATCAAACTTGCCCAAACGACGCAGGTTAATTAGTAGCAGAACGTACTCTGCATTAGTAATATAGCACTCCGTACTTGGGTTCATACAGTTCCATCGATACATACCTCAGCTAATACGCATACGTTAATACATAGATACGATATATACATAAAGCGTACGTCCCCTTGGCTACACGTACACGCAGTACGGTACCGTATTTTGTACTGTACACGACGCGTGGCCTACGTGTACCAACTTATTCCTCTCGATCACACAGCTGCTCGGCGTACGCGCGCCGGGTGCAGGGGACGTCGTCGCGTCGCGTTACATGTCGGAGACGCTGCCGCGGCCGTGCGGGCCGCGCAGCAAGATCTGCTCCGGCTGCGCGGCGAGCACGCGGTCCGCTTCCCTCGCCGCGGAGCCGCCGAACACGAGCTTCTTGGCCGGGTCGTCGAGCTGCCTCAGCGGGCTGTTCCTGCCGGCGAGGAACACCTTCTCGTCGTGGTTGGCGCCGACGAAGAAGCAGACGACGGCGAGGCTCTCGCCCTCGCTGGCGACGATCGTCGCCGGGTGCGACGCGGGGATCACGATCACCGACTCCTCCCGAACCTGCGCCCTCACCTTGTGGTACCTCCTCGCCTTCTCCCCGCGCTCGCCGTGCTCCTCCTCTCCCTGTTCCTCCTCCCTCCTCCTCCCGTGCTCGCGCTCGCGCTCCCGGCGCTCCGACGAGCCGCCGCCGGACACGTGTGGGCACGCCATCTCAAAGTAGCCGCTGCCCTGCAGGACGACGGCGAGCTTGGTGGCGCGGGTGTTGTAGTTCGGCGCAATCATCGAGCCCTGCCATGATTCATGCACATCGCAGTTCATGATTAGTATCTCGCGTGCATGATGTCAGAGAAGCCATGGCCGGAGCTTCGAAGGCTTAGTGTGCTTCTTACGCGGGTGATGTTGGCGAGGCCGATCTGCAGGTCGAGCTTCTTGAGGTGGCGGCACTCGTCGCCGGTGAGCTCGAACAGCTTGCCGTGGTTGTTGGAGAAGTACGGACTCTTGCCGGTGAGGCTGGACGGCTTGATTTCCCACTCAGAACCCGAGCCGCCGCCGCCGCCGCGGGAGCACGACTTGCTCAGCTCCCGTATCTGCTCCTCCGGCGCCGTCGTGATCTCGCCGCCCTCCCGCTGCCTCTCGAACACCTTCTCCAATTCTTCCCGGCGAGTCTAATCCAAACAAGAAATCCAAAAACACAAAATGAAAATCAATCAAGAATGTTCTAGAACGTCGTCCATGGTGATCAGCACGGACGTGACGTACGTTGAACGCCGCCTGCAGAACGTCGTCGCTAAACGCGCTGAAGAACGACTCCGGCCGGTCGCCGCCGACGGGGAAGTATTCCTGCGACCGAAACCACATCAGAATTACACACTTCTGCATGGGAATATTTTTTCATCCTTCGAAGGAATATGTCCTCATTTTTTTTACCTGTCATCACCTAAATAATCATAAAAAGTTGTTTTTTTACAAGATAGTTTAATTCAAATTCAACTTTTACAACTTATGAAAAAATAACAAATATAAGTAGTTAACTATTTTTAGTTTAATTGGCTCTTGTTTTCTTAGTAAGGCCGGGTTTAGTTTTCAATTTTTCTTTAAATTTCTAACTTTTCCATCACATCAAAACTTTTCTACACACGTAAACTTTCAACTTTTTTCTTTAAACTTCTAAAACTTTACTACACACATAAACTCATATAAACTTTTTTCTTCAAACTTCCAATTTTAGTGTGAAACTAAACACACCCTAACTTTAAACACACCCTAACTTTAGAGATCAAAATTTAGTGACATACTCTCTCTCTCTCTCTGTTATATTATAAGCCTTTTTGACTTGGGTCAAAATCAAATTATCTCAAATTTAACCAATTTTATAGACAAATATAGTAATATTTATATTATCAAATTAGTTTTATTAAATCAATAATTAAATATATTTTTATAATAAAATTATTTTAGGTCGAAAAAATTACTACTTTTTTCTATAAACTTAGTCTAACTTGAAATAGGTCTATAAACTTATAAAGTAAGTTAAACTTGAAATAGAAACAGTTTATAAACTTAGTTAAACTTGAAATAGAAACGACTTATAACCTGGAACATGAAACAGAGAAAGTAATATTTATATTAGTCCATGTTGTTAATTTTTTAATTATTATTTTAGTGTTATACTGTACAAGAAATGAGAGGAATCCATTTCCGTTCTGCCCTGCTTGCATCCATGGAACTTGGAATGAAAAAAAGAGGGGAAATCAATCAACCTCGAAGTGGCCGGGAGTGGAGACGGGGTTGAGCAGCATGACGACGCGGAACCACTTGGAGCTGTGTGTGTTGGCGGAGTAGACGATGGCGCCGGCGGGGATGACCATGGCGTCGCCCTCCCTCACGCAGAACGACTCCCTCCTCCCCTCACGCAGCAGCACGATCACGCCCTCGCCCTCCTTGACGTAGAACACCTCGTCGGCGTCGTAGTGGCTGGGCTGCAGGAACGCGCGCGGCGCCGCCTCCAGCACGGCGACGCGGTACCCCCCGACGGCGGCGCCCACCACCTGCTCGTCGGGGAACCTCTCCAGCACGCTGAACCGCCCGTGCCGCGTCCTCGTCCAGTGCCGGAAGCTCTCCTCCCCTAAGTGGTACGGCCTCCCGCCCTCGCCGCCGTGGCGCCGCCGTTCGTCCTCCTCCTCCCGCTCCCCTCTCCTGCTCCACCCAACGGCGTTCGACGCGAGGGAGAGGAAGCACAGGGAGATGAGCAGCGCCGCCAGCTGCGATCTCGCCATGGACGACGACGTCTTCTTCTTCGCCATGGTGTTCGATCGATCCTAGCGGTGGCGTTTGGGTGGAGGTGATGAGAGGAGTGATGGCTTATGTAGGGGAGTGCGACTGTGCGAGGGGGTGGCATTGCGGCCATGCGCGGTGCCAGGTGGAGGTTGGGGGTGCGTACGTGGCGAGCCGAAGCGGATGTGTTGGCGTGGCGCATGTGGAGCGCGGCGGTGCGTGTGCTGGGGGGCGGCGTGCGGCGTCGCGTAGTCGCGCTAGCTGTTTGGCACAATGGCGACAGGGCCGAGATGGATGGGAACAAATGCGGTTGCACCCTGGTGTGGGCCGTGTTTTCCTGGGTTGTTGCAAATTCCAATCCACTTCATGGGCGGGCCGATACGTGTGTTGGGCCATTTTCTCGGGCCCAATATTGGCTTCTAGTCGATTGCGTGGGCCTTTGGGACAGGTTGCTGGCTCGGTTGTCACTTTTTTTTTCCCAACTTACAGCTTGTTCACTTTGTTGCCATTTTAATAGTGCTAAATTTTGGCATTATTAATTTTTGATAGTTTTGATGTTTATTAAATTTTGATAGAGTTTTAAGAGAGGAAGCTTATAGAATTATCAAAATTTGGTAAGGTAGTAATGAATGAAATATGTTTAGTTTGTTGGCTTATCAAAATAATAGTAATGCCAGAATTTGATAATGTTGAAAGTGGCAATGTAGCAAATTACACATAAGAGAGAACAACATAGGCCTGTTTAGATTTCAACTTTTTTTTTAAACTTATAACTTTTCCGTCACATCGAACTTTCCAATACAAAGAAACTTTCAACTTTTCCATCACACCGTTTCAATTTCTTTAAACTTCTAATTTTAGCGTGAAACCTAACACAGCCATAGGCTAGCATGCCCTGAGGTGTAGTACTACTCTTCACAAGAAAAATAAAAATGTCAAGAGTGGTTCCACTGCACACTACGACACGCTGCAATGCAAGCTGCGCGTGCCGGCGTGTACACTACTCCATTACAGTACATGATCAACGACCAACCTGCATGAATGCGCGCGCGTTAATTCTCCGGTGGATCGATATCTCGCCGCTGTTGCATCACCACGACGCCGCACGCGTGCGCGCGGCTGCTCGCCGGCGAATCCGCAGCAAGGTCGTCATCACGACGTACGGCGGCCCAGCCGGGTCACCAACAGTAGAACGTAGTAGTACTGTACAACACTTCTGCACATGTATTATGTGCACGTCACCCTAGATAGCTATACTAGCTAATGACTCGCTCGTCGACGGTCTGTACCTGTACTACATGCATGCTGCATTACTGCAGTCTAAACGATCTTTCTGCACGCAGTAACTGCACTGCACTGCAGGCTGCTTTGCAGAGTGCAGGGCTGTGCCACTGTGCCAAGCCAGCCAGCCAGCAGCAGAGCGCTGCATCTGCAAGCAAAGCAGTTATTAACAGGGAGAAGCCGTGCGCTATGTCGTTGCATGCCCATGTCGTTGTAGTTCACGCGCGTACGGCGGCCTGCACGGTTAAGGGCATGTTTGGATAGGTGCCACAGTTTATCGGGCATGTAGTTCGGGCGTCTCACAGGTAGTTAGCATATTACTCCCTTCGTCCAGAATATAAAAAGTTTTAGAGTTAAACATAGTCATTAAAAAAATAGATAGTACAAGTGAATGGTAGTAAAGGACTGCGATGGATGAGTAGTGGAGGTAGGTAGGAAAAGTGAACGATGGAGGGTTGTGATTGGTTTGGAAGAGAATATTGATGGAGAAGTTGTTATATTTTGAGACAAATCCTGAGAGCTAAAAATTGTTATATTTAGGGACGGAGGAAGTACTCCCTCCATTTTTTAATAGATGACGCCGTTGACTTTTTCTCACATATTTGACCATTCGTCTTATTCAAAAATTTTATGCAAATGTATAAGATATAAATCACACTTAAAGTACTATGAGTGATAAAACAACTCATAACAAAATAAATTATAATTACGTAATTTTTTTTTGAATAAGACGAATGGTCAAACATGTGAGAAAAAGTTAACGGCGTCATCTATTTAAAAACGGAGGTAGTATTTGTTTGCTACCACACATTAGCTTGCCACGAAAAGTTAGGTGCTCGATCTCATGAACTACTTTGCCACAAGTTTTTTTTGGCTTAAGCTGTGGCTCTCAAATCGTTCATCAAATTTGAGGCACGGGCTAGCTTGTGGCTTGGTAAGTTGGAGTAGTCATCCAAACATACCCTCAAACATACCCTTAAATCCCTCTGGTGCGGTGCGTGCATTGACAGCTACAACGATTATGTATCTGTTTGCCAATTTCAAATGGAGGTTCACAAATAGAATCTGTAAGAATTGGATGTAGCTCGTTGAGCAAAGATCGGGATGTTATATCTCATTCTTAAAAAAAAGTGCTATTGGATTCGAAGAGAGAATAGCGAGAGATCGACACTAGGCTGCGTTCTTTCATAGGAGATTGGGGAGACTGTGACTCGTTTTCCGCGCGCACGCTTCCCAAACTACTAAACGGTGCGTTTTTTATAAAAATTTGCTATATGAAAGTTGCTTTAAAAATCATATTAGTCTATTTTTAAAATTTAAAATAGTTAATACTCATTTAATTATACTCTAATGGCTCACCTCATTTTACGTATCTTTCCAATCTTCTCTATCTCCCTTTCTCGAACTCAGCCTTGTCTTGCCTATTTTTCACTGCATAAAGGGACACTAAATTTGCAGTATAAATTTACACGTCCGTATTTGTTGTTGTATTGGAGTACTACGTTCTCCTGGACTTTAACTTGGTCGTACAAATTTCCGCTCGAGTGTTAAATACAAGCGTGACTACTCGTGTACGTGGTCGCTGGCCAGTCCAAGCATGCAATGCAGCATGCGACCGTTGACTCGGAGTCCAAATCAATTCATGAGCTCACCAAACACAACAAGCACAAGGCATTGGTAGTAAAGTTGTATAGGAGTACTCCAGTAGGAGTAACAAAACAAGCTGAGACCATGTCGCATCCGAGATCTTAAAGAAGGCAATGCAAACATGCAAACGGAGAGATCAGGGAGCTGACCATATGCTGCAGCTTCATACCCTAGCACAGCTGCGTTTCTGTATGCGTGTTCATGCACGTCCATCAATCCAACTCATCAGCTTTCTCGACCTCAAATCCATCGACCATCCATCCATCCATCCATCTATCCGTCCGTCACCTTTTCGATCTCAACTTCAATTCAATTTCAGTTTCTTTGCTTAAAGCTCAGGTATCCATCACTTGCAGAGTTGTGCAGTCTTGTGCACACAGAAGACTGCACAGTTGGATGCAAATGCAATGCATGAAGAAGGGCAAACACATGGGCTGAAACTCTGAAACTGAAACGCTGCTGCTTGCCCAGCCTCTGCTTCACTACGGCGAGAGAGCCCGGGCACCAAGGTCGTTGCCTCAAGATTCGTACTCGTATCGTACTACTGGTACTTGTGTTTTTCGCCAGATGCATTTGTTTGAGTGCGTCGCGCCGTGGCGTCACTTACCTGCAATCTTTTTCTAGTTGATGTCACAGCATCACAGTCTGTCAAAGCTGGCAGTACTTGTTTCTGAACTAAACACACCCAAAAACAGTGTCATTGCTTTAAGATCTGAATATTCAGAAAACTGCATCACTATCACAGGTGATTATGACTGATCACCTTGAGCGTTGATGAATCCTCCACAAACGGTCTCGGTACTACTACAACAGCAGAAAAACGAATAGGATTCAGTTAACAATACTGTTCACAGTAAAAAGGAAGGAACAGGATAGGATCAAAGCAAGATGCATTGCTTGTCCTTTGGATGCAACAGTTTCTTTTCCTTTTACCTGCTTTATCTTTTTTTTTCCTTCTCATTTACTAGCATCTCCACTTGCTTTTGCTTTTCTACCTTCCTTCCCATTGGAACTAGTAGCATTTTTTTTACCATCCTCAGTAGTAATCCTCAATTAGGCAATTTGGTTTAGCAGTGCATGCCAAATCTGGATCAGAACTTCAGAAGTCATTTCTGTTAACAGAAATAGATGAAATGACTTCTGAAGTTGCTTGACCATATTTGGTTTATCCTAATCTGTTGGTTGAACATATTTTCAGTCTGTAATTAGGGCTGTGTTTAGTTCCTTCTAAAGTTGGAAGTTTGGGTTAAAATTGGTACGATGTGATTGAAAAGTTGTGTGTGTATGACAGGTTGATATGATGGAAAAAGTTGAAAGTTTGGATCTAAACACAGACTAAGATAAACCATTACTAGTGTTTGTTAGGCCGTGTTTAGTTTCCTCCTTATTCCCAAGTTTCCATCACATCGTATCACATCAAAAACTTTTCTACTCACATAAACTTTCAACTTTTTTTTCAAACTCTCAACTTTCTTCAAACTTTCAACTTTTTTCATAAACTAAACACACCCTTACTACTAGTACTAATAAGTTTTCACCTGGAAAGGGAGAAACAACACCGGTCAAGCAGCAAACAGTGAGAATTAAACACCCAATATTAATTCTCTATCATGTCAACTAAGTGCATTGTACGTTGGTAGATCAAATCACATCACGTGATTTACTACTCCCTGCAGACAGAGAGGCAAGGACCAAAAAGGAGGTCAAAAGCTTGTTCTCTCAACAAGTCACAACTGAAGATTTTCAGTAATAAACAGTAACCAGAGAGGAGATTTCAGTGATAAATAACAGTAACCAGAGTGTCCAACTTGCCAAATGGATGCTTTTCATATATGCCATGTACATTGTACTACAATGACAGCAACCAATGCAGGGTACATGCAAGCTGACACTGTGTCTCACCATGTATTCCAGAAAGGAAACATGCCTCTGTGTAATCCAAGTAAAACAATGGGATTAAGCTTTTGTTTAATACTCCAGTAGTATGCCACAACAATGAGGGCAGCAAATGCAAGCATCATTTAGCTTCACAAGTACACCATCAGAAAGGTATGCACATGATTAGCATAACTTTGCAACTCTCTCAAGTCACATCAACTTATCATTCTCCCCTTGCGCTAGAAATCATTATCTGGAATTAGTTCGATCCAAGTTATCATTCATTCCCCTTGCCGATTTGCAATGATTTTACACCTCATGCTGATACAATGGCCAGCTTACAAAAGTTCCCAAAATGCAAAGGGAAAAAGAGAAGTGATGGCACTTATCAGTCTTAAAACAAAAGTAGAAATGAACTGGAACATGAGAGCTGGTTGAGCTGTATAATTAGTTGTGTGGGCTGATACTTCCAGGAAATTGGTTAGTTGCAAAATTGCCCAACTGCCCTGCAACAGAACAAGAGTGACAGTCAGGCTTATGCAAGAATTTTTGAGTTTTGCTCAACAAACAAGAGATCAATTACCTTTATGTTAGTTTTTTGGATAATGTTTTTCACAAGCATCTGCACATGCTTCAGGCTTGGTGATAGTCAATTAAACAAGAAGTGTGCATCTGAAGGCTAACAAAAAAAAAACCAGATGGAAAAATATTGGCACATTCACATCTGATCATTTACTAGAATTTGAACCCTTCATTTGTCAACCTGCATAACCAGTAGAGGTATGTAAAACATAAGATATACATGCAAAGATGTGTAGTTCTTACTGAAAAAAAAATCAGTTTGCTTACATAAACACAAAGCAGAAAACTTGAGCATAACATATAATGAGCTGACTTAGTTGAACTTGATGTCTCCAAAGCTGTAAGAATATGGCAGAAGCTCTTCCACCTCAACTCTAGAGTTGAAACAGCCCATATTTCTTCTCCTCTGGCGGATAATTTCAACCTCCGCCATGAAAATGCTGTACACCGGTCTATGGTCGGAGAAGCGCGACTCTCCACGAACATAAGATAACTGAATGAGTCCATTACCATGCCATAGAATACGATCGCACCTATGGTCAATAAAGAACAGGTTTTTCAGTACGTTGCTTTGAAAAAAAAATCAAAGCAGGAGAAAATTCTGGTTGATACAAGTGCTAAAGAAGTTACCAAGCTGGTGTTCTTCGCTTTTCCTTTGAATGCACACACTCCCCAGAATAGCGATCTGAGTTGAATGAATATTTGTATGTTGGAGGAAAATAAATCCGTCCTTCTTTCCACCCCTGGAAAACGCGTCCGCATCTTCGTTCTATTCGTAGCTGTTACAAAACAAGAAACTTAAACATGGTCCTGAAAAAAATAATGGATGTGCGATGCATGTCATGTTGTAATTTAAGTATTAACAAAACAGTGTCAATTACTTGATCTTTCTCCAACAGTTGCTTCCAGTTATGCATTTCAACGAGTGCTTTTGCCGAGCAGTATGAAAGGGAAATCCGGTAATTCAAATCCCCAAGCCATATGATACGACTGCAATTGAATCAAAGGAATGTAAAATTAAAGCCAAGTGTTGTGTTGCTTCCACATTGCAATGTAGAGTAGGGAACATAAATTCATACTCATGCTCAAGAATGGTTTCTGGTGACTTAATGTCACCAGCACCACGAACCCGAGGAAATCTAGTCTTTCTTAAGATTTCCATAACATCAGAATTTCTGCGCAATTCATCCCCCTCCTTTTCTCCAGATGTCAAATGACAACAGATAAAACAAAAGGATGTGTGATGCAAAGACATGCTTATTGATATCGAACCCTGCAACAAAAGGAAAGGACCTTTAAGTAACATGTTACAGTAACAGTGAACAACAATCTATCTGCAATATTTTCACTTTCTACACGCAAGATGATTAAAAGAAAACATTTCAAAGAACTGTGAACTCATAAAGTTTACCTTATTTCCAAGATACCCCATTAGACCTCTACCAACACAAGAGACTTTAAGATTTTTCACATCATTTCTTAATTCGCTGCGCACCCAAACTGTGAGAAATATACCAACCATCTGCTTGCTGGCAACCAAACAGTACCTGGTAGACACAACATTTTCAGAAGTTATAGCTTCAATATAGAAGGATCATAGTCAACTTAGCATTTTTTTTAGCTGAAAATTTATAAGACTAGAATAGATTCACAAAATGGATTTTCACCAAAACAATACCTAGAGGTATTTGGTTGCTCATCGTTTTCCTCCATAGCTATTGAGGTACCGTAGCCATATGGAAACGGTGAAAAATAAGTTCCATTGCTTCCATCCTCCTCAATATATTCATCATCTGGTGATCCCGCACATGGGAAATTTCCATCAAAATCACTTGGTCTGCCGCCCAAGCTAACTGGGTCACAAACGCTGAACCTACGGTCCAACCTTGGCTGTGATGACATATAATTTCCTTCGACTCTTAAACTCTGACTAAGGTTCTGGAATGATCGCCGATGGAAAAATGACAAGTTATCATGTCTTCTCGATGATCCCTCAAAATCAGCATCTAGTTCAACAACTGGATCAGGGACAGGAGATGGTGTGTGATAGCCACCATAGCTGCTAGCCCCAGGATTCCTGTTCAGTGTCCTCCTAATGAGGGATACCCACTTTTTTGCTGGAACATTATCTTCAGTACCAAGAACATTTCCAGCATTCAAAGGAACAATTTCTTGAAATCTGCATACAGCATGAATTGAAGACAATAGCTCAAGTCCACTGGTATGTACTACATAATGTAGTTCAAAATGACAAGGCCTCGGGCAGTACATACCCTAGAATATAGATATCAGCAGGAGGTGAAGAGTGGAGCCACTCATCTAAATCTAATCCCTTTGATGGGGATTTACCACCCACATTCCATGTTGAAGCAAATATTCTGCACACAAAAGGGAGCGAATAAGCAACAACATCAATTATCCTACCAAAGTCAACGTGCAAAAACCAAGAACTGCAGTGCATTATATGCCTAAACCTTTTTCCCCTGACAACAAGCTTACAAGGCAAAGAAATATATGGGTATTTGGGTACCTGTAATCTTGAACTTCAGTCAGGCGTGACACATCAGATTCAGTCCTTCCTCGACGAATGCAGTCGGCATTCTTCTTTGGCATCCGGTCTATCATGCCCATAAGTAAAAAACAGACATTCAGATAAATCGGTAAGGAACAGAATGAACAGTATTCGGATTTTAGATAATCATTCAAATCATTTAGGCGAAAACAGGAACGCTCAACAGGGAAATTAGAGTCGTGGGGAAAAGAAAAGGAGGTAGCTGCGATCTTTGATGTCTGAAGAGAGAGAAAGAAGTGTGGTCCAAATGCTTTAACTGTACCAGTTCTGCTTTTCTTGGCTGTGCCTGCCTCCCTCTCTGAGCAGCTGGTCCTCCATTCACCTCCATGACCATTTCTTCCTGGATCACCAAGCAAATTCAGCCCAAACTGAGCAAGACAGCAAAATGAAAATAAAATGGTCATTGTCTGAGACCGTTTCATCATCTCTCGATCTTGAAATCAAAAGTACAAGCTTTTAGACCGGCAAAAATGACTTATGACTTAGTGTTAGAAACATACAAAAACTCCAAGCAGCACCGGACAAATATCAGAATCACTTAGGAAAAGGTTTTTGATTGGGACATTCTAATGACTTGTGTACCACTAAACCGAAACCAGGAGCCGAGACTTAAATGTGGTCGTGTCTAGGAAATTAAAGGCGTTTGATTGGGGCATGTCTGGTGCTACTGCATCGTTGAATCGAGACTAGGAACTTGGACTGGAAATGTCTGATGGAATCGAGGAACTACAAGCACAAGATGATAAAATCTGCATTCAACCAACCTTCACACACCACAAGAACTAGTATGCACAACCAACTAAACAACAAAAACAGAAGAACAGGTTGTTGGTTTGGGAATTTGGTTATGATCCAAATTAGCTACAACTATGAACTGGAATCAACAGTTTGGTTATGATCCAAGGAAGAACACAAGTTCTCATCTCATAAATCAAAATGAAACGCTCGCATTACCTTGGCTAGCATCATAGTCCGCATGGAAATCGTTTGCCTTGCTCTTGATGTTGAACCACTTCCTCACAAGGGATTTGGACCATGAGAGCTACACATCAAGAAGCCAACAAAAAAAGCCCTACTCGATCAAAAACACAGCAGAGAAACAACAAGATGCCCAGATTGATCTGAAACACCACCACAAAGGAAGCTCACATACCTTGCTCTTCTTGTTGCTCTCTTCCCTCATTGTCTCATAGCAACTTAACTGAAGCAACAGAAGAATCTACGCCTCCCCTCTCCCGAGGCTCCAATGATTTTCAACTCCAAGCACGCAAGGAAACCTCAAATCTCGCAACAAATTTGGCTCCAATAACAGATTTTGATCCGGGAGCCTACAATCTTGGACCGAATTGAGCGCCAAGAAGCGCACCAACCGCACCGGGGATCACAAATCCAGCTTCACAAGTATTAGTCAAGTAACAGAGAAAAACCCAACGAAATCTTCTCCCGGGATGAAATGCAGCTGCAGCCTACACACCACCACCACCACCAGCAGCAGCAGTCCAGCTTGCTCCTCCCTCTCCTGAGCTCTGAATGCTTCTTCTAGCTCTAGGCTTTTAGGCGGTAGCTGCTAGGGGTTAAGACGAGACTGCTGGTTGAGTTTGCATGCATTGGTGGTGGTGATGGTGGTGTACTACTGCGCAACACTAAAGTGAAAAAATGGTGGCGTGATGTGAAGAAGTGAGACGACTGAGGTTTCTGATCTGCCTTCTCTGCTTTTGCTGCCTCTTTTATCCTCTCTCTCTCTCTCTCTCTCTTCTCTCTCTCTCTCTCTCTCTCTCCTCTTCTTCTCTCTTTCTCTCTCTGAGATTAATTATTCTAATCACCTTGTCCTTGTGGTGGCTCAAACCCAAGGTGATTAGTATTAGCTTAATGTGTAGTGGTGGTAGGATTTGGGAGGAGGCAACTTGGCAAGGAGAACAAATGGCAAGATGGCGGAGAAAACGGGCTTCTGCTCCAAAACAAATGAACACAAAATTTGTGTTGCATTCCATATGAATTCATTCCAAAGATTTTGAGCACGGCACAAAATGCAGTTTCCTTTTAGTAGCATTTGGCATGATCTTCCATGATATATATTGCTGATTGAGTGATTGTTTGTTTATTATTACAGCTTCAGTAAAAAAAAATTGTTATATTATCCCAACAATAATCCACTCGGTAATTTAATTCACGGGATCATTAGATGGTTCCAAAGGTAGGAACAACGAACACCCAGGAGAAGGGGTCCCACAGGACAGTGCCATGTGTCACATGGCCCCCTCCACCGGGCCCACTTCCTGCTCACCGTCAGTTATTAGCCGCGTTTCCCCTGGCACCACAAAGCCGTACGACCTCGCTCTCGCTGACCGTGTGGGACCAACACTGTTACATTTACATTTCTCTCCTTTTTTTTTCCTATACTCTTTTTTAATTTTTGTTTTATGCTCTCTCAATCCCAAATAAATAAACCTAGTTAAGAATGTATCGCCTATTAGACTAGTTTGAATCTAGTTAAGATACGGATTTTACCTTGATTTTTCCGTTCGCGTGTTTTCAAACGGTTAAATTGTGTGTTTCGTAAAAAAAAACTTGTATATAAAAGTTGCTTCAAAATATTAAAGATTTTTTTAAAAGTTTAAAATAATTAAAACTCCATCAATTATACGCTAATAATTTTCTTGTTTTACATGTTTGTACTTAATCTTCAACTTCAACGGGTTTAAGCTAGGGGCGGAGTTAGACGAAATAAAGCGGAATGCCACTCGCTTGCTTTATTCTACTTCAGATCGAGTTTAAACTGATACGAGTGATTGAGCTTGGATTAAAAGGGTGTACATACAATGAAAATAGATGAACTATAGAGAAAAAAAATTTAGTGATCGGGTTCCTGGGCACTCCTTTTCTAAGTATTTCCGCCCCTGGTTTAAACGGATATGTACAATTTAATAAATTTGATATGTCTCTATTATAAGCAGCAAGCGAGTAGAGAACGAGGAGTGGAGTTGTGGTTTCCCCGTTGGACAGTGGAGTGGACGATGTGTGCGTGGGGGCGTTTGTTTGCTCCTTTGCATGCATGCAAGCTCATGGATGTACGCGTCCGATGTACACAAGACGGCTTGCACTTGCACGACGCATGCATATGGACTCGGAGTGCTGGACCCCTACCCTTTTAGTCTTTTCACGCTTGTCCTCCTCGCACGTATCGATCTCGTACGTACGTACGATACCGTCTACTACCGCGGCCTACGCAATGCAGAGAGTACCTCACAGAGTACGTACGTACACGTACAACCGGAAAACCAGGCGGATATATGTTTGCATGTACGCTACTAGTATAGCGTACATATACAATGAAGATAAATGTATTATGTATGTGCTTTCTCTGTTCTAGAAAAATAACTTTTATATATGAATCCAATACATTCTAATATATGCTACTACCTCTGTCATAAAATGTAATAACTTTTGGCTATGAATCTGGATACACGGTTATCCAGATTCATAGCTAAGAATGTTTATATTTTAGGACGGTGGGAGTATATGTGTTTAGATTCGTGTATAAAAGTCGATTTTTTCTGGGACTACTTTCACGCCGAACTAGTTTTGCTCTTTGCCTAGCTAAACTGAAAAGAGAAGCTAGCTAGGCATGCATGGGCTGTACGTGTCGTGTGGTTTTTTGAGTTGCGTTGCAATGCAGATGTATCGAGCAACGGTGTGAGGCTTGTTGTCTTCATGCGTGTGTCCATCATCCATGCACACGCGCGAGCGCCCAGAGGCAGGCAGCCGGCGCCCGCGGCGAGAGGATTGCATGCCATGGCATGGTTGGATGCAATGTCTGGGCGCGCGCGCGCGAGAGCGCGACAGCCATGGGGGGCGCGTCGTGGCGACCCAGAGCGCTGCCTGGCGCGCGCGGGGCATCGGCTCCGGCTTCGTGGGCTCGCTCTCGGAGGGATGGTATAATTTTGTTTGCTTCTTTTGGGACCCTATCTAAGCTAAGCTAAACTCGGAGTAGTACTTAATTAGCAGCGGTAGTGCTTCCCAAAGCGTAGTTTAGTGTGTTGACCGCTCCATGGTTTGACGGATCGAGCTGGACCAGATCGATCAATTGGCTTAATTTGGATCTTGCTTTGAGATTATAGCTAGAGGCGCCCATTTGCTGTGCTAGGCCAATCGACGGCGTAGATTGGACCACGTAGCATCGGGATTCGTGCTAACCCCAAGCATTGCAAGAGTAATGCCACTTTGTCAGCTTTAAGAGTGTTGCACAAACGAGCAGTAAGAGCAGGTACAATAGCAGGCTATAAGCCAGCCACAAACATATTTTAAGAAGATAAATAAAGAGAGATAAGAGCAGCGGGCTATAGATTTGTAGTCAGCTATAGCACGGACTCCAAGACACAGTGTGTGTATGACAGGTGAGACCATGTATTAATAGTGTAGTATGTAACTATTGTATAGATAAGTTATTAAATTAGCTATAGATGAATTGGAACTAGTAGTAGGCTATACTATTAAACTTGCTCTAACGGTATTGGAAGAATCATTTTCTTTTCTTGTCAGGTATGGCTAGCTTTAGATGGTTTTTAGCTAGGCAACTGACCAGTAAAACCGATGAATGTTCTTATGCAGAGAGGCACTTTATTTGCTGGTTACAAAAATCAGTAAAATAAGAAAGGCTGCCTGCTGCAACCCTGATGATTGATTACTGCGTCCAACACACAGTAACCACATGCCCGTTCCAATCATCATCACGGCTTTTCGGAAAGGAACCCATCATGCGTGGAGCATGCAGAATCCAGGATTCGCTTCTCGACGCTGCCGCCCTTCTTTTTTTTTTTTTCCTCCTCCCTCTCTCTTCTATCTTCTTCCTCGCAGCAGCAGCAGAAGCACGGCGACTGGCCGGCCTCGGTGACCGTGCACCGGCCGGCCGTCCCCATGCACGGCGAGCGTAATGCAGCGACACCTCATCACCGGCTGGCCGCGTGCCCACGCTGCAACGCAATGCACATGCAAAGATAAATTTATTCTAAAATAAATTTATACTCCTGCCTTCCGATTCAAGTTATAAGATGTTTTAGCTTTAGTTAAAGTTAAATTGTTTTAAGTTTAACAAAGTTTATAGAAAAAATAGTAAAATTATGACTCAAGATAAATTTATTATAAAATATATTTAATTATTAATTTAATAAAACTAATTTGGTAATATAAATATTACTATATATGCCTATAAACTTAGTTAAACTTGAAGCAGTTTGACTTTGGCCAAAGTCAAAATATCTTATAATCTGAAACAGAGAGAGTAGTATGATATATATATACTCCGTATGTGAGAACAATATGATCTTAGCACCGCCATGCAGCTTATACTAGCTTAGCTTATGGACAAAGGTCTCCATATCCGATCTGGTACAACATTTGCCATGATTTTTTTTTTCAATTTTTACAGTTAGAATAGATGGCTGCAAGAGGCCGGTGATGTCAGCCATTGATTTGTTTCTTTTTTTTTTCCTTGCTTCAGATCTCCCAATCAAGGGAGATTTGATCGGTTGGCAGCTCACTGCAAAATGCTAGTAGTAGCTAGACATGGCTTCACATTGGAGCTTCGAAATGTTGAAGCTGTCAGCATACGGTCCGGCCGTAGCAGATTGAAGCGATGTATAGGTTCTTTGACCATTTTTCCTGAGATTTTAACAGCAATGTTAGTTCGACGCATCATTTCCGTCAAAAAAAGTTCGACGCATCATAAGATTTTGTATGGCATTGTGAGGTTGGGAGAGCTGAAGATGTATGTACCTTGACATGGTTGCTGGGAAAGGAGGAAGTTCGAAGAGTTTCTTGTGTCTCGTCCATTGGCTTCCTCTTTGGTATGCTCAAGATGAAGGCAGCTTGGTCAGGAGTTGCTGCAGTCGAAGTTATTCTGTAACCTGTCTCCCATCGCCGATGGATCCCTTCACTTGGATATAGAAAGTCCAACTCTACCACCTGCACATTGCGAGACGGATTCAGTTTCAGACTTACTCACTATGAAGCAGTGATCAACTCAGGAGTCTGAACATCAAGATAATATGTAAGAAAATTCAGAATAGAAACATGTGTGGTTACTGTATTTCCCTGCTTTTTTGGTTAACAGCTGTAAAGAGCACAAACTCAACTGATTGGTACATCAAGCATTCTACCAGTTGAATGTTCGAATTCAACCACAAACAAGATGACATCCTTACAGCAACAAAAGTTTGGAGTTAGGTAGTTTCCGCACGCAACACTTAAACTGATGGTTTTGAGGTTAGCCTATCGACAGTAACTTATCGTTGGATATTCTTTACCAATCAAGGTGTATATACCATTTTTTATCACGTACAGGTTATTTGGCATATGAGAAGCCACCAAATTCATAGAAAGAATGAACACAAGGATTGGTAAATCGAAATCTTTTAACCTGATGGGAATAGCCTGCATTTCTTGACATGACAACTCCCCAACGGTTTCCAGCAGTAGCCATAGATGTCACATGGAAACCTTCTTTCCACTTTTTGTTAATCCACTTGTAAGGAAAGGATTCACTGACTTTGTATGACTGCTGTGTGTATGGAGTTCCTGTAATGATGATACATGCCTGGTTTAGAACGATAGTATCTAATGGAAGGACACCAGAAGCTCACAGGAAAAATTGGAGTCCAGACAGTTGAGAGTAGAAATACAAAATTAAAGAGTAAATTTCACAAAAGTACAGATACTTTGACCAAATTAATGCAAAACTACAGATTTAAGGTTACAGGTCTAAGGCTAAGTACCACAAAACTACACATTTATAAAATTATCACAAAACTACAATTTTTGGGGTTTAAATCCTTAGCACTAATGTTATGTTTGAGTCATAAAACGTCCAAGTTTTGTGATTAAATTGACGCTAAACCTGTAGTTTTGTGAAAACTTTGTTACTAAATCTAAAGTTTTGTGAGACTCCACCTTAGACCTGTAGTTTTGTGATAAATTTGGTGTTAAATCTGCAGTTTTGTGATAGTTTGGTCAATATATCTGTAGTTTTGTGAAATTTACTCTTAAATTTAAGTGTTGAAGCAAAGGAAAACTGGTAACAAAATTGATCCATCAACTTTTTGATCAAAACTGGCCAAACCAAATATTAGTTCATAGATATTTGTGTATTATAGAGACAGATTATGTATGTCTGTCTGCCATTCATGTTATGAACTTGTGGCACCCTCTAAATAAATTCTGCCTCAAGCTGCCATGGACTGATGAGAGCATGGACGAAATGCCTACTTACAAACCTACTGTTAACCATCACAGTTTTAACAGGAACCATCTGATTGTTCGTCCTTTACACAATGAAACGAAAATTATTGCTACTTGCCGAGCAATTGAGCAGGCAATACTGGTGGCTGTCCCCCCAAATAAAAAGGATCACACTCTACAGTCTACACAAATCATTTTAACCTATGAAGTTGTTGCAGGTTATGCCTTCAACACACTCATGTTTCAATCAGTCTAGTATGCAAGGCACATACCCTTGCTGCACAAGAGGTTCTGCTGAAAACTGTCTTAAAGCAACTGACTGTTTCAACTATTTCATATTCATCAACGGGGTTGTTTCAAGTTCTAAGAAATAGCCAAGGTAGTAAAATTAGTTTGCCAGCAGAGAAAAGGTATTTTACCAACCTTTGGACATTACAACCAATGAGCTTCCATTGGTTGCTCCTGCTATTGCCGTTATGTAATAATTCTTCTCCCACTGCTCCATAATCCAATCCTATGTACAAACAAGGTAATATGGAGTCAGGACTCTGGATTCATCAAAACTGGATGGAAGGGGTGGAGAAATAGCCAGTGCACCTTGTGCAGAAACACTTGTGAAAGCTCATAAACTTGGGAACAAAAGCCAGTCCCAGCATCCATTATGAGAGCCCAAAAATTTGCGGAAGAAGAGACACAACTAATGTACAGCCCATCTTCATTGCCTTTTTCTATATGCTGATGCAGCCTTGAATCAGCAACATTATAGTGATATCTGTAAAGAAAGAAGTGATGCATTTTGCAGCCACGTCAATATATATCATATTTAATTTTTAAAGAGGATAAATATATGGATTAATAGCTGAGAACTAGGTTGACTTCAAAAACTCAAATTCTAGAACAAGGAGGCCAAAGAAATAAGAGCTATGAAGGCTGAAATTGTAATAAGCATGGGCATGCAGGGGCACGCACACACACACAAACACTTCCATCACTAAAACTAGCATGAAGGGTTCAGCTAACGCCATGGATGATATTTTCACATCGCTGCTTTTGCCAGGAATCAGGTAAAGTTAAGTCCATGCTAAAATGGATGACACTAGGCGCATACAGGAACTATCCCCAGTGACAACATCAATCAAGACAGAGTTAGTCACTGAACTCTTGCTTAACCCAGCAAATTTGGAGACATATAAAATGTAGTTAGAACAATAAAATGTATCGGAGATAACTCAAAAGCAGTTTGCGTAATATCATAGTGATAAGAAGCCTTATGAGATCCTGACATCAGGGAAACAGAACAGACCAGTTGTAAAGTGTCTGGTGGCAACTGGATAGCATCGTGTTATGTGCTCAGTCCACACTTAAAGGCAAGTGCGTCCACACTTAAAGGCAAGTGCATTGCGAGGACAATGTTTGGGAAAATAAATAACAGACACAGAGACTTTGCACCATTTTCAGTTTTTAGGGCATTACCTCTGCTTCATGGGCCGCCTAGCATTATAAACTGAGATCCATTGAGTTGCTGGGCTTCCCAACCTAACTTTCTTCTTGGGCTGTTCATCATCGTCAAGATTTACAACCATTCTTCCACGTTTTTGCCCAACCTATAATATGCAAAAATATACATGAGAAAATTTAACGCATTCAAGTTAATCTGTATGGTACAGACACAGGTTGTGTGTACAACATTTACATACCTTCAGAGCTCCATCAATTCTGATGGGCCTTGAAGCAGGCCCTTCAATCAAACCATCAAAGAGAGAAATAAGTTTTGGATAGTTTGGCTCTTCGTCAAATTTCATGTTAGTGACCATCTCTAGAAAATGTTTGAACGGAGCTGGACAGAAGCAACACAGCAACTCTGGTGAAGTAGCCATTTTCTTCTTACAAACAAGAAAACTCTTGTTATCTCCCTGCATTACCATCCCATTAACACTAAAATAAGTTCAACAAATAGAAGAAAACATTATGTCAAAACTTTGCTGAGCATATTAAAGGCTACCTGATACCCTTGCCAAGGTAATCTCCCTCTTATTAAAAAGATTAGGGTGTAAGCCAGTGACTCTAAATCATCCCTCCTGCTACCTGTACGACCTAAGTGGGCATGGACGCTAGCGTATCTAATTGTTCCCCTGTAAAATGTCGAAAAGAAAAAGGTAAGTTAATAATTGCCCATAATTTAATACAGAGAAAAAGATATTATAGTGCACACACAAAAATGGACGAACCTAAAGACATCTGGCCTCTGATCATAGTCAACATGCTGACCAGATGATGCTTCTTTCCACCTGGATGCTGCATGATTTCAACATCACGAAATAAAAATAAATCAACAGGGCAACAATTCCTTGGGATTCAAGTACAAAATGCATAAGAGCAAATGCCATAGCACATTGAGAACTAAATTGAATACTTCATACACAGATGAGACTACTTTGAACAAAAGCCTACCTAAACCAAGATCAATCAGGAAAAGCTTCTTCTCATCAACTGACCCAGGATGACCAAGCAAAAAATTCTCTGGTTTGACATCACCATGTACAAACCTGGCAATGATAAGATGCACTGGAAATGTTAACACCAATGAAATAGAAAACAAAAGAGAAATTCCATGCAGCTCCATATAATTTTCAGGCACAAGTGACTTTAAATTTTACCCTTTAGAGTGAAGCTTCTCAAGAATTGATATCGCTTCCACAGCAATGCAAGCAACCATATGGGCAGACATCCTGTTTGCAAGTTCCAATGCTGTTATTTTCAGTGAGGAGTAATAAAATCAGGTGGTCAATGCAAAAAGGTGATCCGAAACTTACGCCTGTCCCACTGAATTCCACACATCCCAGAGGCTGGGACCAAGCATATCCATTACCTGAAATTTTGGTGTGATGGTTGAATAAAATAATTTATTTTGAGTCCAGAAACATTTTTCAATACATGACTAAGGTAAACGCACAAGAATGTAGTAGTCTCCCAAACGACCCTTATAGTGGACTGATGGTATGCCATAACAACCATTGAGAGTGCTATTTACAAAAGGACAAAAGGTTAATGGATCATACTCCACATAGAACAACATAAACATCAGAAGGGATAGATTGTGTGAAATTCTTACTGGTAAACCTGCCACTCGTATGGAGGGCCATAGTTACATCCTTTACTGCTTCGGTGCTCAAATTTAAGCGCAACCTACAGGATATTCATTCAGATATCTAAAAACTAACTAAACTAACAGAGCTTCAGTGTCCAATTGAGGTGGTAAGAAATGAAACCTCTTGCGCATCTGGACCCGTGCGAGAACCTCCACCAGATACTCTTCGACCAACATAGACCTGACCAAATCCACCTTTACCCAACTTCCTATCAGTTATATACTCTGGGGAATTGCCTACTTGAACCTGTAAAACATATATAACTATTTAGAATTTTAGGAGGTTAATTAATGGCAGTGAAACTCTGCCACATAAAGTGTAGATAAAAGATGTCACCAGGAGAAGCAAACTCCTATTTTAGTGATAAAATTTGATGTCAAAGAGCAAGAGATTGTAACTTTCCCATTCCTAAACTTTGTTGTTTGATGAACTTGCCACGGAGTTTCATCGGTTTTGTGATATCAGGATGTGATACTATGTGATTATCTGAAGTTTGTTTCCTCTACAAAACAAAACTACTATAATCCAGCCATTCAGTGCCTCAATCTCAGCTTCGCCAAGCAAATAGGCACTCACCTCTCAAGCATAACAACTAAACCATTTCTTACGCCACAATTCAGATGAATCATCATCAATTATTATACTTTATAACTTCTAAATTTGGTTACACTATATTTTATGTGAAACAGACATGTCGGTTGTCTTGTGTCTAATAACACCAATACAGCAGAGAAGTCATCTGTGAAAGGTAACATGAACATCTGGAACAGCAACCATACAAAAACTACCAAACAAAGTAAACAAAAATGATGAAACATCCCATGTTAAAGAACTTGAAGAAAATGACTTTATCGGTACAAATGATAGTACACCTACAGAAGTGCAAAGGGAAGAAGGTATTCCATACCCGCTCAGGAACTGGTGTTGTAGTGGATTCATCTTCTGCCGCAGCAAATTTGTCTCCACTTTCGCCGTCCATCATCAAGTTCGCAGCTCTGTCAGCTACCTTGTTCAAACCAAGGTCCTCCTGGGCTTTGCCGGTAACCGCCTTTCTAGCAATAACTTCAGGGAGGTCCTTGCAAGGTTGATCCTTACACAAATCAACAGCCCTGCACCCCTTTCCTCTAGGCTTCAGAGCTTTCCTCCCTCCTCCCTCAGCAACTGTCTTGTTGCCTCTGCCAGCCGCAGCACCGCCGCGCCTTCCAGTCCTCCCCCGCGGAGCTGGCGACACCGGACTCGCAGCTGGATCTGCGTCCTGGACGTCGTAAACCTTCTTGGACCTCAGACGAGCTCTCCAAACACCACCCCGCAACTCTGGCATTATCGCCCCATGCAACTCGGCCTTGTGCTACACCCTTCGGTGCTCCTTCCAATCTCCGCATGAAAAAAAAACATCCAACAAGAATAAATCACTGATGAAGGAAACCACAGCAGGCACAACAATCACAAACATAAACAAATTTCAGCTCAAAGATTGTTCCTTCACCATGTCATGGCAAATCAATCAAGCAATGAATCGGGAATAGGAAAAGATCGGAGTGGAATCAATCTGAGGCATTCATCGCCATCGCGAGCCCCCCCCCCCCCCCCCTTAAAGACGCAGCCCGCTTTGCTACCACCACTGCCCTTTCAACGGAATCGAATGCCGCCATCGGCGCTCTAAAAGAAGCCCGAGCATCTCCATCACCCGATACCCCGCAGGGGATCTCCACCCAGAAAGGAAAAAAAAAACTCCCACCTTTTACCTCCAGATTACCACCAATCCAACACCAAACCAATCCTAAACTAATCCCAACCCGCCACAAATCCCCCAATCCCACGCAAACCACGCTTTTTTTCCTAAATCCGCAATAAAGCTCCCCATGAGGCAAGCATCTATCCTCGAAACCGAACCCATTTCCAGCGCCCGAATCGGCCCTCCTCAACCCCATCGGATCACTCCCCCCCCAGCGTCAGCGACCCCGCCCCGCAATCCGATCGCGCCTCAAGCAACCGCCCCCACCGATCAACCCCCCCCCCCAAAAAAAAAAAAAACACAGAGCGAGAGCGCGGAGAAGAGCGGCTTACATCGTCGTCGGAAGCGGATGCCCGCGGCGGCGGAGGGCGGCGCCTCGGGAAGCGTGCGGTGGTGGTGGGGGAGGAGGAGACCGAGGGGGGGGGGGAGGCAGAGAAATCGTGGAGCGCTCGCGTCGCTCGCGTGCGTGTCGCGGTGGTGGGTTGGGGGGGGAGGCTTTGCTGCTGCTGCGGCTGCTGCGGGGAGTCGGCTTGGCTCGCGCAGAGCAGCGCATGCAGGTGGCAGGAGACTGGGTGGTGGGGCCGGGCGGGGCAGGTTGGGTCGCAGACAGGTGGGGCCAGGGGGTGATTACTACTGCTGCTGCTTCCTTCCCCCCCTCCTCGCAGTTCAATTCAAAGCACCACGCCCTACTAGTGGGGGATGTCCTTGACATGTGGGCCGTCGCAGTGGACCGCTTTAATTTAATACGGTCCATTTTGTGCGCTCCGTTGCCTCCTCCAGTTTTGAAACTCTAGCGCCTCTTCTCCTTTTGTTTGTTTCTCGCCAAGGATTTGATTTCTTGATGAAATTGTTCGGATTTGATTAATGTTGTGTCGTGTTATTAGCTGCTTGTTGTAAAGGTTGAATTGTTGGGTTTGTGTGACCAAAAGTATAAGCATTTTGTTAGCATCCTACTTTCAGTGTACTAGAGCGTAACCGCCGTCAAACAAGAAATCCTACGTACTTTTGTAAAATTCACAGATCACAGTGAAACAAAACATGCTTGTGCAAATCTGTGTAACTCTTTTGGAAAAGGATCATGATAAAAACTAGGTGCTCCTTCCCATGAATTAGTTGAGTCCTCTGAAATTGTTTCAAAAAAAATCTTTCGTTCCAAATAGTAGTACATCTGTCAATCGATCGTGAAAGTAAACGAATGGCGATCAGTCAACAACAGTGCGCAACAAGATTTCTCTGGATCCTTTAGGAAGTACTTCCTCCGTACTCATAAGAGCAAGTATAATAGTGAGCTATAAACTTACTATAAGCTTATGTGGAGGAGGGAGATAACAAAAAATCAAAACAAATCGTTTTGGACAGATGTTACTATAGGCTTTAAGATGTGCTAATAGTAAGAAGTGAGCTCTACTATTATCCTTGCTCTAAAGTAAGTCGTTTTGGACAGCGGCGCAGTCTCCAAAACACAATTTAAACTTCTTGTTTCTATAAAAATATTTATTGAAAAGTGGTATATGTATACTTCTATGAAAGTATTTTTCAAGACAAATCTATTCATATAATTTTTATATTTTCAAACTCAACAACTTTAGAGTTATTTATGATTTATATTCTCAAGGTTTGACTTAAACATTATCCTAAATGACTTCATTTACGAATATGGAGGGAGTACTGTAATTTCTCTAGATCGTGAAAGTATACACCTAGGTTGTGTTTAGATTCAAAGTTTGGATCCAAACTTCAGTCATTTTCCATCACATCAACCTGTCATGCACACGCAACTTTTCAGTCACATCATTTCCAATTTCAACCAAAATTCAAACTTTGCGTTGAACTAAACACAGCCCTAGGCTATTGTAATTTCATTGGAGTCAAGTCAGGCAACATTGATTTGTGAACAACCAGGCCTGGTTTAGTTCTCCAAAAAAATTTCCCAAAAACATCGTATCAAATCTTTGGACACATGCATAAAGCATTAAATACTCCATATATTTAAAAAAACTAATTGCACAGTTAGGGGGAAATCACGAAACGAATCTTTTGAGCCTAATTAGTCCATGATTAGCCATAAGTGCTATAGTACTCATATGTGCTAATAACGGATTAATTAGGCTCAAAAGATTTATCTCGCGGTTTCCAGGCGAGTTATGAAATTAGTTTTTTCATTCGTGTCTAAAAAAACCCTTCTGACATCCGATCAAACATCCGATGTGATACCTAAAAATTTCCTTTTCGCGAACTAAACAGGCCATAATATGAAACAGCACCTACTACACCCTCTGTGTAATCAACAAAGTAGTACTAGTAATGAACAAGGCATCCAAACATCCAATTAACTCTCTACGAGTCTTCCCAAAATTACTATACTTTTAATATATATAACATAATTAGATTTTTTTAAATTCGTTCAACTATTCATTTTTTCTAAAGTATATAATGTAAACGGACAAATATAAAAGACATGCTTAAAGTAGATTAGGCCAATCCCAACCCAAGACACTATACATAGTTTTTATCCACATCATTAAAAAAAATAGTACTAGACACTACTCTTTCAATGCAAACACCACTTTTCCATACTTAAATTTAATGCTATTTATCTCACATGATGTCTTGGATGTTGTGTAGAAACCATGTCTCATGCAAGACCTGGTTTCCTTCTCTTCCCACATTTATTCACTTACCACATCATCTTTTATTTAGGTGGCAGCCTATTTAATGCTATGAACATCATTCTAGTCATTAGGTTGGGAATGGCCTAGAGGTATATGTACTCTGTCTTTCTACTATGCTTAACTCATTAATTAATTGAATGATTTCTAAGTCAAAGTTTGAGAAAAAAAATCAATAGTGTTATATCTCTACTACGGTGAAGGGGAAGTTGCCTCATCTTGCTATGTGCTTCACTTCCCCTCCGAGGCTCCGGCGTATCTACGAAAAAAATCGGTGGAGGAAATGATCCCACACCCCACCCACCCCTAAAAAGCTAAATGGTTCCTCTAATAAACCGCTTACTGAAAACACGGCTTACCCAAAAAAAGCTTCATCATGATGTGGTTTTCAGGGGAAAAAGCCCCGGGAAATGCCCCGGATCGGTCGCTCGAGGGGAGGGAGAAATATCGGGCGCTCCCTCCCCCCACGACGCGCGCTTCCTGTCCCTGGGCCCCACCACGTCTCTACCCCTCACCTGCCACTTATCACTACTATATACTCCATTGCAACAAATTACCCACATATTTTGGAAACCCTCTATTAAGAGAATTTGGTTTATTTTTTATTCCACAAAAAATGTTTCACACTACTAGGGAAACGACTTTTAACGATGGGAGATTTGGTCGTTAAAAGTCTAAATGTGGTCGTTAAAGGTCACTAACGACCACTAAGTTTGTGGTTGTCGGTGGTTGTTAAAGGCTCCGTCGTTAATAGTTTTAACGACCAAACGATTTTTACCCGTCGTTATTTCATTAACGATGGTGCTTTTTTTTGCCATCGTTATCTTATTAACGACCGTGTTCTTCTGCCATCGTTAATTCTAATTAACGACCATGATATTGTGTCATTGTTAGTTATTTAACGCTGGTAGTATTGCGCCATTGTTAATTTTTAACCACCTCCGTTAACATCCAATTTTTAATCACCACATGGTACACAATACGGTACACTATTGTTGATAGTAGAGAAACATAATTGCAGTCTGCACCGGCTCTTGGAATTAACATCCATGTTTATCACCATATGGATATAACATTTACATTATATTCTGACCAATCGTAGACAATCAACCACATTTATTCATTGCAATACATAATAAAAATTTGTTCACCGCATCCAGCTAAATAATTAAGTCATTCAAACAGAACCAACATCTTGATGTCTATCAAAATTAAACACTTGATCTATAAGTATGTGCTTGGAGGTGCAGTGGATAAATTCCTTTGTTATACGATGATGATCCCATCAACATTCGCAGGTATTGTCTTTAGATGCACCAGTCTCATCTGTCTCACCATTGATCCTATACAACTTACAAAAATGATATTAGCTATTTAACAAGCTATGGCACTTCATACATAAAATTCATTAAGGCACATGAGTTTATCTCTTATGATGTCTTTCTAATGACACATCACTTCCATTCAGTGTAAAAAATTTGATATGATGTTGAGAAGAGCCAATATTTGCAGACATGTTGTGTGCACATTTGATATTATTCATAGAATAATTGCATGACCATGGAGAAAATAAAGTGCAATAGAATAATTTGCATAAACGAAGACTGGTAAAATTTAAACCTAAAAGGTGATGTTCAAATAATTGCTTATGTTTTGTAGTAGTAATATAAATGAATATCTTATTCTGAAAAGAAACTGAACTTACTAGAAATTTTGTTTAAGGAAGGAGGAATGCTTTGTCACCATCTAGTTTCATATGATTCCTGTAAATTTAGAGAGCTTTACTACATTTATATTTTGCGATGATATAAAAGGAGTAATTAACCTGAAGAAAACTAACAAATAAATAAAAGGAGTAATTAACCCACAATGTACAGTAGCTCGTACCAATTTAGATAGTGTGTCAGCAATAGCTTTACAGATATGGAAATAGCTCTTGTGTTGCATCCAACTTGTTGTGGCCTTGCGGGCAAAAAATCAAGCCCATCAATGACCGATCTTGTAGGAACTAATGAAAACTTGGAATACTACCTGACTATAATTTAGTCAAGCCAATGGAGTATATTCATCTTGATTCATACTAAAATAGATTTGAACTGAAAATGTCAAAATATATAACCAATAGAATAATCTGAGAACAAAATGATGCTCCCATTATTTGTGTCCAAGATCATTCAATCGGTTATGTAACATGAATTTTGCTGAATGGAGAAAGGCATAAAAAAGAGGTTACTGTCTTGTGCAGTACTGCACCCTTCAGTTCTTGCCAGATCAAGCTGCCTCTCCATTGCTATTCAATTATCTCGAGTTCTCATAAAAAAACATTCTCTTGAAATCCTTTAGTACAGCAAGATGTCTCCGAAAAAATTACGATGTTACCAGACAATAATCTAGTAACTGTAGATAAAATAAAGCAATCAGTATATATCTACACTATCCTGCAAAAAACAATAATTTGCAGTATAAAAGAACTAACTTAAGACCATGCTCCCACCTGCTAACAAGCCCTGTGCGTCAGTTTTTGCCGTGCAACACCTCCCTGCCATCACAATTCGCCACGCTTGAGCACAAATTAAGTTACTAATTTTGGATACAGGGTTCGGGATGTTGATCAATCATCAATCAGGGTAGATCAGTAGGGATTTTCAAGCATACCAATTAGGGCGGCGACTAGCGAGGAGAATAGGTGGTGACATGGAGATGATGTTGGGGTCATCGGGTCGACATGGGCAGATCAAAAGATCCAGCCGGCCTCTGATCCCCTCGACGGCGAGGTGCACCCCTGCAGCGCCCAGCCTCACTTGTGCTCACTTGCGCGGTGGTGGCGGCTAGATGGTGCAGGTGGAACTGGTGGCGACGGCCGGCAGTGCAGGCGCGGCAAGAGGTAGGCAGCCAGCGACGCAGTTGGGGCAGGCGGCGGCTACCGTCACGGATTGGAGGAGGTCTCCCTAAACCCTCGGCGGCTTGTGTAGTGGGTTGGGCTGCTGGTGCTTGGTATGGATGGTGGTGGTTTTGTGGAGTCATGGGCCTCCTTCACGTCAATTTTAACGACTGTGTAGCAGCAAATTTTAACGACGAGCTATTTAGTGGTCGTCGGATTAGAAAATCAGCTCCTCACCACTCGTATTCAGAGGATAACGAGGATTACAATTTTCTGCTGGTCGTTAATGTTGGGATTTCTAGTAGTGTCATCTAGTGCACTCACAATATTTCACTATGTATAGATCTAATGCTGCAGTGAACTGAAATACTCTATTGCAACAAATCACCCACATATTTTGAAAACCCTCTATTAAGGGAATTCGTTTTTTTTTCCACCAAAAATGTTTCACCTAGTGTACTCACAATGTTTCACTATGTATAGATCTAATGTTGCAGTGAACTAAAACATTCTTTCGCTATTTGCTGCAACATTGTTTTTATATAAGGTGAAACAACACCCGATTTAAATGAGTGAAACATTTTCGATCTACTTAGTGAAACAATTCCGATATACCTGGTGGAACATCGTGCAACATTTAAAAATAATTCAATAATAAGCTAATTTTTTTTCATCAGAATATATCCATGTGTGGTCTTGTTTTAAAGATTTAATTGCAACGAATTTAATGGTGCAACCGGATCATGATTTGGATAATTAATTTAAGAGAAAAATTAATTTAAAGTGGTTTTCCACATATACGTGGCGCTGACGTCATGCTGACGTAAGCGCCCGATTTTAACCCCCTCCCATCGGGCGCCCGAGCTGGAGTCATTCCCAAAAGCCCCTCAATCAGATCCTGCCTGCAACGTTGCATCAGCTAGGCGGCTCTCTAGGCAGAGAATCTAAAGTCTAAAGACCGATTTGTAATCTTTGTTGGAAAGAAATCTGCTCTTCCCCTTACAAGCTCTTAATCTGTTGTAATGAACTCTTTTTATCCTCAATGCAATGACAAAATTCAGGTGCTAAAGCTCCCCCTCCCCCGGTGATTTAGGAAAAAAAAGTCATCCATTTCTCATGGCATATGGCACGGTAATTTGCTAGTCCTCCCTTTGTTTTAAAATATAGGATGTATTTTGTTTTGTTAGGGTAAGACTTTAAGCAACAATTACTTTATTAGAATATCATTTGATTATTAATATAATAAATTTAATTTGTGTCAAAAAAATTATATTGTAATATAGTAATCTTTGATCACAGCCTTATCCAATGAAACAAAATATGATCTATATTTTAAAACGTTTAGACTATATAAAAAAAGGTAGTACTAATTACTTCATCTGGATTTACTTTTTTTTAGCCATTGACTTCTGATGTACGTTTGACACCCTAGTACTTATCTTTCGAGGTTAGTGATGACGCCCTATTCTTTTAGCTTATCCACCAAAAAATGAACTATTTCCTCTACGCTTTGAAAATTATGTTTTCTAAAAAAAACTTTATTCTACCGCACTACTTAACCATTCGTTAAGTTATCTTTAAAAAATATTTAATTATCTTTATAGTCAAATCAATAATTAATCTAATGTGATAATTCACTCAATAATCTAAGGTTGCGTTTGTTAGTTAGGTTCCCAACCTATATCTCTCATTTTCTGCGTGCACATTTTTCGAATTGCTAAACGGTGTGTTTTTTGAAAAAGGTTTATGTACAAAAATTGCTTAAAAAATCGTATTGATCCATTTTTTAAAAAAATAGTTAATACTAAATTAATTATGCGTTAATTGATTGCTCTGTTTTTCGTACGCATGGCATTAGTTCCTAACCGGGGGAAACGAACACAGCTTAAATCAAACAGAGCAAGACATCTCTATTTTCACAACAAATCATACACATATTTGTTGAGCTATATTCAATCTGATTTTACCAATCAAAATTCTTTAACCTTTCAGAACTGACTATATGGTATTGGTTATACCGACATGGAAGTTGGGACTTGATAGTATCAGAATAACCGCATAGGGGATTTGATTTATTAGTCAACTAAATATGGAGAGAGCTAGGCATCGGACGTTCGATATTTTATCAAATAACGGACGCCCGCCCACAGTGTCCCTTGGCGTCTGGCACATCAGTCACATGCATGTTGGCTTGTGGCGCACTGTGCATGCATGCATGGCGTATGTCAGATGCAAGTATTTTTCTACTTTCTATCTCTTTTCCTTTTTTAAAAAATGTGTCCAATATATAATTCTAGAGTTTTGCTCTGGTCCAGCACTTGGTACCTTAAGGTACTAGTACCTCCAAGTACCAAATGAAATCTGACCGTTCAATCAACTGGGGTAAGATCGGAAAGAAAGTAAAGAGCGACAACACCATCTCCTCATCCTCATCGACATATCAGTCGACGGCGCCGCATTCCGCCCTCCACACGCGACTGTCTTTGTCGCCGCCAGGCCGCCACCGCAGCCTGCCCTCCCCATAGGCCCTATCGCATCCTTCCTCCGTGGCAACGGCGGTGCGGTCGACGCTGCCGCAACATGTCCTGCCCCCCTCGGCCAACGCAATCTCCCCTGGTGTGACCGACTATGCCGCCGCCGCCGCTGCCACAGTTTCCTCCCCCTACGTGGCTTGGCAACCGCAAACTTGCTCCATAGCATCGGGACACAGGATCCAGCCTTCGTTGCTATGCATCGGAGGTTGTTATGGACCCTTTCACATGAGTACCGATTTTCTGTATGTCTGACAGAAGTTATATGGTAATATTGGTGATGAATAGGGAGACAAATTTAGGAGCATAAATGACCAAAAATATGTGTGAGACAGATATGAAGTATTGCTTTGGTGCTAGACGATGGATCTGGAACAGTGCTCTTAATTATCATGCTTGATTTATAAAACTGTTAAACTATATATTGACGGGCGAGGCTGAGTTTGATTTCTGGAACCTAGACCCTGGTGGCTGAACCTAGTCCCTGGTGATGGAATTTGTATTGAGATATTGCGGCGGATGGGCGAGCCCCGAATGGACGAAGGCGAGAAGGGGGCAGCTTCATCTTCCCTGCTTCGTCTCCTGTAGTGCCAGTGGTTGCCGTCGGTGTTGAGAGGAGGAGCGTCGTCGGCATGCTTCAGCTCAGATTTGGCGGCCTCCCCATCACGATGCAGGAAGGAGATGGCGAGGTGGCCCCCATGGCTTCGGCTACTGATCTTCCGGTCCGCCTGCCTGCATCGGGCGAGCCCTCGGCACTGCGCCGCGCGGAGACGAGGGAAGGGCGATGAGGACAGGGCTGGAACGACGGCGGCGGCAGCTCCTGTCGCTAGTTTGCATTGACAAACAATCGCTAATGTGAAAAGACTTCCTTACTCTTCCACCTCCGCGGTACCATCCCAAGTAACTGGCGGTACCGACGAATAATAGCCTTTGGATCTGATCCAATCAATGGCTCATATTTGGTACCACCACAACTTGTTGGACTGTAAAAAAACTCATAATTCTATTACACTATTTTATTTGGCATAATTAGATCTTTATAACAAGATTTCACATGGATATATTTTGATAAAAAAATATACATTAAAAAAATCAAACTTATGTTGCACCAAAATGTTTCATCACTTATGCAAATGTGTCAACCCAGTTCATAAAATGTTCCAAAAATGCAACATATAAAAAAGTATTGACTGCAACAATAAGTCAATAATCATCACTACATGAAACATTATGTATCAACTAGTGAAACATTGAAAAAAATCGTATGATACAATACATTTGCAAATATTTGATTTTGTTAAAATATTTTTGTATCTAGCTTGAAACATCGAATTGTAATTGTTGAAACATAAAAAAATATTTGCTGAAACATATAAAAAATAATGTGCAACATTACTAATGCATTAGTGAAACATTAATAAATACTTATTGGAACATTGCGTTTACAATATGTGCAACATTTAAAAAGTCAAAAAAAGTTCACCAGAATGTAGTCATATGATATCTTGTTATAAAGATTTAATTGTAACAAATCCAATGATATAATTAGTTTGAAATTCAGATAAATAATTTAAGAGAAAAAATCATTTTAAGTTTGAAATATGCTTGTATGAACGCTCAGACTTGCCATGCATCTGCTACTCCTTTGTACTATTGAGGCGTCTGATTTTTCTTTCCTGTCGGACGGCTGATGGTAAGTATTTTCGACTAAATATACGTAGTTTGCTTTAAAGTGCAGGGGATACCGGGATAAAACTACAGTTACAGTTACACATTTGAAAAATATATCCATAGGCTTCGGTTAACCTCACATATAAGTTTTCACCTAATTTAGTGAGCACGCTCCAACTGCAAAACTGGAGATGCATTCTAGTAATCATCTCTCCTGAGAAAAACCTCTTCTAAACCTAACCTTGCTTTTAGCCTGTCGACGTCCTCCCATCCAAGAAGCTATTGATGGCGGTGGTAGGGGAAGAGACGACGGCATTGCGGTGACACGAGGTGGTGCCTAGCTCTCTTCGGTGATGGGTGAGACAATAGCGTGGAAGATTGATCTTGATCTTGAACTGCGTCTCGCCTCGCCTTCCCGTGTGCCGCCGCCGCCGCCGATCAGTAGCGAAGCTTCTCGCGCCACGGTAGGGACTAATGGCGCGGCGAGCAGGACGGTCTCCGACCTGGTCGTTTTCGCCGCTTCGTTGACACTCGCCGCGCCAGATTCGGATGGAGTCGTCGACACGGCGATCGGCCAAGACGCTGTGCTTCCCGGAGGCGATGCAGCGAGCAAGAAGCGCGCCAAAACCGATCCTGACGAGGAGACCGATGGTGAGACTTCATGCCGCCGCCGGCCTCCACCACCCACCGCCGTTGCCGCCGCCGCCGCCGCCGTCGTCTCGGAGCCGGCGTGGGTGCGTGCCGAGCTCTTCCCCCTCCATGGCCTCCCCATGGACATGCCGCCGCTCCGCTTCATCGTGGCGAAGCTCTTGCAGCGCTCGGACTTCTACCCGCAGCAGGCGCGCTTCCTCCTCCCGTCCAGCGCCGCCGACAACCTCCGCGCTTTCCTCTCCGCCCAAGAGGGAGAAGCGTGCGGCCTCAACGAAACCAGCCGCCGCCGCCGCCGCCGCAGAGAAAAGCTCGCGGAAGCGACACGCGGTGGCGGCGAGAAGAGAAGGGAGGAGCCGCCGAGGTACGAGGGCGTGCCGGTGACCGTCTACCTGCGCGGCGGGCTCGTGTGCGAGCTGAAGCTGAGCAAGTTCAATGGCACCAAGGCCACGGTGATCAACGGCGGCGGGTACGCCAAATTCATGGCGGACGGTGGCCTCGTCAGGGGTGATCGCGTTGAGGTATTGGCATTCCGGCGGCCGCCTAATTATCGTCTCTGCTTCGTCATCGCCAAGAATGACGGTTAGCGTTAATTTTGTATGGAGATTACCAACCGCCGTAAATTTGGATTAGTTATCAGGATTTTTATCAGTTTGTTTTTAGGTTTTCTTTTTAGAAAATTGTTAGTCCATCCATACATAAATATGGATTATTACCAAGAATTTATCCGTTGTTTTGCTACGTTTATTTTTTATACATTTTTAAGAAAATTGTTAGTCCAACTATACGTAGAGTTGTATTCAGTTATATGTTCCACGCCAAAAAAAAAAAGAAAAAGGTTGTAGAATTGTACTCCCTCCGGGTTGATAATACTTGCCCTTTTGTATAAGGGCACGGTCTCCAAAAAACAACTTTGACCATTATTTTAAATTATAATATGTATAAAATTGTTAGCAAAACGACAAGTATTATCAGCCCGGAGGAAGTAGTATGTTACGCAGCAACTCGATGAGAACAAATAAGGAGACGAAGATTATCTGTATTTTTACGTCAAACATTGTTACCATTTTTGTTTTTCCTCCAAAATCTACTCCCTCCATCTAAAAGTGTTGAGCATATTTTGTTTTTTTTTGTTTTTTTAAAGATATGATCATATTAGCTCCGTTTTTAATATATGACACCGTTAATTTTTTTCACGTTTGACCATTTGTCACACTGGAAAGTCCGCGTTTCATTTCCTGGTATAGTATACCTCAATTAGAACGGATAAACAGAGGGAGGATATCTGTATTTTTGGCGCCAAACATGGTTTACCATTCTCTTTCCCTCGAAAATGTTATACTAATTAGGATAAGAAAAAGTTTAAAGCCGAGAAGAATCGCGTATCGGAGTACGACTCCGTCGTGAGCAAGCGGAGTCCGAGTCCGAGTCTGACGCTTGTTCCGAGTCGGACTCGCCGCCGGTGTCCATAAATCGTCACGCGCGCGAAACCATCCCGTCCCGCGCTTTCTTCTTCGCCGCCGCTCCCGTTCCCGCTCGCCGTCTCGCGATATCGGATCGAGGGTGGCCGGCTGCTACGACTCGCGCACGCGGCAGGCATGGCGACGAAGCGCAAGTGCCCCGCCAATGGCGACGACGGCGGCGTGGCCGACCTCGAGCCGGTAGCAGGTGGTTCCTTCGCCTCCCCGCCGCCGGAGAAGAAGGCCAAGTTGACCGTCGCCGTCGCCGTCGCCGTCGCGCCCTCCTCCTCCTCTTCTGCTACCACCGCTGCCGCGGGGGAGGCGACGGCCAAGCGCGAGCACGGAGGCTTCTTCGCCTTCGCGAGGCCCGAGAACAACACCAGGCTGAGCGTCGCCGTCGCGTCCTCCTCCTCTTCTGCATCCGCCGCCGCGGAGAAGGCGATGGCCAAGCTGACCGTCGCCGGCGTCGCGCCCTCCTCTTCTGCATCCGCCGCCGCCGCGGGGAAGGCGACGGCCAAGCGCGAGTACGGCGGCTTCTGCGCCTTCGCGAGGCCCGACGACAAAACCAGGTGGCGCGTCGCTGTCGCGTCGTCCGCCGCCGCCGCGGCGGACGCGTCGTATTCTTCTTCGTCGCCGGCGACGGGGGAGCAGCCGGAGGCGAACCGGTGCGCGACGTGCCGGAGGAAGGTGGGGCTGACGGGGTTCAAGTGCCGGTGCGGCGGCACGTTCTGCGGCGGCCACCGCTACGCCGACGAGCACGGCTGCGGCTTCGACTACAAGAGCTCCGGGAGGGAGCTGATCGCCAAGCAGAATCCGGTCGTCGTCGCCGACAAGCTGGCCTTCAGGATTTGATCAAGAATCCTCAACCACTATCCATGAGGTCAAATCGAAGTAGCCGATCAAAGATCAATGATCTGTTCTTCAATCTTGTGGGAAGTTGAATCCTTGTTTGCAATGATCGATTTTCTGTGCTCAGCGCACAATTAATTTGATGTAATTTTCGTCAAAGAAAAGTTAGTTGTAGTTCGCTGTAACAGAGTCAGTTTAATTCAGTTGATGTATCTATTTGGATCGATTGATATGTGCAGAAGCAAAGTACAAGTCTTTATTTACAGCTACTTAGTGGATCAGCGCCAGTACTCTCGATTGCTCTCAGCTGTACACTCCACAAGCATTGTTCTAATGTTCAGAGTTTCTCCGTGACAATGGAAAAACTATCTGCTGGTTTAATTACCTCTAAGATGCAAGCTAGTACTCTTAGAGGCATGTACAGGCAATGGAAGATCTACTTGAGTACAATCAATCTGACGAAATTGCTCATTTTGGTCGCTAGGCACGATTGAACAGTAATTTGGCAAATAATAGTAATTTGTCAAAAATTATCCAAAATAGCTATCACTTGGAAGTACTACTTATCAACATCAAACATTTCTAATTCAAATTTCTCCCCATCATACCCTCAGCCACCATTCCACGTCTAACTATATAATATTTTATTAAGGGTATTATAGTTTTTTTCTTTAACCTTAGCCCATACTAAACAATCTAGAATGACAAATATTCTAGGATAGGTAGTAACATGTAAAAAACAAAAAGAAAAAAAAAGAAAGAGGATGATCTCCTTGCTATGGCCTACGCTAACTGCTAGCCCTCCCCGAGGCAAAATAATTTCGGGCCGTTTTTTCTGGCTCGTTTTGTAATCACGTGCTGTTTGGGCCACATGCAATGGGCTAGCAGTGTATCTAAAAAGGAAAAAGTACACCAAAGGTCCCTCAACTTGTCATCGGTATAAAAAACGTCCTCGAACCGCAAAACCAGATATGCGGAGTCTTTAACTATACAAAACCGGTCACCCGAGGTCTTTTGGTGGTTTTGACCCCGGTTTTGGTCTACGTGGCGCTGAGTCAGCGTGGGACCCACGTGGGCCCCACATGTCAGCTAGTCCACGTCAGTTCCTCTCTCTTTCCCCTCCTCTCCCTTCCTCTTCTCTCTTTCTCACTCTTCTCTCTGGTGCTGTGGGTAGGCCGGCGCCGCCGGCCGACGGGTGGGGAGGAGACCGACGGGGCGAGACAGGAGAGGAGGTCCGGCGGCCGGCGGCGGCGGCGACGGCGACTACGCGAGAGCAGGGGAGCAAGGCGGCGGCGGCGGCGACGACGCGGCGCCGATGTGCACTTGGTCTCGGTGAAGATTGGGAAGTCGTCGTCCCCGTAGGATTCGTGCCTCCCGACGATGCGCCTGGCTTGCCGCCGCCGCGGAGATCGTCGGCACCATGAAGTTCTTCGCGGCGCCCGAGGGGCGAGCGGGCTTGGGCGCCGTCGTCCTCGTCGCCGCGTCACGCTGCCCGCTGTTCTCCTTCTTCGCGCTACTTGTTCTTCTCCTATTCCAGCCGCACCACCAGCTTGCCGCGTCCCACGTCGCCGTGAACCAGCAGGTGAGCCTTGTGCCGGATGCGGCGGCGGCGAAGGCGGCCGGGGTCGGGAACGGCGCGGTGGTGGACGTGGGCGACGAGGAGGAGGAGGGCAGCGGGTCGAGGTGGATGCTGATAGTGGTGACGACGACGCGGTCGGGCGGCCGGGAGCGGCGGCGGCGCAACGCCGCGCTCGCCCACGTCGAGAAGCACTACTTCTCCGGCGTCGTCCACTTCGCCGACGCCGCCGGTGTCTACGACGCCCATTTCTTCGACAAGATCCGCCAGACCGAGTCAGTACTCCATCCATCCATCCCATTTGGTTTCTCACTTCCTTTTTTTTTTGCTTGATTATTAGTACTATTTCATTTAGGTTGCAAATTGGAATGTGCTAATCCGAATGCTTCTTTCTTCATGTTGATTTCTAACCTCAGAGGTTGAACCTCTCACATTTTTTGCTTGATTATTAGGAGCACTCCTTCGTTTATAGGTTGCCAATTGGAATGTGCTAATCTGAATGCTTCTTGATTGATTCTTCGTGTTGATTTCTAACCTCAAACTCCGGGTCAAGCTGGCCGCTGCCAAGAACCGCCTCACCGCCGCCGACGCCTTGCTCCCCCGCCGATGCCTTGCTCCCCTCGCTGGCCGCCACGTCGCCGGTTGGGGAAGGACTTGATGGCGACGTCACGGCCGGTGAGGAGGTCGACGCCGGCCTCCCCGCTCCCCTTGCTTGCCTACCTCATCCCTCGATGGCGGTCCGCCTCCGTGCCTGTGGCTTCTGCAATGGCGGACGAGAGCAATGGCGGCGGCGCGTCGCCAGTCGCCAGCCGCCGTCGTCGTGTCGCCCGTCGCCGGCCGCCGACGCCCTCGTCCTCTCCCTCCTCGCCCCACCGAAGGCAGCAACCCACCGACGTCCTCCCCAGCTGCCTACCCAAACAGAAGAGTGAGAGAGAGGAGAAAGGGAGAGGAGGGGAGAGAGTGATGACGTGGCCAGCTGACATGTGGGGCCCACGTGGGTCCCGCGCTGACTCAGCCGCCATGTAGATAAATACCGGGTTAAAACCACCGAGGGACATTAGGTGATCGGTTTTATATAGTTAAGTACCTCGCATATCTGGTTTTACGGTTCGAAGATATTTTTTATTCCGATTACAAGTTGAGGGACCCTCGGTTTACTTTTTCCATCTAAAAATCCTTTGTTGAAAAAAAAAGAAAGAAGAAATACTATAATTTTCTGGATAAGCATGCTGACATCATCTCGTGGACCATTCGCGATTGGTTCGGAGAAATCTAGGAGGCGCTGGCTGGAGCGTGGAGCCTGCAGCACAAGTGCACCGCCGGCGAGAGGGAGAGGGCCGGCGCGGCGGCGCGTGCTCACCTGCCGCTGCTTTTTCTGCACGACCGCGACCAAAGACGATTACAATAAAATATTCGGTCTTATCTTTTTCTTATGTTCGTACTTATCAACTAAATTTTAAATTTTTAACCTTAAATTTACGAATATACCAAACAATGAAACCGATTGATGTTCAAAAGCACGAAAACACTCGTACTCGAGCGTCCGATTAAAAAAAATTAAGCTCTTCGCACTGCTCTCAACCACTCGTTTATTTATCTCACTCTTGCTTTCCCTCTCCCTCTTTTCTCTCGCTCCCTTATCTTCTCCTGTACCATGGATAGATGATGAGTGTAGACAGGTGGGTGTGGGAGGCGACCTCGTAACAGTAGGACGAGACCGAGGTCGTGGTGGAGCTTGTGACTCGGGACAGCTAGATTTATCTATGTGGCATGCGAGTGAACGAGGTAAGTTGGGGAAGAGGGAGGTATGACACTCAGGGTGGCGTGCGACAACGGTGTAGTCACCTATGTTGTGAAGATGATGTTGAGGTGGCATCATGTGATGATTTTTGTCTTGAGCTCCCAGATCTAGGCAGTAGCTACCCTTCTTCTCCTCTCGCGTTTCAGAAGATTGGCGTGCTCGAAGACGACGTCCTTGCTTCACCTCTAGGAACCCACGAGAACGGAGGACCAGAAAAGTGGATGGGCATGTTGTGAATTTTCAATGTTTCAATCCATGCATTTGAATGTTTCATTGGTTTGAGAAAATTGTTGCATTGGGTTTTAGATAGTGTCCTACTTTTATTTCTTCGATTTTAGATCTATACATGTTTCAATATCTCAAAATTATTCGTTTCATCTGGTGATTCAATTGCATTTCACTGTTTTCAAGAGTTGAAGTATTCTTTTATTGACTATTGAAATCCTTTTTAATAAGGGGTGAAATAATGTCCGACTTTTAGCAAAAAAAATCAGACTTCTGATATGTAGTTTATTTTTTTTAAAAAAAAGCCTAAAACTCCAAAAACTCTTGTAAAACCAGGGTGATTTCCCTGCCGGAGTACGGTATATGTGTGATTTTGGAAAGGGTAAATTGGAACCATGCCATTATAATTTTGTAAAGTTTGAGATATGCCATCGATATTTTAATGACACGTAGGACTTATATAAGTCAATGACATGTGGGTCAGGATGTCATATCTCAAATTCTATAAAATTATAATGGCATGGTTCCAATTTTCCCTTTTGGGATAGGGCATGCGGGTTGTTTTTTTTAAAAAAGATTTCGGGAAAGCTCCGAGTTTTTCTTTTCTTTCGGTAAGCTAACGCGGAGTCCGCTACTCTGTTGGAGACGACGTCGCTAGTCGGTTGGCAAGTGGAGTCCGACTTGCCGTCTTCCTCCCTCCCACCATCACATAAATCGCAGGGCACCCAACCCGCAACTCCAACTCGCCAACCCACCCTGTACCCGCCGCTCGATCGCCGCCGTTCTCGCCCGAAGAAGGAAAGCGCCATGGCGTCGATGAAGCGGAAGTGCCCCGATGACGAGACGGCCTGCGGCTCCGGCGCCGGCGCCGCCATGTGCGTCACCGGCTGCGGATTCTTCGGCTCCGAGGCCACCAACAACATGTGCTCCCGGTGCTACCGCGAGCACTCCGCGGACAACGACGCCGTGGAGGAGGCGGCGGCAGCCAACAGCGACCTCGAGCTGGTTGGCGTGGCGGAGACGACGACGAAGAAGGCCAGGATGAGCGCCGTCGTCCCCGTCGCCGTCGCGTCATCTTCATCGGCGGCGGCAGAGCAGCCGGCGGCGAAGGCTGCTACGGCGCCGAACCGGTGCGCGGCGTGCCGGAAGAAGGTGGGGCTGACGGGGTTCAAGTGCCGGTGCGGCGGCAACTTCTGTGGCGGCCACCGCCACGCCGACGCCCACGGCTGCGGCTTCGACTACAAGAGCGCCGGGAAGGAGCAGATCGCCAAGCAGAACCCGCTCGTCGTCGCCGACAAGCTGGCCACCCGGATTTGAGCTCTCCTCTCTCTCTTCCATGGAATCCAACAGCAGTCTGCAAAACCATCGACGAGCACAAGCAAACATTGAGTAGCAAGCTCAGTGATCTGTTCTGAAACATGTAAGATTGAATACTTGCATGTAATTTAGTATTTGTTTTCACTGAAGAAACATGTTCCCATTGACAATAATCTTTATTTATGAGCCAAAAGAACAGATCTTTGTTTAGGTGATAGAAATCATCCATTTGTTAAGCTTGTTGTTGATTGATGCACGCATCAAATAGTACAAATTGACACAAGCAGGCTCTGGTTCAATCCCTGCTTACCGGCTTGCACATAATTTTTTAGTGTCAAATAGTCACTTGCTGATTTGCTATACAATCTTCAAGCTGAATTTGATCGATGTTCTAGTTCTACCAATCCCGTAGCGGAAAATGAGTTGCTTACGAGTGAGTTTTCAGAAGAAGAGGTGAAAAATGCTATATTTCAAATGGAACATAATAAAGCTCCAGGGCCTGATGGTTTTCCGGCGGAGTTTTATCAAATGTTCTGGGAGGTAATTAAGGATGACCTAATGGCAGTCTTTAGAGACTTTCATAGGGGCAATCTTTCTCTCAATAATTTGAATTTTGGTATTATTACTCTTCTACCCAAGAATAAGGAGGCAAGGCAGATTCAACAATATAGACCGATATGCTTACTTAATGTAAGTTTCAAGGTCTTTACTAAGATTATGACAAATAGGATTGCTCTAGTAGCACAAAAAGTCATAAGACCTTCACAGACTGCCTTTCTAAAAGGAAGAAATATCATGGAAGGGGCCATTATCCTTCATGAAACGTTACATGAGATGCATAGGAAGAAGTTAGATGGGGTCATTCTCAAGCTAGATTTCGAAAAAACATATGATAAGGTAGACTGGAAATTTCTTCAGCAGACCATGAGGATGAAAGGCTTTTCGGAACGTTGGTGCAAATGGATAGAGCAGATAGTGACAGGAGGAAGTGTAGCTGTAAAAGTCAACGATGAAATCGGGAATTTTTTTCAAACAAAAAAAGGGTTGCGACAAGGGGATCCCTTATCACCAATTTTATTTAATTTGGTGGCGGATATGTTGGCAATTCTAATCAATAGGTCGACTGAAAGAGGAATGACACGAGGTGTAATACCGAATTTGGTAGATAACGGGCTGTCAATTTTGCAATATGCAGATGATACCATTATCTTTATGGAAAATGATGTAGAAGAAGCCAAAAATCTTAAAATGGTACTAAGTGCCTATGAGAAGCTTTCAGGCTTAAAAATCAATTTTCATAAGAGTGAGATGTTCTGTTACGGAAAAGCTAAGGAAGTAGAAAATGCATTTTCTTTTCTATTTGGCTGCAAGATAGGGTCCTACCCTTTTAGATATCTAGGCCTTCCAATGCACTATAAAAGGCTGGCAAACAATGACTGGAAGGAGTTAGAGGATAGATTCGAAAAAAAGCTCAGTAGCTGGAAAGGAAAGTTTCTGTCAACAGGAGGGAGGTTAATCCTCATCAATTCAGTGCTAAGCAGTCTAGCAATGTATGCTTTCATTCTTTGAGATACCTAAAGGTATCTTAAAGAAACTGAACTATTATAGATCCAGATTTTTTTGGCAATGTGATGAACATAAAAAGAAGTATATGCTGGCCAAATGGAGTGTACTTTGCAAACCCAAGGAGTGTGGAGGTTTAGGGATTCAGAACTTAGAGATTCAAAATAAGTGCATGCTTAGTAAATGGATCTTTAAGTTAATCAATGAAGAGGGAATTTGGCAAAATTTGCTTAGAAAAAAATATTTGGCAAAAAAAACCATTCTACAGGTTCAAAAGCAACAAGGAGATTCTAATTTCTGGGCTAGTCTCATGACGGCAAAAGAATCATTCCAATTACTTGGACACTTTAAGGTGAGAAATGGGAAACAAGTTAGATTTTGGGAGGATTGTTGGATGGGAAACAAATCTCTTGAGAAAGAATTTCCTAATTTGTACAACCTGGTTCAGAATAAGAATACAGTAGTTGCTAAGGTTTTGGAAACGATACTGTTGAATATGTCCTTTAGAAGAGCGATAGTTGGGAAAAACTTGGAAGATTGGTATGTCATTGTCTCGAAAGTGGCTAATGTTAACCTGACAAGTCATCTTGACCAATTCATATGGAAAACTAATAAACAAGGGTTGTTTACCGTAAACTCTATGTATAAGTTACTTATGTTTGATGGAGTAATACCTAGGAAATCTTTAATTTGGAAGCTAAGAATTCCATTAAAGATTAAGATTTTCCTATGGTATTTGAATAAAGGGGTGATTCTAACAAAGGATAATCTAGCTAAGAGAAGATGGAAGGGTAGCTTATTGTGTAGCTTTTGTGACTCTAAAGAGTTGATACAACACCTTTTCTTTAATTGTATAATGGCTAGATACATATGGAGTGCGGTTTATTTTACTTTCGGGGTTAGACAACTCAGAAGTTGCGCTCATATGTTTGGTAATTGGTTGAATGGTTTTGAACCTAAACTCAAAAGACAAACTTGGGAGGGCATAGCGGCAATTTGTTGGGGTTTGTGGCTTAGTAGGAATGACATAGTCTTTAACGGCTACAATCATATTTCTTTCTTACAGGTAATATTCAAGGCAATTCATTGGGCAAGGCTTTGGTCTTTGCTTCTTAAAAAAGTTGAAGGAGAAGAAGCTCAAGTCAAGTGCAGAATTTTGGAGAAGCGAGTTATGGAGTTCTTCTCTACCTTTGGATGGAATTTTCGAAGAAGAATTGAAGTTTAGCCTCTATTTCTCTTTAATCGTTTGTTAAACTTTTATTTGTGTGTCCCTATGTAATGAGAGGAGTCTTTTGTACTCGTGACTATGGTTTTGGCTGTGTACACCCTCGCAAGGTGTAGAGGCCGGGTTTAATATAATCCATTATCTAAAAAAAAAGTTCTACCAATCCCAATATCTCAATTGAATCTCTTGACAACTAGTGTTCTTAGGATAATTGTATCACCTTAATGTAATTGACTGAGTTCAATAAAAGCTTCCATTATGTAAAAAAAAGTCCTAGTTTGGTGAAAGCGTTTGCAACCAGCTATAAATAATGCAATCACGCTGAATGAATTGCTCGCTTTAGCACACTCCGCACCCCTTGGCAGCATACGCTACCTTTTTTCTTTCTTTCTTTTTGGAACGGAAGCCTTGGGAGCAATGCTCAATTGCTCAAAGTTCCTCGATGACAATGGATTGTTCACTGTTAATTTAGTTTCCCCTGAGATGCAAGATTTATAGGTACTGTGCAGCCTGTAGTAGCAATTGCAACCAACAGATCTAATCGATCCGACAAAAGATTTTGATCCTTTTGATCAAAATTACACCGTGAGGTTGGGTTATGTTATGCTGCCCCTGCCTACGCGATCGGCTCAGCTCCGCCGTCCCCCCTTCGCCGCTGGCCGCCGCGGTCATCTTCACGACATACGCCGCCGTTTCTCCGCTGCCCACTCACCGCCCCGACGCGGGTTGCGGGCCGCGGACGTGACGCGGCCCATCTTAGTGGGCCCGTAGTTGGCCTTAGGTTATATTTTTTTTTCTTTTCTTCCTCTTTAATCAAGGTTACATATGCCCGGTTTATATTTTAATTTTTCTTCTTCAAACTTCTAACTTTTCTGTCACATCGAACTTTTCTACACACAAACTTTTAACTTTTCCGCCACATCGTTACAATTTCTTCAAACTTCCAATTCTGGCGTGTAACTAAACACAACCATACTTACATTCCATATTCCTTTGATTTTTTTATAAACAGTAAATTCACAAAACCATAGACATCAATAACGTAAAATCTAAGTTGTACAATTTGTTTCGTGAGTTTCTTAGCAAAATATTTCATAAAACCCTAGCTGCAAGGTTATATCGTTAATTTAATAAATATGTTCATCTATAATAATTGTTAAAACATTTGTAATGCATGCGGAGTATATGTGTATTTTACCCTACATAAAAATATGAGGTTTCTCGAAACAATTTTATCTCCAAACATAAGATTCCTAAAACACAAATAACAATAATTAAGGTAGTTTGCGCTTTGAAAATGAAAAAGAATTTGTTTCATTGACTTTTTGTTGACGTCAATGCATCAGGCATCTCAATCCCGATTGCTGATATGAAAGTACCCCAAACGACGAGATGGCCACCGACTCAAGCACGGTTGCCGCCATGTTGAGCCTGCTGTGAACTTGTGATTTCTTCGGCGTGCGACTTGGAAGGTGGAAGTAGCTTCTCTATAGCACACAAACAACACGATGAACCGATGGCTATGGAGAAGAGAAGGCAACTGCCAGTGTGAAAGATGATGAGCACGTCTATAGTGCTCCCAATGTTGACCCGAAGAACAAGGTAGCAAGACCATGATAAGCGTGGTTGCCAATTTAGGACAAATCTAAAGCACTTAACAAGTACTCCCTCCGGTTCTATAATAATTAACGTTTTGGACAAGGTTAAGGTCAAACTTTAATAACTTTGATCATCAATAATTTTAAAAATATTTAGTTCAAAGAAACTAGAACAACATATATAGATTTGTCTTTCAAAACACTATAATGTAAGCATTCATCTATTTCTTATGTATATTATAATAGAAAAATAAGGTTAAAGGTACATTTTGTAGACCGTGTCATTGTCCAAATTGTCAATTAAAATGAAACCGGAGGGAGTATACATGAAGCTACATGCAACTACATATATTGATGTAGCAACAATTGATCGGCTACGATGGCTGTCACAGCAGCAACTTGAAATTATTGCAAGCTGCAACAGCATTCAATTACCGTAGCCGCTGTAACTAGGGGCGGAGACAGGAGTAGGGTAGCTAGCGCTGCCGCCCTACTCTTGATCCTAAATATTCATTAAAATTTTATTTTAAAACTTTTAAAACTAGAATATAAAGACAGAATTATATAAATTCTGGCTCCACCACTGACTGCGACAACAATTCAATGGGATTACCTCTAACATATCGAATTGTACATTAATATCATCTGCGCTAGCTTGAGTTGTGCAATGCTTAACCAACAAATTGGACCTTAATGAAGCTCCACTTGTGACAACTACTAAAACTTTCAACTAAATCCGAATTTAACCAGCCGTGTTCAGGCGACGAGCCCCACCTGTACACATTAAACACTCAATCATCCAGCTTCAGCTGGGTCCCACAAAGTGATTTCAAATGGGCCCCACAACAATCGCCCTCATGTTGAATCTTCGCGTCTAGAAGCATCCGGCTCCTAATCCCCACCAGATTACACTACCATTCCACCTAGCTTAATTTAATTAATTAATCCTTTCAGCCCAGCCCAACCACCCCCCTAATCACATAATCAAATTTAATCATCCCCACTTCTAAAAAATCGAAGCGAAAAGTTGAAAAAGCCGTGTCCGAATGCGGAAATGGGTGGCCTTTATATACAAACCCCGACGCCACGCAGCTCGCCCGAAGAAGAAAAAAAAAAGGAAGGAAAAAAAAAAAGAGAAGGCGACGCGAAAAGCAGAAAGGAAAAAAAAAAAACTCCGTTCTCTCCTGGAAGAACAGGTTGGGGAAGGAGAGGAGAGGAGAGGAGAGGAGAGGAGAATCCGCGTAGGCTGCCCCCCGCAGATCCGATCGATCGGGCCTCTCCGGCGAACCCCTCGTCCTCCTCGCGGTAAGGCTCGATCTGAGATTGTTTGCTATTTGGTGGTGGCATGTAATTTTGCTTGCTGGTATGGTTGGTTTGTTGAATTGTAAGATGTTTTAGTCTTGGTTGAGGTCGATCTAGGATTTGATGGTCGATCTAGGATTCGATGAGTAGATTGGCGTGGTTGATGGTTAGGCACGGATTAGTATGTCTCAATTTGGTGTGCCTGCTATGATGATGGATGAATTGCCTTTGACTTTTTGGGTATGAAAACATGGGGGTAAATTTACGCAGAGAGATTAGTTTCCGGATGGGGTAATTGTTTGTTTATGGCCTTGATTACACGCCGGACGTAGCTTCTTCCATGTGGCGTAGCTGAGATTTGCAGACCAACATACCAAGTGCGTTTAGCTGGTAGGATGGCTTTCTTGTGGTGTTCACTTCTGTGGACAGGATATTGTTGTCTTGTTGAGGTTTCTTGCGGTTTAGTCAGCAGAGATTGCAATGATCATGAAGGCAATTGCATCGAATTTTTGTGATCTAAGCATGGGAATTCACAATGGTGTGGTGTTGCTTGCCGACGACGAATATGGAAATTGGTGATTGTACAAGGTATTTTCATGTGTATGGAAACGACAATACATTGTACCAGCTTAATATATCATCGCTTCATTTGTTTGCATTGGTTTAGCTCATCATGGCACCCTCTCTGTTTTGCTGGGCTGGTCTCACACACAACTTATTGCAAATAGGCACATTTTTAGTTTATCTCCCACATATGTGCGTGCTAGGGAATATTTTTAGCACCAGGTAATACATATTGAAAAGTGAAGTAGTCCAATCTAGATTCTATCCATATATATGCATATTTTTTTCTGTTGATATATCACCAGGGAATACCTTTTGAGAATGGGAGTAGCCCAATCAGGTATATGGTTATGAACTAGTCTGTGTCAATTGTTGAGGTCTGATCAAACTCATGTGCTAACTGCTAAGGCAGTTCCTCTGTCCATAAATATGCCACTTATTTGGTAATACTCAGTGAGTACCTGTGGCATTTCATCTCAATGATAGGAATGGATTACTAAATTCGTGTTGTATGTGGGGATGAGTTATTGTCACAGACAGGGCAGTTCCTCCCAATTGTTATTGCCCTTGGGTGATCAGATGCAATGGAGTTTTATTAGCACTATTCTTTGTGACCTTGAACCTTATTGGCAGGTACAACCAACTAAATTTGTTCTGTAGGTTGGGATGTTGTCTTGTCATGCATGGTCTACTCAATTATATCATGTAATAAAGTTATACTCCACACTTGTGAGAAAATTCTTGCTGAAGGGGTGATGGCTATCTGACTCTTACCTAGTTCCAACTACCTTATACATTTGGTGCAATGGCCATGTCGAATGGTCTTGAAGTTTATTGATTAATGATTAAGTTGTTATTTTCTATTGAAGGTGCAGTTGGTGTTCCTTACAATGGCACAAGAGAGCTGGAAAAAGGAGGCAGAGGAGACTGGAGTCCACACACCTGAGGCCCCTATATTGTGCGTTAACAACTGTGGCTTCTTTGGCAGCCGGATGACAGAAAACATGTGCTCAAAGTGTTATAGGGACACCGTTAAGGCCAAGACAGTGGCCACTGTTGTGGAGAAGAAACCTCTTGCTTCATTGTCTTCCACACCTTTGGTGACAGAAGTCACAGATGGAGGGTCTGGTTCAGTTGCAGATGGGAAACAAGTAATGGAGGAGGATACACCAAAGCCACCCAGTAACCGTTGCTTATCATGCCGGAAGAAGGTTGGGTTGACAGGATTCAAGTGCCGCTGCGGAGGCACCTTCTGTTCAATGCACCGCTATGCCGATTCACACAAATGCACATTTGATTACAAGCAGGTCGGGAGGGAGCAGATTGCCAAACAGAATCCTCTTGTGAAAGCTGACAAGATCACCAAAATCTGATGGCGGTTCTAGAGGAGCGATGCTCGTTTATTTCCTCATGGTGTTACTTGATCTGTCAAGTTTACTTCAAGATTATACTTCAGGGGTTGGATGTATCTATCATTCTCCTGGGATTTGCTTTGCCAATGAACGCCTTCGACAAACACCACGGATTGATGTCTCTCTAGCACTGGAGCACTGCTCAATGCGCTTGGGCACGCCTTCAAGGCTATATTTCTTGGTGTTTGCGTGGGAACTTTGATTGGCACAGGTGCACTTCTCCTTATTTGCAGTATGAATAATGTAAATATTTATATTTTATTCAGTATGCAATTCTACTGATTATATTATTATGCCCAAGGTTCGCCAGGCTTCCATTATCACCTGCTACAGTTTGTTTAGATAGATTACTGTGTGTATTGTAGATATAATACTTTTGGTGCCATAATGTTGTTATCCAGTGTCAATACCTCTTATTCAGAGCTTGTTTAGAAGGATCCTGGTTGGTGATAAGCATGGTTGCTCTGATCTTGTTTTGTTAGTGTTATGATAGCATGAGCCAACCATACTACAAGATAAAATTCTTACTAGAGATAACAGTGGAACATAATCAATCAACCATCGAGTAGCCACTGCCCAGTGATTAAGAACAGCTTGGCTGCACCAGTGAGAGCAGGTACAATAGCAGGCTATAAGCCAGCTGCAAACATATTTTAAGAAGATAAATGAGGAGAGAGGAGAGGAGCGGGCTACAGATTTGTAGCCAGTTGTAGCACGGACTTCAAGACGCAGTGTATGCATGACAGGTGGGACTAGGTATTAATTGTGTAGTATATAACTATTGTATGAATGAGCTATTAGATTGGCTATAGATAAATTAGAGTTAGTAGTTGGCTATACTATTAAACTTGCTCTGATGCAGCTCCATCTTTCAGGCACTAATTTATTATAGTTGGTTAGCTCGCACTACACATCTGCATGGGAACTAGTTATTTTTGCCAACTTGCAATGAAGGAAAAGTTGTGCATCTAGACCATGTTATACTGGATCCCGGAGCCATGTGTTCGCTGCATCTTGGATTTGCATTCAAATCATCTACTAGTATATACTAATAATATACTCCCTCCATCCCACAATATAAGGGATTTTGATTTTTTGCTTGCAACGTTTGACCACTCGTCTTATTTAAATTTTTTTTGCAAATATAAAAAATGAAAAGTTGTGCTTAAAGTACTATAGATAATAATCTATAAAGTAAGTCATAAATAAAATAAATAATAATTTTAAAAAAATTTGAATAAGACGAGTGGTGAAACGTTAAAAAAAAAACTCAAAATCCCTTGTATTATAGGATGGAGGGAGTAGTAACTCTATAACGTAATCTATAACGTAAAGGTGACCAAATCTGGATCAATGATAATTAACATACTCCATGATACTATGATGGTGCACCCCCATTGTATCTGATTGAATATCTTCCCCTTTTTTTTTCGAACTATCTGATTGATTATCTGAAAAAACCACACTCGATTAGCCATCGAAATCAACTTCTAATTTGCAATCTTATGTCGCCATTTGAGCACATCAAGTTTGTGAAAATTATCTCAGTATGTATATACTGAAAACGTATCTCCAGTACAAAGGCTTTACTAATTACTAACAACACCAAGAATGCTGCAACAAAATCAAAAGCCTGTGTAATATAACTGCAGTAGATCAATGCTAATGCAGCAAGAACAAACGGAACAAAGCCAGCAGCGCTAGCACGGCGGCGCCGGCTCGCCGCCGGTGACCCGCCGAGGTGGCGGCGATCTGTATTGTGAAGTTGCAGGCCGGGGTGGAGGGGTCGGTCTGCGTGGGCATGGCGAGCCCCTGGAAGTCGCAGGCGTCGTCCTTCTGGTTCTGAACCTGGAAGTAGGCGTTGAAGGCGTAGGAGGCGTTGCCATTGGCGTCCATGCCGGCGCAGGTTGAGCCGTAGCCGAGCGCCGTGCAGTCGGCGAAGGTGCAGGCGAAGTTGATGTTGTCGGCGAGCTTGCTGGTGTCCTTGGCGTTGGTGTTGATGACGCACCACGTCCTGGGCAGGTACGTCACGCCCTTGGCCGGCACGAGCATGGTGTTCTGGCCCTGCCCGGTGAGGTCGACGGGGTACTTGGGCTGGCCGTCGAACCGGAGGATGCCCCAATGGCGCTCGAAGTCGCCCGGCGCCACGCTCTTGGCGTCCTCGTCGAGGAGGCCGAAGAGGTAGACCTCGATGTACTGCCCCGGCCGCGCCGGCGTGCCGGCGTTGGCGGCGAGGCGCTTGAGGAGGCCGTTGTAGAAGCGCTGCGCGTAGGTGGCGGTGGCGTGCTTGTCGCCGTCGGTGGGCCAGCCGACCTCGCCGACGACGATGGGCATGTCGCCGTGGCCGACGCCCTTGAGCGCCGCCACCAGCGTGTCGAAGTTGGCGTCGAACACGTTGGTGTAGGAGATGCCGTTGTCCACCACCGGCGTCGCGCCGCCGTCGAAGAAGGCGAAGTCGACGGGGAAGTCGTCGTTGAGGTAGAGGCTGATGAAAGGGTAGATGTTGACGGTGAACGGCGCGCTGTTGTTGGCCAGGAACTGCACCATCTGCGTCATCAGGTCGGCGATGTCGGCGCGGAACCGCCCCGCCGACGGCACCTGCTGGTCCTGCGGCGAGTCGTATACGTCGGCGTTGAGCGGCACGGTGGCCTTGATGCTGTCGCCGAGGCCGGCGTCGTTCAGCGCGTTCTGGATGTTCATCAGCGCCGGCAGCGTCACCTTGTCGAACGTGCCATTGTATGCCGCCAAGAACGGCTCGTTCCCGACGGCGACGTACCTGCACAAGAACCTCACACAAGTCACATCACCACGCCACGGGCGGCGGCGCCATGAACGGCGGCGAGGGCGAAGCAGAGCAGCGGCTCACTTGATGGTGACGCCGCCGTCGAAGTTGTAGCGGGAGACGTTGCGGCGGACCCACTCCTTGGCGGTGTCGTAGTCCGTGATGGAGTCGAGCATGACGTTGGGGATGGCGACCATGACCTCGATGCCGGTCCCGGCGAGCGCGCTGAGGGTGTCCTGGTCGGCGTCGAACAGCTTCACCTTCTTGATCCCATTGTCCTGGAGCAGCTGCGCCACGATCTTGGGCGGCAGCGGGTGCGACGCCTGCGTGCCCCAGTTCATCCCCAGCGCCTCCGCCGCCGGCAGGACACCGCCGGACCACGACGCGGCCGCCGCCATTGCCACCATCGCGCCGAGCCACCACTGGAGCACGGCGAGATCCGCCATTCCGTTCCTCCCAATCGCAGCAGGCGATTTATACGGCCTCCTGGATGATTGGGAATCCAAGAATTGGAACCCAACCAAGAAGCTCCAAAGATCTCCCGATCCGAACAGAGGCAAGCTCGATCAAAACACCAACCAATGGCGGCCTATGAAAGAATGAACTGAAATCCTATAAACCAAAACGCGGAGCTCGAACAAGCCAAGAAATAGCAATGGCGCCTGACCACAACCTGGAGGTGGAGAGCTGAAATACAACACCGGAAACGCGGTTACTTCTCACTGGCAACTGCCGCCCATTTACGAAAAAAACAGCACGGGAAAGCGGATGAATTCACGTGTAAACGCTGCGAATTCCAGCAACCAAATCGGAGTAAATGTATCAATCCCCAGGGACAGGGACGGATGGGAGAAGAAGAAAAGAAGAAGAAGAAAGCCGCGTAACTTTCCGACCGAACCAAGCAAAAAGACGGTGACGGATTGATGGGTACACGGGGAGCCGACGCGATCGAGAGCATTAAACTGTTGAGATTTCCGCCGCCGCCGCCGACGAGGAGAAGACGCGGCGGGGCGGTGGATTGATGGATGGATGGGATGGGATGGAGTCGTGGTGGTGGTGAGGACTGATGAGGAAGAAGTGGAGGAGGTAGTAGTGGAGGGAGGAGGGGCGTTTTGGTAATTTGAGTGGGCGCGGGCGTTGCGGTGCGGGAGGAGGACGTGGCACGCGGTTCGGCGGTTGACTGGTGGAGCCCACGTGGCGCGGGCGGCGAGCCCTCCAGCCAATCCACTACCCTAAAAAACAGAAAAAAAATCACGAGATTTATTATTTTTTTTCGAGTAGAAACTGTTCGTTTGAAATTTTCAATGATTAGTATAGTGTGAGATTTGTACTCCAGATCTGTATGATTGAAGCATTATATATATATATATATATTTTAAAATAAAACCTGGATTTTGTGGTGTAGTGGGAAAATGGACGAGAAGGGAAGGGGGACAAACGCAGGAATGGCCGGTGGTTTTGCCTCGCCGGGATTCGTCGCGTCCAAGCTTTGCTCGGCTCGCCGGTCCATTCGCCCGTTACTCCATGCGCATTTACCAAAACGCCCCTGGTTCGAAATGGCAACTTGCCCCCAGGCAGGCACACCACGATCTGGTACTACTAAACCCCCGGCATTTCGCACATGTCTCCACGCGACGCACACCACCCCCACGACTCGTGCCACGCTTGGGTAGGCCGGCCCATGCGACCAATCTTTGCGTCGCTACGCTAACTATTGTATATGTGCTGGCATCGTATGAGCCCGACACGTGGCACCAAGAGTCGTGTTCACATCCTCTATCGTAATGACACTGTCCTCTATCATAATAACACTGTCATCATAAATACTGATACATGGGATAATACAAGATGAAACATACATAACAATGACTATAATAATAGTGATATTGGCCCTGTTTGGATACAAGGGATATTTTTTTTAGCCCTCTCTCAAATAGCTCAAAAATATCCAAAATGGTGAGTTATTTGAGGGCTATTTGGAAATAACCCATCCAAAAAAAACTATCCCACCCAAGAGGTACTAATTGGGGCTATTTCGGGTGGGACCCACTAGAAAAATGTCTTTTCTCTCTGTCTCTCCATGGAATATACATTAAAGGTCAAATAGCTCTCAAAATAACCCTTGGATCAAAACAGCTTATAGCTATTTTATTGAATGGCTAATTTCTTGTGTAAAAAATAGCTTTCAAAATAACTCTTGGCTATTTTTTCAATAAGTACATTATAGTGGAGGATCGTACCATGCGGCAGTCGTACTCGTACCATGCAGGTTGGTTCTAGCGGTGGTTGGGGAAGCGTACCGTGCATCGCAGCTGAGCTAAGCTAAGCTGAAAACGCGGCGAAGGCAGAGACGTGCCGACCACAACCAGGTGATCGAGGTGAGGTGCACATGATCAGTCATCATCAGCAAGAAAATGCAGGTGGTTACCACGAAGAAGCGGATCAGTGGATTCAGAGCGAAGAAAGGGGCCGGATCAACGCATCGTGGCTGGGGAAAATGGTGTCGTACAGTTAATCGGTTGGAGATAATCGATTTGGACGGCCATCGCCTGATGACCATTGATCCCCTCTGCAATAGCGAGTGATCGACAGTATTGAGATTTTGAGACTGGCAGGTAGGGCAAGGAAAAAAAATGCAAAGAATATCAAAATATTTGCACCAGCCGGGAATCGAACCCGGGTCTGTACCGTGGCAGGGTACTATTCTACCACTAGACCACTGGTGCCTTGTTGATAGATTTTTCAATTAACAAGTTCTAATCCATTTCATTCATTCTTCGTTACACTACGCTCTGCAATCTGCAGGGACTTTGAAGCCATCGTCTTCTACTATTCCCTGTTCTTCTGTTACTCGCTCCGATGACTTATTACTACTCCTAGTATTAATGATGCTTCGAAATCAAGCAACGGTCGGCAGTGTAGTTACTGCTACTGCCACAAGGTAAGCTCACACACTGCACAGCAAAGCACAGGTCTCTGAAGCGATGAAGTCTGAACTAGGAGTAGTGCACTAATTGAGCCGTGCAACGTACAAAATCGTCAGTGCAGTGCAAAACTATTTGGACAGATGCACTTGCGCAGCGTTACTTTTGATTTCCCCCGGTCGTTTCACAGCGCCAACAAAATCTTTCTCCGCATGAAGAACATGACAGCTTCTTAGCATATAATTAATTGATTATTAACTAAACTAACTTGAACAATGAATTAACGTCATATTTTAAAGTAATTAATCTATAATTTTTAATAGAAAAATATCATTTGGCAGTTTAAGAACCGTGTGTGGAAAATAACGAGGTAGATGTTGAGAATATGTACTAGCTGGGTTTGTATAATTGTACCACTGTACCCAGCACTACAAAGTGTCTGGTTTGTACTCCTACCATTGAGTACAGCAGTGAATATTACTGTACCTTCTGCTTTTGTACCAAAAGTGTGTTTACTACCCTAATTAAGGGTCTTTTTGGATTCTTACCATTGTTAGCCTTGCCAACTTTTGAGCGATGGCAAGATTCCGCTCTTGCCATTTTTTTTGGCGAGGTGATTAGGTCAAAGTTCTGTTTGATGCTAACGGCTGTGTTCGGAGGTAGGTGTCGAGAACCCATCTCCCATGCACACGGAAAACGGAGCAGTTTATTAGCGCGTGATTAATTAAGTATTAGCTATTTTTTTTAAAAAAATGGATCAATATCATTTAGCAGTTTATAAAACATGCGCGCGAAAAACGAGAGTGGAGGGTTGGGAACTTGCTCTTACAAACACACCCTGTTGAAAACCAAATGAATACCATTTCTTTTTTTGCAACACCGATATTTTGTTATGATTGAGACTGACAAAGAAACAAGCACAACAATATTTCTGTTTTGGATCATAAGGCCTAGTTTAAGAGAGATTAAGATTATAAGAAACACCTGATAAAAATGTTTTAATTCATTTTATGGACTCTGAAACTACAACTTTTCATAATTTAAGATAAAAAAACTGGATTATTTGAATAGTTTTTGATTATGGGAGAATCTTGGCGTGCCAGGAGCTTTACGACCATGCCCCAGGTCAAAGCACGCAGCTTAAACGTACCCACTGACATGCTGGACCCACCTGTCAGAAACCCTCCCCCCATCGCTGACGCGCGAGGCCGCCGCATACCCTCCCTCCCGCCCCAAATTCCCGCCAATCTCTCCCCGCTCCCCTCTCGAGCCGAACCCCAAATCTCTCTCTCCTCTCTCTCTCTCTCTAGCAGCGGCGGCGGCGGCGGCGAGGCGAGGAAGATGCTGTGGGTGGACAAGTACAGGCCGAAAACCCTAGACAAGGTCACCGTCCATGACCAGGTCGCGCAAAACCTCAAGAAGCTGGTAGGCTCCCCCCCCCTCCCTCGCGACGCCCGTCTCCGGCGACCCACCCTAGGGTTTCGCCGCCCTCGTGCTGTTCTGATGGGGGTTTGGTTTGTTTTTGTTTTTTTTTTGTCAGGTGGCGGAGCAGGATTGCCCGCACCTGCTCTTCTATGGGCCGTCGGGGTCCGGGAAGAAAACCCTAGTCATGGCCCTCATCAAGCAGATGTTCGGCGCAGGCGCGGATAAGGTCTCATTTTGTAATTAATTTGTTCTTTTTAATTCTTTGTGAGATCTTCTCCTGTTTCTGGTGGTGACGTTTTTTGTGCGGTTTGATTTGTTCGCTTGCAGGTGAAGATGGAGAACAAGACATGGAAGATCGATGTGAGTCATACCACATTTTCTTAAGCCCATCTTTTTCTTCGCTCAGTATGTGTCCTTAATTCCTTATTGCACAATATGTGCGGAGTAGTATTCAACAACTCACTGAGAAGTCCTGAGTGATGCCATTGTTACTGCCTATGCCCCTGTGCCATGTAAATTACAAGTAGTAATTAGTAATTGCCCTATCCTTTTTGTGCTTATGCTGAACACTGAGCTAAATGACAGAAAACTATTAAATTTGGAATTTGGATAGATAATAGTGTTGTGTGATAGTACTATGTAAGGTGCCAGTTGGAATTCATGTATAATGTTAAGACTGGGGTGGTATTTCCTTTCCCCAGACTGGGTCGAGGAATATTGAGATAGAACTGGCAATGTTGTCGAGCGCCCACCATGTGGAGATGAACCCCAGCGATGCTGGGTTTCAGGACAGGTATGTTGTTCAGGAAGTCATTAAAGAGATGGCGAAGAATAGGCCAATTGATGCCAAGGGCAAGAGAGCATTTAAAGGTAGGTGCTTTTCTCCAAATTACATTATGGCCATGCAAAAGTTAGCATATTTCTTTCAAAATTTACTAACTATATTTCACATAAACTTGCAGTCCTTGTCCTTAATGAAGTCGACAAGCTCTCACGAGAAGCCCAGCATTCCCTTCGTAGGACAATGGAGAAGTACAGTGCATCATGCAGGCTGATATTGTGCTGTAATAGCTCATCAAAGGTGACAGAGGCTGTAAGGTCTCGTTGCTTGAACGTGCGAGTGAATGCACCCAGTGAAGACCAGGTTAGTGATGAATGTCTCAGTTGTCATATTTAGTGTCGCAACTCACTGGTTTATGCATTTCATCAATGGCTTGGGTTACTTGTTTGGTGCTACAACGTCGCATAGGGGAGTTCTGAAATATCAGTGATTCTTTACCAGCTGATTTTTTGTGTTAAATTTGTTGGTAGGTATGTTCCTCATTCTGAGTGTGGCACATTGCATGTGTAAAATTAGACTTCTATCTGGGACTGTTTGGATGTTTTATCTAAGGTTCAACTGTAAGCTTTTGTGGGAAAAATCTTGGATGACAGTTGAAGAAAGTGTTGATATTGCAGCTACTTCGATACAGTTTCCATTATTCCCTGCCTGTTAAAATGTCTTTGTACGTTTATGCTCCTGAAAGTATGATTATTTTGCAGATCGTCCAAGTTCTGGAGTTCATTGGGAAGAAAGAAAATCTGCAGCTTCCATTTGGATTTGCTGCTAGGATAGCAGCACAATCGAACCGTAACCTGAGACGAGCGATACTGTTTTTTGAGACCTGCAAAGTCCAGCAGTAAGCCTGTCTGCGTTAATATATTTCTGCCGTTCCCTTCTTACCTGTTTCCCTACGTCCTTCACCAGTTACATCTGTATTTTCCTAACCAACATTTATATTTCTTTCTGAATTGCAGATACCCATTTACATCAAATCAAGTAGCACCTCCTCTTGACTGGGAGCAATATGTGTCAGAAATAGCAGCTGATATCATGAAAGAACAAAGCCCTAAAAGGTTCATCATGTTTCAACTCCTGTGGCTTTATTGTTCCTGTAGGATGCTAATGATATTATTCTGTCTTCTGTTGTTTTTTTATTGCAGTACATATTTACATTGTGAAATATGTGAGTATCATGGGTTCACTACTTCACTTGATTTGACTTCGAATTTTAAATTCAACATTTCAGGCTATTTGCTGTGCGCCAGAAGTTCTACGAATTACTTGTGAATTGTATCCCACCTGAAAGCATCTTAAAGGTGATAGAATGCCTCCATAGTTCTGTTTAATTTTCCTCGTTCTGTTTTGTCTCACAAGCTGAACTTGTAACTTTAATATTGCAGAAGTTGTTGGCGGAGTTACTGAAGAAATTAGACTCTGACTTGAAACATGAAATTTGTCACTGGGCTGCACACTATGTGAGTAAATAAGCATGGAACACTTCTGCCACTGTTTTAGTAGTTCGATATGTTCTTCCTCCAATAAATATGGAACACTTCAACTATTTTTTTAGTTCCATATATTCTTCCTTCTTCCTTTGTTCGAGTAGATTTCAGTACACTTCGCAGTACTAGTTTTTCTTAGTTTTGATTCCTAGTTTGACCTTTGCTGTCAATCTTTCGATAAATCTTGGTGTTGAGCTGTTTCCATGTTTGCAGGAACACAAGATGCGTCTTGGGTCCAAGGCCATTTTTCACCTAGAAGGTACCTGCTGTTTTCCATTTCTTCTCTTGCCTGTGCTGTACAAGCACAATTACAGCAGCATATACACCAGTGCTCGTACTGACATCAAATACCCCCACACGTTTCTGCAGCTTTCGTCGCCAAGTTCATGAGCATCTACAAGGAATTTCTTGTCTCTACATTTGGCTGAGCATCTACAAGGAAGCTGCTGCATGTCCATTTCCGGCAACACAAGGATGTTGGGAAACTCTCCATGCTAGCCATCTTGGCCAATGTAATCGGTTCGATCAACGCAACGGGATCAAGTTTGTAGCAGGTTTATGTGAGTGACATTGAGCTGGCCTTTTGTGTTTGTGCATCTGCTCGTTTCCGCAAGATCTGACGCAACTACTCGAAAGCCAAAAACATGCTTAAATGATTCGGTCGAAATAGAAAGACATCGGTAATCTTGGTACAAGAACCACGCTATCCAGTTCGATGCAACAATTCGATCTTTGGATCTGTGACGAAAGCTAGCATACGATGCACGCTATTCAGTCAGATCAGCAGGCTAAAAACTGAAGTTTATAAATTGCAAATCGAAACTAGAATAGCTGACTACTGACTACACATCACTGTCTCAGATCACTAAACATAATCCCTTCCATCTGCGGAGCTACTGCCCAAACCAGCTATTGAAATTTGAACGAATGTAGGGGTAGTATAACAGACTGATGCTATTATTTTAAATGTCGCCACAAACCAATTAGCCGTCCCATTTGTACAGCAGCAATTCGCTTACACAGTTACACTTTAAAACAAGCCGCTTTTGGCATAGCAGTGGCTGGGTGTTCAGACCCTTGGCCTCACCCTGCGCCCGCTGGTATCGCCGCCATCCGAGAGCTGCCCCCACACGCTCTGGCTCTTCCCTCCGCTGCTGCATTCCTCCTCACACCCGGCGACCGTCCTCAGTATCTCCGATTGCAGCGCGGGGCAGTTGTCTTTGAGGTAATCAAACCCGTCGGTCCGGATTACAGCTGCAGATACATAAGGGCATCTGGAATGTTATAACAGTTCAACGCACTTAATTGAGATCCACCAAGAAACAAACGTGTAAAAAATGGAGGGCATGCGAAGTAAGTTTTTTCTTTGTTTCTTAGCAGTAGCGCAAAAGCCAAAAATGGAATTACTGAAAGTAGTAGGATGGTGTAATATATTGAATCTTGATGGGATTATTAAGACGGAAAATTATGAAGATTGGCTTGAGCCAACTACTTCATTGTTCATGCTAGTGGTCTAACTAGGGACATATCCGGTGAGAACCATCAAATAATTGAAAACCCGTGAAAACCATATCTAAAAGTTTTGTAAATTCATGAAATAATTACTAGAGATAGGTATAGACATGAAATACATTCATACCAAATCTCAAGTCCAAACTCAACTTCATTTGAGAGAAACAAAAAAGACAAATTTGAGGTGAATAGTGTTTTTTTTTCTCTCAAATGAAGTCGAGTTTGGACTTGAGATTTGGTATGAATGTATTTCATGCCTATACCTATCTCTAGTATTTTTTTTCATGAATTTACAAAACTTTTAGATATGGTTTTCACGAGTTTTTACTTATTTGATGGTTTTCACTGGATATTCCCCCGTCTAACTAATAGGCCAGTTAATATGCTATTTACAAAAACACAACTATGCTAGTCATGAGTACTCCCTCCGTCCCAAAATATAAACATTTTTGGACTCTGACACGATCTCTGAGATGCTACTTTGACCCAACAATATCTATAGAAGATTTTTTAAATAAAAAGAATTGCATATTAGATAGTTTGTTTAATGATAAATCTAATAACATCAATTTTACATGATTGATCTTTTTTATATTTTTGCTATTAATAGTCAAAGTTTAAAATGTTTGACTTGTCACTATGCTAAAAATGCTTATATTTTGAGACAGAGGGAGTATATAGATACACCTTTTTCGTACTGACTATGCTAAAAGAACATCAAATCAAACGCAACATATATGGTATTCTTCCATGGGTATTTGCAGTTGAGGTGCATGTAAATGTATGTGCAAGCATTTAGGGTACGTTTGGATCTTCAGCAGAAACAGGTTTGGAACTACCAACATAAACTAGTTTTTGAGGGCCAACTAGCCTGATTGAGCCAAAAAGTCCTTGCCCAGGAAGGAGAGCCAAATCGACTCGCCTTCGACAGCAAGATCACCGCGTGCAGTGAAACAGAGGACATGTGCGTTCAAAAAAGAAAGATTGTGCAGCAATCCAACTAACTAGACAGTCAAAGCAAATTAACTAAACAATTAGCTAAAGCAAACATAGCCATGCCCATGTGGGCTAGCTCAGCTAGCTGGGATATGTCCTAGCCCAGCGAGGAACCAAACATACCCTTACTAACCCTTGCCTTGATGTACAAACCAGTTTGGCATAAAGGGGAACTTTTAGTGGGCATCTGGAATGTTATAGGGGGCTCCACCTAGAACAAATGTGTACAAAATTGTGGGTATGCAAAGTATTTTCTTAGTAGCAGTACAAAGCCAAAAATGGAATTACAGAAATTTGTAGGATGAAGTAGTCTCTTGATGGGATTATTACGATGGTCTATGCAGTATCAGTCGATATAAAAGAAGGAAATGGATGAAGATTGAAGATTGGTTTGAGCAGACTACTTTATACTAGTTCATAGTGCAGAAACTCATAGCTCAGGTGACATGTTATTTACAAACCGTAGTCTGCTAGGAATGAACATATACATAGTAGTGCTACAGTTCAGCATAAAGGGGAACTTCTGGTGGACTAAACATGCTCAAAGCCTCATACTCATGTTATTCATAGAATCAAATCTAGCCTGCTGTCATGTAGAATACTTATTCAGATTTTACTCTTTATAGAAAGGGCAAAGCTGGAAAGGGGCAAAAATTTAATAGTTCTATATAAGATGTGATGAATCTAACTTGCATGTGAAGTATTTTTACCTGAAAGATTTTCAGCAGCAAATTTTAGGCAAACAGATTTAAGCTCCATAGCATGATGTCGGTCAGCCAATGCTAGGGTAGTTGCCACAGAGTTTACAGAAATATGCTTGCACAAGTAAGATTCACACAATAACCGTAGTCTTGGCAACTCATATCTGTCAGCAGCAGCCAATAATTTCCCAGCTAAAGTATCAAAGATAGAGCAGTCCGAGCTTGATGCAGACAACTCATCATCACCAACAAGATTGTCCCTGTACATAAAATGAAGCACAGCCTGCAACAGAGAATGTTTGCATAAGATAAATTATCCAAGTTTGTGAACTGTGAAATAAAAAAGGTTATGATCAGTAAAGAAATAGAAATACACCTTGAACACTTTTGGCTCCATGTCATCAATGACAATCTCTTTGATTTCATTGCTAGTATCAACTTCATTCTTCTCTTCATCTGATTCATGCTCAAAAAGTTCAGATCTGAAAAAGGAAGATCGGGCAGCCAAGACCAACTGATGGGCATGAAACTTTTCTCCTGCCACATTACATATAACATCCACACCCTCCTGATTGTCCAACAGTGTCCCAAAATGGTAGCCTATGTCAGATTCTGGAACATGTATCGAATGTGGCTTTGAGTAATCCATAGTAGATACCACAACACCCACAGTACAATTTATCTTTAAGCAATCGTCTTTAAGAAAATCCGATGTCTCAAGAGCAGTCCGCCGAAAGAACCTTTTATAACCCCTGAAATAGAGATCAAGATGAAAAATAAAGCTAAATTGAGTACAGTTTTGCTCAAATCTGAGAAGAAGGATTGTCATTACTAACTGCTAATCTTCACTCCGAAGTAAAATTGGCCAATAGCCGAATGCATTTGATGATACAATTTAATTTTTTTTATGGACATGACAAAAAGCAACACTGTTAACATCGATGCATCTAACCCATCATATGACCAGCTCTTGTTAACAAAATCAGCATACTTCAATCAATTCATAAGGGATGTTACTGTTCTCCCAATCTTTTGGATAGTTGAGGTCATATCTACCCATACTACTTACGTATTCTAAGAAGAGCCTAGCTTATTATTAATGGTGTAGTTCAGAGATACTACTAAAGTTGAACTATTATGGAAATTGTAGTAAATGTGGAAGCACAAGGTAATGTGTTAGTGTGTTCTTCTACAAAGATGCATATGGAAACTGAACAGGATATTGGATGCAAATATAGCAACCGTTTAAATGATATCGTAAAAAAATCATATTGAGAACATCAGAACAAATAGAATCCCATAATAATGAGTTTGCCAAGGATAGATAATACACCACAAATTTATAGATTGATTCCTGCATTACCAAATTCATTGCTGAACCAAAACAAACACCCAAATTGAAAATCGTCAAATCAGGTAACACGTAAATGACCATACACAGCGGAGTTCTGGTCTATTTACTGACAAATAACCCTGCCAACATCGCCAACTACATCCAAATTAAAACCAAACCGGTAAGGGATGAGAATACGAGACACCCTGAGTTACTGTTTCAGAAGGAGTGAGGAGGGAAGCTACAGGGAGGAGCGACAACTGATTTACCACATGGAAAATACCAGCACACCTAAATCGAGCAACGTCAAACCAGGCAACCGTCGAACAAGTGGTATTTTCGATCTAAATGCTGAAAAGCACCGTACAACTGCCATTTCCGTTCAATAAAAATCCAATCGAGCGTTAATAAGAGCAGGAAACATCCTGGCACTGATTGCTCTACAAGGAAGAGGGAGAGGGAGGGAGAAGATTGGATTACCACATGGAGCCGCGATTCTTGAGGGTGTAGGGGCTAGACTCAAGGGAGCGGTCGAACTGGGAGTGCCCCTTGTGCTTGGCCTTGCCGCTCTGGTCGAGGAGCTTGAGCTCGAAGAGGACGCGGACGTCGATGCCGTCGGAGATGAGCGCAATGAAGACGGAGATGTAGGCGGAGTTGTCCTCAGGGTTCTTCCCGTCAGGATAGAAGTAGATCGCCCACTGGCACCCTCCCACCGTGAACGTCTCGCTCGCGATGTACTTCCCAATCCCCATCCCCTTCGCCAACGAGTAGCCCTGGATCACGAACATGTGCGACCCGTTCACCGTCTGCATCACCGACCGTGAGCTCGTCGGTGACGGTACGATGTCCCGCCCCACCCCCACCTCCGTCGCGGAGCCCACGTGCACCGGGGATGCGTCGCCGCCAATGCCCCCGCCCCCGGCGCCCTCGTCCTCCATGGCGACGAAGAGAGACGCGATCTAGGGTTTGGAGCGGAGAGGAGGCGGCGCGGTGGCTTTGCGAAATGGGGATTTTGCTTGGAGGCGAGGAGAGCTAAGTTGACTTATAGCAACACACAAGGAAGGGGAGGGGATAAGCGAGGAGCGGGTGGAATGGAATTGCTGCCTGATTTGAGGTGAAACGGGCCACATTAATTGATCCCAACCAAATTACGTCGAGTTGCTAATTTTAACTCTACCGGTTTAAGTTAGGCCCTATTTGCTCTTTGCCTTTTTGTTTTGGGTTTGAGATGAAATTAAGCCAAATCCTGGAAATTTAGGAATAAGCACTGCTACACATGCTTTAATTTTTTTTATGAAAATCTTACCAACAAAGTTCTTAACCGTTTGATTTAATAATTAGTAGATGGCAGCTATAAGAAATCTAAATTTATTCACAGCGTGCCCCATTGGTGTTTGTAAAAGTTTGGTAAGAACAATTTTGTATCCATAGCCTTTCCCTTTATGAAATTAAACTGCAGCGTGTAAATGCACGTGAACTATGCCAAATCACAATCAATCTCAATAATCAAACTTGCCATTAGGATTTGTACTACGAGTTATGCTACATTTTTTGGATGGGTATTTCTTTTACTGGGAGAGCAGGAGGAAGTATACTGATTTGGCTTGGTATGCTTAAATCAAACAAATACCCTGTAAGAATGTTCTCGTCTTTGTGTGTAAAAAACACAAGGCAGCAAGACCCAGCAACAACAAATTGTACATGCTTTATTGCCATCAACAACTAGCAGTCACTATTGTGCCAAAAAGGAACAAGTAAATTCATTGCCGAACCAAACAAACACCCAAATCGAAAATCGTCAAATCAGGTAAGACGTAAATGGCCATACACAGCAAAGTTCTGGTCTATTTACTGAAAAATAACTCTGCCAACATCACCAACTGCATTCAAATTGATACCAAACCGGTAAGGGGTGAGAATAAGAGACACCCTGAGTTATTGTTTCAGAAGGCATGAGGAGAGAAGCTACTGCAGGGAGGAGCACGATAACTGATTTACCATATGGAAAATACCAACACACCTAAATCGAGCAACGTCAACCCAGGTAACTATCGAACATGTGGTATTTTCGATCTAATTGCTGAAGATTACCGTACAACCGCCATTTCCGTTCAAATCAAAATCGAATCGGGCGTTAATTAAGAGCAGGAGACATCCTGGCGCTGATCGCTTCAGAAGGCGACGTGGCGGGAAACACTACTACAGGGAGAGTGAGGAGGGAGAGGGAGAGGGAGAGGAATGGATTACCACATGGAGCCGCGATACTTGAGGGTGTAGGGGCCGGACTCGAGGGAGCGGTCGAAGTGGGAGTGCACCTTGTGCTTGGCCTTGCCGCTCTGGTCGAGGAGGGTGAGCTCGAAGAGGGCGCGGACGTCGGTGCCCTCGGAGGCGAGCGCGATGAAGACGGAGACGTAGGCGGAGTTGTCCTCGGGGTTCTTCCCGTCGGGGTAGAAGTAGATCGCCCACTGGTACCCTCCCACCGTGAACGTCTCGCTCGCGATGTGCTTCCCCACCCCCATCCCCTTCGCCAGCGAGTACCCCTGGATCACGAACCTGTGCGACCCGTTCACCGTCTGCGTCACCGACCGCGAGCTCGTCGGCGACGCCGCGATGTCCCTCCCCGCCCCCGCCATCGCCGCGGCGGAGCCCGCGTGCGGCGGGGACGCCTCGCCGCCTCCGCCTCCGCCCCCCGCGTCGTCATCCTCCATGGCGGCGAAGAGAGAGATAGCCTTTGCTAGGGTTTGGAGAGGAGAAGGAAATGGGGATTTTGCTTGGAGGCGAGGCGAGCTAAAGCCTAAGCTGTTATAGCAATAGCAGCGCACGGGGAAGGAGAGGCGAGGAGGAGCGGGTGGAATGGAATGGAAAGGAAAAATGTGGAATGGAATTGCCGCCTGATTTGAGATGAAACGGGCCGCGTTTAACTGTTCCCAACCAAACTACGCCGAATTGCTAATTTTTACTCTACCGGTTTGTTAGGCCCTGTTTGCTCTTTGTTTTTTCGTTTCGGTTTTGGGTTTGAGATAAACTTAAGCCAAATCCTGGAATTTTAAGAATAAGCATTGCTACCTACTTCAAACGAAACTCTTACCAACAAAGTTTTTAAACGTTTGGTTTAATAATTATATGATAGTTATAAGAAATCTAGATTTACTCACAGCATATCATATTGGGGTGCTCGTAAAAGTTTGGTAAGAATAATTTTGAATACATAACCTTTTGCTTTAATAAATTAAACTGTAGCGTGTAAATGGACATAAAATTTAGAGAACCTTTACAGTACAATATATTATTATATTGTCAGCATAAATGGTTTAACGTGTAGGTTGATTTGGTCTTCCACTTTAGTTCAATACATCGGATACATATATGAGAGACCGATGCTCAGTACATAATTTGAAAGGGTAAATTTGTTCCCTTTTTTTTGTTATTCTAGTCAAATTGTGTTGCCTCCACGTGTGTCTTTATCAAATGGTGGTCAGGATGCTTCTCCCCTAATACTATAATATCTTTCTTTTTCAGTTTTCTATCAATTCCTTACATATCCTTCTTTATACTGCCTCTTCTTTATACTGCCTGTATATTATACCGTAAAAGTTCTCAAAATTTGTGCCAAATCAAACATGCCATTAGGTTTTGTGTTACTGAGTTGTGCTACACTTTTTGGATGGGTATTTCTTTTACTGGGAAAGCAGGAGGAAGTATACAGATTGGCTTGGTATGCTTAAATCAAACAAATACCTTGTAAGAATGTTCTCGTGTTCGTGCGTAAAAAGAACCACAAGGCTGCAAAAACCAGCAGCAAGAAATTGTACATGCTTTGTCGCCATCAACTAGCAGTCAATATCGTGCCAAAAAATAACAATTAACATTCAATATTACTGTAGTTGCGTCTAAAAGAATTACTGTACATCAACCTTCAAAATTACTGTATTTTGAACAAACGGCAATATTTCGGATGCACAACTGCTCTGGCCATAGGAAGGAAATGGCTCATCTCAGTAGGTCAACATTTCACTTAGAAGCGGAATTTCGCACGCCTTTACAACAATTTCACTATGGATACTACAAGCGCATACAAAATTGACTTGCATCATGGCCTAACTCTACCGGTAAGTTCATCTCAGAAAGAAGTCACAAGTCCTACACCTAGGTCCTCTGCAAGTTCATCCCAGAGTGGAATGAGAGTCAATACAACAAGAAACACTGAAACTATCAATGCTGCTCTCCTCCACGTTCCGACATCGCTCACATCATTCAAGCAGGGCTTTTCAGGTGTTCTCTGAGCAAAAATAACCAAAAGACATAAATAAGTCTGAGCGTAAAACATTGATTCTCACAATGTATCTCCGAATCATCAGCATGCTTTACCTGACATATTAGCACGTATAAGCCCCAAGGAAGAGATAGTGGCCCCCCAAGCTGGGAAAAAGAAGAGGCATTAGAACTGAATACAATACATAGTAGCAGTACATAATGTTCAAGGTGAGGGCAAAAATTAAAATATCAAGAAAATTGCACGCATGCAGCTTAGGTCAGATCTCAAAAAGTCAAAAGTGAAAACAACCTAGTACCAAGTCCGATTGGTTCTTCAAATGTTTGATCATCTTGCTTTTCGTTATAAGTGCAACAGGAAAAAGTATCATCTTGCACCATGGATTGAATTCATATGAACTAAAAGGTTTAAACAAGACACGCATAACTAAAAATGAATCCAGACATTCGTAGTCTACTTGGCATTGTAAATTTCTCTTCGACATGTCAAGTTTTCACAGAACTGTACAAATCATAACTGATACACATAGAACATTTGGTGTTTAGTTGCAATAAACCACAAATACTTGTATGAGCTTTACATATGGATGAAATGTTTTGTCATAGAGGTCTGTACTGTGACAGAAACTCTACAGCCAAATATCAAACTGCAAGATAGACTGGCTTACCACCCCGAGTCCAAGCAATGAGTATGTTGTCAAGCCAAATCCAAACAACGCATCCTTGCCGAAAGCACCCTGTTGCAAATATCACTGAACTTTAGGCATGCTTGTTTCTTACAGAAGCTAGAATCTTTGCAGATAAACTATCATGTCCTTTCCAAGCCATAGGTTAAGCATCAGAAGTTCTACAGAGATTAATGATTATCTATTGCTAAGTTAATTTAGGTTGAAACCTGGAGGCCTGATAAAAAAATGCACTGGAACCTCAAGCTAGTCAATAACTTATTGACAGTATTTTAGAAAGGAATTAAGGAACAGTGATGATATTAATAAAAACAACTACAGTAATTTTACCTGTAAAGCTCTTCCACCATCAAGACATCCAACAGGAAGCATATTAAAGGCAGTAGTCGTTAAACCACACCTACAGAATTTGCAGGAAACAAGATAAGATTATAATTGCTATTTGCTTGGTTACAACGTCAAGGACTTAGTGCAGGGTACTTTACCAGCCTGCAATCACAAGAGGGTGGATAGCAACTGTAGCAGCATGCATAGCTCTGTAGATCAATTTATGTCCATTAGAAGGATAAGAGTTGCGGACTAAAACTTTTGAGACATATAACTGAATAAATAAAGTAGAATACTTCAACTAATATCACAATGATGTTCATAAATGGCGATGTTCATAAAATATCCTATCATGTGTATCTGTCTATAGAATTTGGAGGTCTGGGAAAGTATATTTCACATGAGCTGATCCAGTGAAAAAATTCTCTCAAAATTAGCAGTGAAGTTTTGACTTAATCTGGTTTGTATTTGTAAGATCAAAACAGATTGTGGAGAATATGAAAATAACAAAAAAAAAGAGTCCTGAAATGGTATCTATAGGTCTTATATAGCACAAGAGACTGAACGAAAAGGTGCAGGTATCACAATGGAACTAAGGCATGACGAAATTAAAATATAGTTAAATGATAAAAATATCAAGTATCAGAGACCTGTAGCCAAGTGTTGCTCTGCTAACAAGTCCGAGCAACAAGGAACCCTGGAATAGCTTGCTAGGTACTTCAACTAAATCACTTGCCCCAGCAGGATTTGAGGAGAGCAACAAGCCTACAGAGAACATTGAGAAAGAAAGTGCAGCTCCAGCAAGAGGACCAGCCATTGATATGTCAAACATTGTCTTCTTATCCGGCAGAATGGATTTGAACTACAGGATGGATGACAACAATAAGAGGAGCTCATATCTAGTAGTTAAAAAGAACCACACGCCGCTCATACTAGACTTCTACAATTTAGTGCATAAAAACAGAAATACGAACAGAAATGCAACAGAGGACCCAAAAAAATCAATTGTTGCAGTGACATTTAGACTCTAGTGCCTTCTTTAGCATCACTCTGTCGTACTAGAGCTAGAAGTGGCCGAAAAAACAGTATCACTGCTATGGCATGACTTTAGTGAGCTTGATATTATCTAGTGAAATAGAAATATAAGCAGGGATGTTTTTGAAAAGGAGGCATATGCTTTCCTTGGTATCATGTTTATAGGTGGTAAATCAAAGTACATGCGAAGTCCAATATATTATCATTTATCAAGCTGTGTAGCTTGCTCATGATCAACAATCAATATGCAATAATGCAATTACAGCACAATGTCATCCCAGATTTTCATCAGCAGTCAAAACTAATTCTTTTACTTATTACTAACCTGAGTAATTGCGCCAAAAGTTCCTAGAGTGAAGTTCGGAATGAAGAAAGGAATGCTTAGTTTAACCTTCTTTGGAAATGCTGCCAAAAAGTGACCAACTTCCTGCATACAGAATGCAACATGGTAGGTTTTGTCAACTAAAAAAAAAGAACAATTCACAAACAGCAATTCAAACAGATATAAACTAACATGGAAACAATGGACCCTCTGGTACCACCATCTACCTATGTTCGGACCAACATTCAATTGTTACCATCATGCTTGTTGATTGGAAAGTTTTGTTCAAACTAATCAAGGTATATGATTAAATTGCACAGTAATTATCCAGTTTTGATTATTATACAAAGCTCTATGCAACAATGTTTCCATATTTGAATACAGTGCAACTCTAGTTGAATAGCACATCCGAACCAATCCAACTCAGGAAGAAAGATGTGTTTAACCCCTAGCCCCATGCTAAACAAATATTAGAAATCAGTGTAATTCTGATCAGTTTATTAATCAAATTGGAACATGGCAGGAGAAGCTATCGTGCCAGTTTCACAATATATCTGAAATATTAAACTAGTCTAAAAGGTGTGTTGTTGTTCAAATGGCTTCTTTAGGAGTTAAAAGACTAGAAGATAGATACATAGTTGCTCAACAGACTGAGGGAGTGAATTACATGAAATAGTTGGATAGCCAAGACACCATAAGCCACCGGCAAAGCTGATTCCACAAATGGAAGTAAGAGTTGCATATCAGGTGGGGGTCCAGTAGCATTTGGATCAGTGAAATATGTAACAATCTCTGGTGGAAGACTGCTAATCTGCACGACACATACCATTTATTAGAGACTTGGCATATAATGATATGTTGGTATTAAGATGTGGCAAGCATATAACAAACAAAGAGTAGGTATACCTTTGATGCAATTCCTAGCTCAACACAAGAGAACACAGTTAGAAGGAAAAGTAACAGTGAAATGACATATTGCCACAATGTAGTAGGTCCAGGTTCTGAAACTTCTCTTCTGAGCAAACCAAAACTAACACGTGGTCCTCCACGTGGGTCTTCCCCTTCTGAATTGGGCTCCTCCACCATAAAAAGATTGTATTTGTCACCTGTGAGTTCACGTAACTGCTGTTGAAGTTTTGCAAATATTTCTTCTCTCTTCCCTCGGAGGTTCCCAATAAAAAGGACCCCTTCCCCAAGATCACCAAAAGGTTCTTCTCTTGTCAACCAGAATGTTGTGTAGCCGAAAAGTTTTTCCTTAATAGCCTTGACATCAGCTGAATCAACTTTTTCGGGCCCTAGGAGTTCCAATAACTTTACTGTGTCGATGTTATCAACACTGAAGCTCAAAAATGGTGGCTCATTGGATATACCGGGTGTCTGAAAAAATGGAGATGTGATAAATATATTTGAGAGAACAAATGGCCATGCTCATGATATACAGATATATTTCACAGGTTAAAAAGAACATGGATGTGTGTCTTCTTAAGAAAAAGGTAAAGACAAATAAGTGACGCATTATTGTTAAGTTAATTGAAAAGTACGAGATTGATGACAAAACATAAACCACTTGTTATGGTCAAGTTATTGTAAAACATAGCAGAGACAACTAGTGCTAGAATACCCAATGATTAATGAAGGGGGGCAATCTGCATTAGAGCAGCTCTGTAGTTTGATAACCAAGAAATCAATATAGAGGTTTCATCCCCGCGTTTCTCACTAGTAACTAGTGAATGTCTTTCCTGACATACTGATAGTAAAATTGCTACTTTTAGTGGAAATGGATAATGTGCCATACTGCCATCAATCTAAAACTCTACTTGTACGGAGTTCTGCCACCCACTCGATCAAGTTTGGTGTTCGGAATAGAAGTAAACGAGCCAATAAAGTTACCATTCCTACTATATTCAACAAAAATTCAGTATTATGATGCTCCCTGCACCCGACCGAAAGTCTAACTACATCTCCAACTGCAATACAATACTCCATCAAAATGCTCAAAAGCTAATCAACGAGTAATCAGCAAACCACAGCACGCCTTACCCCTGACGACGACGACGAGGACGAAGAGAAGCTACCGGAGCGGGTCCGCTCGGATCTCATCTCCTCCACCGCGCCACCTACCTTCGCCTCCGCCGCCGCCGCCGCCTCCTCCTCGCCCCGCTTCTCCCCGTCCTCCCCGCCCGTTCCTCCGCCGCCACCCCCGCCCCCACCCCCTCCCCCGTCGATGGAGAAGCACCGCAGCCGGTCCTCGCACCGCCTCAGGGCCCTCAGCCCAGACTTGGGTCTCCACTCCAAGCCGCATGCCGCGCCCCTCGAGCAGCACGCGGCGGACGCGGGAGAGGGTGAGGGCGTCGCCGCCGCGGGGGACCTGGCGGGCCTGGGGAGGCGGAGCCGGGAGGCCGTGAGGTGGACCATGGGGGAGCTCGCGAGCGCCGCGGCGGCGGCGGCCATGGGCGGCGGGGCAGAGTGGAGTAGAGGTCGCTGTGGTGATGACGTGGGTGGTCGGAGGCGGGAGGGGGAAACCAGCTGCGGAAAGGATAGGGGTGGGGAGGGGGCGGGGGCCACGGTTTCGGTTTCCGCCGTGGGTTGGGTTTTGCACCGGAAATATCTGGAAAAAAATCTACTCCGGTTGGATTCTCGTCTGGGTCGGCCGGCCTGGCCTGGCCTGGCCCAACTCAATGTTGCATTTGGGTGCGTCATCTTCTCACACTTGGCATTTCAGCCCTGATTGTCACATATACAGATCTCACGTTTACGGAAGATTTAAAGTTTATATAAGTTAAATTTTATAGGAAAAAGTACGAATTACACTCCCGAACCATTGTTGTCGACCGAATTACCCCTTGAATCCGAAAACCAAACATCGTTCATCCTGAACTTTTAATACCAGACGAATTACCCCCATCGACACAATCCAGAGTAGTTTTGTCCTACGTGGCGTACCCATGACAATCCAGTCAGCATTTTATTTTTTTAAAATGGTGGGACCCATATGTCATACCCCTCTTTCACTCTTCCCTCTCTTCACACACTCTCTCTCTCTCTCACGGGCACCGCGCAAGGCATGAGGTGGGCGGCGGCGCAAGATGGCACGGGCGGGGACGAGCGGCGGGCAGTTGGCACGCACGGCGGCGGTCGTGGCCGGAGCTGCGTCGGCAGCAAGGTCACCGAGCTGCACAACGACTTGGCCACCATGAACACCCTCCTCCACATGCAGTCCGAGGGCGACGACGGCGTCGTGGACCACTTCGTCATGGAGTGGAGGAAGCAGCTCCGTGAGCTCGCCTACTACTCGGAGGACTGCATCGACCTCAGCCTCCTCCATATCAGGTGTCGCCTCGGCAACAGCGCGCAAGCCAGGCTGAGGCACCTGCTCGCCGGCGAGATCGCCGCCCTTCACGCCCGCGCCGCCGCCTATCACATAGTCCTCTTCCTCTCTCTCTCTCTCTCTTCACTCTCTCTCTCTCTCGGGGCGGCGCGTAGGGTAAGAGGTGAGTAGCGGCGCAAGATGGCGCGGGCGGGGATGGGTACCAGGCCGAGATCGACAGGCTTCCGCCGTTGCAGTTCCCGCCGCACGACCACGACCTCGTCGCCGCCTATCACATAGTCCTCTTCCTCTCTCTCTCTCTCTCTCTTCACTCTCTCTTTCTCGGGGCGGCGCGTAGGGTAAGAGGTGAGTAGCGGCGCAAGATGGAGCGAGCGGGGACGGGTACTAGGCCGAGATCGACAAGCTTCCGCCGTTGCAGTTCCCGCCGCACGACCACGACCTCGTCGCCGCCGCCGCCTCGTCCATGGCACCACCGTTCGCGAACGGAGGCGAGCACCACGGCGCCGCGGCCACGTCGTTGATGCGGGCGGGGACGGGCGGCGGTGCTCGCTCATGGCGATGGCGCGGGCACGGAGGGCGGTGATCTCGTCGGTGAGGCGGCAACGAGGGAAGAGCGTGGCGAGCAGGTGCCTTAGCCTGGCGAGCGCCGTTGCCGAGGCGGCACCTGATCCAGACTGCATGTGGAGAAGGGCCGAGGGCGCTCATGGTGGCCAAGTCGTGCACAGCTCAGTGACCTCGCTGGCGATGCAGCTCCGGCCACGACCGCCGTCGTGCGTGCCGCCGTCTGCGCCGACTGCCCGCCGCCCGTCCTCGCCCGTGCCATCTCGTGCGCCGCCCACCTCCTGCCCTGTGTGCGGCCCGTGAGAGAGAGTGTGTGTGAAGAGAGAGAAGAGTGAAAGAGGGGATATGACATGTGGGTCTCACAATTTTTTTTTAAAAAAATAAAATGTTGACTAGATTGCCACGCGTACGCCACGTAGGACAAACCGCTCCGGATTGAGTCGAGAGTGGTAATTCGTCCGGTATTGAAAGTTCAGAGTGAACGATGTCTGGTTTTCGGGTTCAAGGGGTAATTCGGTCGACCGCGATAGTTCGGGGGTGTAATTCATAATTTTTCTAATTTTATGCTACTAGTTGTTTAAAAATTAATTTTTTAAAAAATTAAAATATGAACAAAATATTTAGTCAAATATTGAGAACGTGATCTTAATTCCAGAATCATGGATTTATGAAACTAGAAATACCATATCGGACTCGGGAGTCGGAGTTCCTATCCACGTAGGATTGATGAGATTGATGATACCCATCGAAGGCGGTGCGACACCAGCGGAGTCGCGTCGCCGCGTCGCGTTCCAAATCCGATGGCGAAGCGAGCACAGTCCTCCTCCTCCGGATCCCAGCTCATCCCGTACCGGCGGCGGACCAAGCGGCCGACGAGGGAGAGGGACTGGTACAATCTCACGGACGGCCCGGCGGGGCTGATCGCCGAGCGCGTCCTCGCCGGCGACGTGGCGGATTACATGCGTTTCCGCGCCGTTTGCACCGCTTGGCGGCAGTGCTCCGCCGACCCTCGCGAACACAACTCCTTGGACAGCCGCTTCCATCCAAGGCGATGGTTCATGCTCCGGGAGTGGCCAGAGCGCGCCGCCCCTCACCGCCGGCGGTTCATCAACGCCGCCACGGGGCAGTGCGTCGCCGTGGACCTCCCGGAGATCGAGGGCCACCGCTCGTTCGGCCCCACCGCCGAGGGCCTCCTCGTCCTCGTCGACGACCGCACCCTGTTCGTCCGCGTGCTCAACCCCTTCACGCGTCGGCTCACGGAGCTCCCGTCGCTGGCCACGCTGCTACCACGGGACAGGTACCTCGTCGGCGGCGATCTATCGGTGTGCGGCGCCGGCCTCGCCGGTGGCGATGGCTGCTTGATCGCGCTCTACTTCTCCAACACCAGGAAGCTCGCCGTCGCCAAGCCCGGCGATGAGAGGTGGGCGCTGGTCGATCATCGTGTCCCTCGTCTCGCGTCATCGCTGTCATTCGCAGGCCGCTTCTACTGCGTCTCCGACGACGCCGACGCTGTCATGACGGTGAAAACCTCAGAAAACCAACCACCACGGCTGGTGGCGGCTGCCGAACTGGCAATCCAGTACTCCCCCATGATGGACACCCTCCATCTGGTCGACAATATATGGCGGAGAGCTGATGCTGGTGCACCGAAAGCACCGTTGTATATCCGCGAGCTATATCATCGGCGGCGATGACAACGAGAGCTACTACGAGATGTGGAAATGGAAGTATGAAGTGTACATTGTTGATCTGGATGCGAGGAAGACGACGCTTGTCCATGGCCTCAACGGGCGAGCCTTGTTCGTTGGCTTGTCCCGTGCATTGTCAGTGTGCCCTAAGGTGTTCCCTTCTATCAGCGCCGACACCATCTACCAGGGCTTTGAATTGGATGATAAAGAGGAAACTGAAGCCTACCATCTCACAGATGCAACCACTGAACCCTCCACCTTCACTAGAACGGATACCCTCATCTCAATCGGGCGGTAAGCCCCATCTCAATCGAGCACAGCGTCCGTCGCAGGCTAGAAGTCACTGATGTGAAGAGTTATCTCAATCGGGCAAACGGCCGTCACGAATGAATATATCTCAATCGGGCCCTAAGTAAAGCCCGTCACCGATAGCTTTGACCCAGACGACCAGTCAAACTATAGCCCGTCACAGATGACCTATCTCTATCGGGCCACAACTAGCGCCCGTCACAGATGACTACTAACCTTTATCAGGCCTAAACTAGAGCCTGTCACAGATGATACTCATCTCAATCGGGCCTAAACTATAGCCCGTCACAGATGACTGCTGACCTCAATCGGGCCTAAACTAGAGCCCGTCACAGATGACTAGTGACCTCAATCGGGCCTAAGCTAGAGCCCGTCACAGATGACCTCATCTCAATCGGGCATTTAGTTATGGCCCGTCACAGATGACTATAATCCACAAAAAAAATAAATTTTGTTTTTTGGCTAGCCTCAGGCCTTTGCTAGCCATGCCCGCTACAAAAATGACAGAAACAAACACAGATATCCAATATCCCCAGCTCCCCAGCATCACCCATTCATACATATGCATTCACATACACAGACATCAACATATTTCACACAACCACACATTCACAGCCATCTCATATTTCACATCCATTCACATATTTCACATCCATTCAAATATTTATCATATTTCACCTGCAAAACCGAGTTAATTGGATCAAATATTTATTTAGCAAGTCTTAACATAAACATATGAAATATATACATAAATATAAGCATCACAGTTACATCATCACAGTTGCATAATAAGTGTTCATCATTGCCTAAACATAGAAGTTCAACATTGTTCATCATTTTAGTTTAAGCCTAAACATTCCTTTGGGGTTAATTATTTCGCGGAGGATGAAGCTGGCTATCTCCTCGCGAACCTCCTCAAAGCTGGTAGTCAGAGACTTGGTTATTGTGCCCTACATTGTCATAATTCCAGATTAGTTGATCGATCATATATAAGTACTAAAATGTAGTTAGTCTATCACAATTGAGACCACCGACCTCAAACTCAGCCAAAGTCTTCACCTTTTCTCTATACAGAAGTCGCATATTGTGGCACACATGGAATCCGCACTGGTCACCTATTTGTTGCTTCACCGGGAAGTCTTTTTTGTGGATGAGGGTGTCATGTCCTGTCTTCCTGAGGCCTCCTCTTTGCACATATTGGGCCCACGCTTCATCTATCGCTAGTTGAATTGGGGTCCAATCATATGCGTTCTTATCAATTCTGGAGTTCAGGTAATGACATGTACTCCATTTAGGTGTTATGACCAGAAGGATCCAATGGGCACTGCGGCATTAATATAGTGAAAGTTAATTAAGTACTCAAGGAATGTGTCATGCTGTTGTGTATATTTAGTTAACACACTTACTATTGATTATAGGCACACATAATGTACTCCTTGTCTCGGCGGGACCACAAGGTGTCGTAGATGTAGTTGACCATTCCTTGACGGTCATTCTGGAGATTTGTGACAGTGACCACTTGTGGATCAAGGAAGGCAACATCCGGTGCATGCTTCTGACACCATTGCCAACTTAAGCTACACACAGGATCAACGATCTTGTAAGCAAGTTAAACCGATTGTTATTACCAGAATGAGTTGGGCGACAATACTTACAAGGAGTAGCACTTAAG